TGTGGCGACAGCTGAACAGATGATTTATTTTAGTGATCAGATGAGTTATTTACTTTAAGCCCACATACGAATATTATAATCCAATATAAGTTGCGTGAGCCAAATTGATTTTGAATGCCAACATTAATGAAAAAAAGAGCCAGGCCACGGAGCGCAACGCCTCTTGTACGCACAGGTGGTTCTGATTTTAATGCCATTACTGAAATTTATGTTGTGATCTGTGCACACAACCCACCTTTGTCACTTGAGGTTTAAATATATGCAACTTTATGTGAGTGTCTTTATTTGTAGAAAAGGGTGTTTATCTTACCAGTGGGTCCAACCTTACACACACTAAATCCCTCTGTGCTTATTTGAGAAAGTGTGCAGGACACCCACTGCAGCGCTTGCAGTGACACTTGCTGAGGGGCTGCCTTCTGTTGCCATCGTGTGGCATAGCGGTTTTCAGTCATCTCTTGATCTCTTAGACTACGTCACGAAAATTGTAATATGCCTCGCCGGCGATGGATTTAGAGGTGAGGAGAGGTGCTGATGTGATTGGAGAAAATAGGTCTCGGCTGTGTTAAACCCACTCTACCCCTTCTCTATGACTTACGCCACTGGGAGGAGCTGAGTTAGGGAGGGGGGATACTTATGCTGCGCGGCCTGACCTACGCCACGCCTGCGCCATGCCGCTGGTGAGGCACAAAAGTAGAGCCCTAAATATCTTGTCTTTGTAGTGTATTGAATTGAATATAGGTATTTGCAAATCATTGTATTCTGTTTTTATTTACGTTTATCACAATTTCCCAACTTCAATGGAATTGGGTTTTGTATATCCCTATGACTTTCATCATGTAGGAAATGACTTAACTAAGTCTTTATTTTCTTAAGAAAATGACTCGAAAAAATCGAAATCTTTTTAATATCCTCAATATTACTCTGTAGTATGTTAGAAATGTTAGCTTTGTTTAGCATTACTTCGGCAATGTAATCTTGTGTTGTGAATCAATGACAAACTTGTAATCTTAGAACTGAGCTTTAAATGATAGTTATTTAGATAACATAACTAAGATCATGGCCGTGGTGTCCTCCGGGCTAAAGAGGAAAAGGACCATCCAGACTGTTCTCAGGTCAAAGGTCAAATCCAGCAGCTGTGATGGTCTGTGGGTGTGTTTGTGTCCATGGCTAATTGTCACATCTATGAAGGCTTCATTAATGCTGCCATCAGAGTCCCGTAATTTTCAGGGATGTACCTGCTGATTTCAGAGCGACAATGCTGAGACACATTCTGCACCAGTTACAATACCGTGGCTTCAGAGTCAGAGTCTGGGGACTAGACTGGAGCCGGCAGTCCAGCCCCCTCTTTGAAAATATGTGGAGCATTATTTAACACAAAATACCCCAACTGCTGTTCGTCTGAAGTGGTCCATCAATCGAGACTGTAAAAATATTTACCTCCAAAGTTTTAACAGCCAGTGTCCTCAGTTCGCAAAGGCTTACTGAATGTTGTTAAAGGAAAGATGATGCAACAGGGAGAAACATGATCCTAAAACGCCTTTTTAGAAATGAGTTACAGGCTCATATTCAAAAGGACTGAATATTTACAAAAAACCCCAACAAAGTTTATTAGTCTGAACATTAAATTCTTGCTTTCCAATGGTGTTCAATTGAATATAATAATAATAATAATAATAATAAATTTTATTTGAAGCGCCTTTCACGTCACTCAAGGACACTTTACAGAACATATAAAAACAATAATAAAACACTATTAACAATTAAAATCATTAATCATCAAACAGTTAAAATCAACAAAGCAACATTAAACATGAACAACAGCAAAGGAATAAATAAAGAAATTAATAATACCAATTGAAATTTAATTTAAAAAAGTGGGTTAGGGGTGGTGGGAGGGATAGGCCAGTTTAAACAGGTGTGTTTTGAGTTTGGACTTGAAGAGGGGGAGGGAGTCTATGTTGCGGATGTGTGATGGTAAAGAGTTCCAGAGTCGGGGGGCAGAGCGACTGAAAGCTCTGCCCCCCCATAGTGCTGAGGTGAACAGGGGGCACAGAGAGGTGGAGAGAGGAAGAGGAACGGAGGTGGCGTGTTGGAGTGGCGATGTGGAGGAGGTCAGATAGGTAAGGAGGGGCGAGGTTGTGGATGGCTTTGAAGGTATACAGGAGGATTTTGAACTGGATTCGTAGAGGGACCGGGAGCCAGTGAAGCTGCTGAAGGATGGGGGTGATGTGGTGGGACGAAGGGGTTTTGGTGATGATACGGGCAGCGGAGTTGTGGACCAGTTGAAGTTTATGGAGAGACGTGTAAGGGAGACCGAAGAGGAGGGAGTTGCAGTAGTCCAGACGGGAGGTGACGAGACTGTGGACGAGGATGGAGGTGGTGTTGGGGGAGAGGGAGGGGCGGAGACGTTTGATGTGGCGGAGGTGGAAATAGGCAGTGCGAGTGGTAAGGCTGATGTGGGATTTAAAAGAAAGAGAACTGTCAAGGACGACACCCAGACTCTTGACCTGAGGTGAGGGGGAAACTGAGGAACTGTCGATGGGAAGGGAGAGACTGTCAACTTTGGATAGGGTGGATTTGGAACCTACTAGAAGAATTTCTGTTTTCTAACTGTTTAATTGGAGAAAGTTGGAGGTGAACCAGGATTTAATTTCAGATAGGCAGGTGATGAGGGAGGTGGGTGGGAGGGTGGAGTTTGGTGAGCTGGAGAGGTAGAGCTGGGTGTCGTCAGCATAGCAGTGGTATTGAATGTTGAATTTATGGAAGATGGAACCAAGGGGGAGGAGGTAGATGATGAACAGCAGGGGCCCCAGGACAGAGCCCTGGGGCACACCTGAACTGACTGGGGAGGGGTCGGACTTGAATGATTTGAGCTGGATGAACTGTGTGCGGTCTGAGAGGTAAGAGTGGAACCAGCGGAGGGGAGTGTGGGTGATGCCGATGGAGGAGAGTCTACGAAGGAGGATGGGATGGGAGATAGTGTCGAAGGCTGCACTAAGGTCGAGGAGGATGAGGATGGAAAGTGAACCGGAGTCAGATGCAGTGAGAAGGTCGTTAGTAATTTTTAGCAGTGCGGTTTCGGTGCTGTGGCGGGGGCGGAAACCAGATTGGAAGGGGTCGTAGAGGGAGTTCTGGGTTAGGTGGGTGTGAAGTTGGCTGGCGACGACCTTTTCCATTATTTTGGCTATTAACGGTAGATTTGAGATGGGGTGGAGGTTGTTGAAGTTATTGGGGTCAGAGCCAGGTTTTTTAAGGATAGGGGTGATGGCTGCTGTCTTGAGGGATGCGGGAACAGTTCCAGTGGTGAGTGAGGAGTGAATGATGGCAGATATGAGAGGGAGCACAGATGGGAGGCATGATTTGAGCAGTGTGGTGGGAAGGGGATCCAGCTGACAGGTTGAGGGTTTGGATTTCTGGATGAGATCATAGATTTCAGAGTCATTGGGGAGAAGAAAACTGGAGAAGAGCTGGTCGTGTGGCAGGGGAGTTGGTGAGTTTGGAGGGGGTCCAGGGGGGAGAGAACCTGAGTGTAGTTGTTTATGGATGTTGGAGATTTTGTCATTAAAAAACTGCATTAGGGTGTTGCAGGTGTCGGTTGAATACAGGTGGGGAGGGAGGGAGTCCGGTGGCTGGAGAGATTTGTTGAGGAGAGTGAATAGTGATCTGGTGTTTCCTTTGTTGGAGATGATCTGGGCGGAGTAGTGGTCTGTTTTTGCGTGAGAAATTGAGTCCTTGTAGCAGCGTATGTGGTTAATGTACATTTCTTTGTGAATGGAGAGTCCAGTTTTCTTGTAAAGTCTTTCCAGTTGGCAGCCTTTGGTTTTCATGGAGCGGAGGTGGGGGGTGTACCAGGGTGCAGTTGTGGAGAAGGAAACAGAGCGTGTTTTGAGTGGAGCGAGGGAATTGAGGATGCTATTTAAACAGGTGTTGTAATGAGATGTTATGTCATCAGGGGTAGTGTAACAGTCCGGGATCACAATATTCATAATCTTAGAGCACAGAGTGTCAATGTTTATGTTCTTAAGGTTGCGGAATGTAATGAGGCGTGGTGAATAAACTCTAGAGAGGGAGAGAGGAATACTGAAGGAGATGAGGAGGTGGTCACTTATGTGGAGATCATCAGCTGTGCAGTTGGATGGGATGAGGCCAGAGCAGCAGAGTAAATCCAGAGTGTGTCCTTTAGTGTGTGTCGGGAAGTTGATGAATTGATGGAGTCCAAAACTGTCCAGGCAGGATGAGAAGTCTCTGGTGAGGGGGAGGTTGGTGTTGTCAATATGGATATTGAAGTCCCCCAGTATTATTATGTTTGGTGAGAGTGTGCATAGATGGGTGAGTAGAACCGAAAAGTCATTTAAGAAGTCAGAGTGAGGCTTGGGGGGGCGGTAGATGGTGGCGATGATGGTGGGAGTGGGTCCAGGGAGTGTAATTGCCAGAAGTTCGTGTTAGGAGAAAAGAGGCAAGGACAGCGGTAGAACTTTCCACTTTTTGTGGTGGATGACGGCGATACCTCCACCACGGCCGTGGCTGCAGGGGTGGGAGAGGTAGGTGTAGTCCGGGGGGGTGGAGTCGTTGAGTGATGAGAAGTCATTTGGTTGTTGCCATGTTTCAGTGATGCAGAGGAAGTCCAGCTTGCGGTCAGTGAGGAGATGATTCGTCCCTTGTTGGTGAGTGAGCGGATGTTGAGGAGTCAGAAGCTGACAGAGGTATTGTCATGTTTGGTGAGGATGGGAGCCAGTATGGATGGGCTTGTTAAAACAGAGTGATTGACAGTCCGGGTGGTGTATCTATTAGAGTGGTGTCTGTTGGTGATATGGACAGGAATAGTGAGAAGTTGGATACTACTGTAATTATTAGGGAGTGGGGAAAAAATGTCATGAAAACCTGTGGGAGAGGGAGTCGGTGACAGAATTTGCCAGCAGGGGGAGCTCTGGGGAGGACCTGTCAGCAGTGGGTGCACCACAGAGGGAGAGGGGTGTGTGTGTGGGGGGGGAAGTAAATAGTCAATCACGTGGGAAACAGTGAACAGTGTGCTGCAGGTTAGCCGCTAACATGCGGCTACCTGCGGTGTTCGGGTGGATACCATCCGATTTAAGAAGGGACGAACGGTTCCAAAAAAGATTAAAATTGTCCACGAAGGCAAAGCTATGGGCTTGGGAGGCAGATTGGAGCCAGGTGTGCAGGCTGAGCACTCTGCTGAAGCTCCCACACCCACGACCAGAAGTGGGAATGGGGCCGCTGATAAAAACAGACAGTTCACAGTTCTTCAGAAAGTTAAAAAGTTGGGTAAAACGGTCCTTCGTGAGCTCGGTCTGGAGGAGGGACGTGTCATTGGTGCCAACATGAATTATAATTCTCTGGATGGAAGTTGGCAGAGATTTTAACAGAGTGGGGAGGAGTGTTAAAATGTCAAGGACCCTCGCACCGGGGAAACACCGCGTGAGAGCGTTAAAAAAGCGGATGTTTCTCACGATGGAGTCGCCCACAATTAAAGTCGTTGGAGGGAAAAGTGGACGTGGAGACTGCGTGACCAGAGAGGAATGGGGAGGGGGGGAACTCGCCGGGGAGGACAACTGAGGCGAGAGGGAAGGGACACGGGCCAGCCGTGGTGCCGGTGTGAAGCACGGCATCGAGCGCCGCCGGAGGGACCCGGCGTGCGGATGGTCGGGCACGGGAGGCGGAGGACCGGAGGACCCATGAGATAGCCGGGTGGACATCGGCTGGGATCCCGCGGGCAGCGGGGGGGAGTCATGGAGGTCCAGGGTGTCAAACCTGTTCTCCAGGTGGAGTTGGAAGAGGGGAGCCTGAGGTGGGAGCTTTGTTTTCCCGGTGCGGGCGGTGATGTGGGACCAGTGCTCCTGCAGGGATGGAGTGGAGGTAGCTGGAGGCTCTGGATTAGCCTTGGGTTTTGCTTCCAGCCTTGTCGAGGAGACCTCGGGGAAGAAGGATGGATGAGCAGGCGGAGGAGAGGTGGTCGCAGCAGCCGGGGGAGAGGTGTTGGGAGCGGCGGGGTCCGGATCCGTCGAGCCGGTGGAGTAGGGATGTGATGTTCTGAAGACGATGGTGTCCATGAGTTTCTCGGCTTCCTGGATCTGGTAGAGTGTGGAGATCCTTTGTTCCAGCTCCTGGATCTTTTTCGCCAGACAGGCGCAGCTGGCACAGCCGGGTGGAGAGGAGTGTGGAGCCATGGCTGAAATGGAGAAAACAACAGCCAGCAGACAGCCAACGACACCAGGCAGGATCTAATAGAGGACAGTCTGGATCGGGGATTGGACTGTGCCGAGAAGGACACTTACACGCCAGGGCTCCGTCCTGGAGCCCGCAGCGGTGAGGAAGCAGATCAGACAACACGGTAGGAGACTTACCGGCGAGGGCCCCGGAAGAGGGCCCGCTGATGGTGGAAATCTCAGGTAAGTCTCTCTCTCGGCGTTCCAGCCGTGATCGATGTGACCGGGGGTATTTTATTTGATCTGTTTGTGTATTGGTCGATCGTTGTAACCGTTGTAGCCAGGTAGATGCTCTGGGTATCTGGGGTCAATCCGTTAGAGTCGTCTGTTAGAGTAGCTGGACTCCACACGGCGCCGCCATCTTGAGGTCAAAGGGGATTTGAAAACCATTTTATTCTGTTTTTATTCACATTTTGCACAATGCCCCAACTTTTGATAGTTGCTTGAACCTCTATTAATTATGTGTGATAAAAGGGAGAAGAAGAAAAGAAAAAGACCTTCATCTCTGCACATGGTTCAAGAGACATCTCACAACTCAGAGTGATGTATTTCCTTAGACCAATCTTTGCAAAAAACTGGCAGGAGAAAAATTACTGTAATGACCTTTTAGCAGAAGTGAGGAGCCAAGTCTGTTGGTCTTGGTCTCAGTACAGAAAAAAAGCACAGTCTATTTTGGCACAACAGAACAGAGCAAGTATGCTTGGCAGAAGGTGGGGGGATGAGAAGCCATTTTTAGAAATTGAGGTTGAGGACAGCATGCTATGGGCTAGTGAGGAAAAGTACCAGTATGTTCCTGGATTACTCTGTCTTTCCCACTGTGTGAATGTTTTAAGCTGGAGGAGCAATAAAGTTTACTGAGGTTTAGAATATTCTCAGTATTGTAGGTTTTAATGTATGCTCAGCAAGCATGTTCTCCTCAAAACAAAAAATGAACAGGAATAGGTGAGTGCCTTTTAGATGCAATAGCAGTGACAGGTCAGTTTAATAACACTAAATAAAAACACACCACTCATAATGTTTAATTGCACAGTTAGAAAGCATTGTGGTTGCTTTAAACAATCCTCATAAGTTATTTGAGGTGTTCATAATAACTTACACCAATGTTTATGAACTGCAGCTCAGTATATCTTTTCTATGTGTATGGCAGGATAACTACTTTTGTCTGAAACCAACTGTTGCGAGTTTTCTCAGGTATATACATGTATCATTTCCACGCATGTGGCTGAATTAGAATATCCACAATTCACTATACTTTAACCAAAATGACAGCAGACAGAAGATTCAAATATTTACAATTCAATTTTGCACTTTAAATATTTCAACAAAATTAGGGCAGTTGGTAGTTGAAAATGAAAACAACAACAACAAAACAGCAGATAATTGAAAAATAAAGGGAAAATTAAAATTATTCAACCTCTAAATATCATGAGTGAAGTAGCTTTACTGCGCAGTTTGAAAGGGCAGATTTTTTTTTAACAAATTAAACATAACTTCAAGAAGCATCTGTAATGCAAGATAAATGTTCTCCTGCATTTGTTAAGTTGTTCTTATCCAAATCTCCTAATAATATACATTTTTATGCACAACAACCGCTTTCTCTTTAACCTTTTTCTCTTTTTGGAATTGTTCCCTTTTTTTTTTAATCAAAACCTAACTCATGACTATGGAAGCACATTGCATTTACGAAATTAAAAAATTTCAGACACCTCATCTCATAATTACGAGATCCTGATCTTGTAATTCCAATTTTTTTCTCGTAATTATGAGATCTGGATCCAGGAATTACAAGATAAGGTGTCTGATTTGAGATGAGGAAAGGCGCCACATTGGCCAGAGTTTCACTCAGAACCACTAACTGCACATCCATGAAGAGGTAAATTCATACAGAGGCACATTGCATTCACTGAGTGTGGTGAGTAAATCAAAAACTTGATAAACTGTAGCATTCTACCGGACATGTTAAAAGGATGCTGAAAGAATGAGTTGATCCAAAAAACCTTCACTATATACAGAAATCATGTGTAACCACACCAAAACAACAAACTTATCTGACTGCTCTCACTAGCTCTTAGCTCCTCAGTCACACACATAAACACAGAGCAGGACCCTGTATCTCTTCCCCCCCTGCCCCCTCGCTTTCTCATCCAACCACATACATGCCTGTGCCATACACATTCACAAACGGTTAGAAAACACAGACCTCTTCAACATTTTAACTGGAACATTACACTCTTAAAAAGGTTGGGTTAAAAACAACCCAATTTGGGTCGTTTCCCAACCCAGCGCTATTTAAATTTGGGACATAACGTATGCCGGATTAATTTTACTCAACTAATGGGGTTGGTTCACTTAACCCAACAACCCAACCTTAACAGCTCCCTTTCCATTTTACTGACGGAAAATGAACTTTGGAGTTTGTAAACATTTTACAGTTTTCTTTTTTTTTTTATATGGTTTTCTTAGCTTCTTAACATAAACAATACAGAACAGGAAGTTGTATCTTGCATTCACTTCACTCCACTCCACATCACAAAGTCATCCATTGATTGTTCCAATCAACCTGAAACATCCAGACAGAGAGTCCATTAAAGCAGTAGTTCAACATTTTAGACCACACCACACTACACCGTACATTATCTAACATGTTAGCTTGCTACATTTGAGACAATGTACTTTATGTTACTCACGTTGGCTAACCATTAGCTTGCTCACCTACCAATTGATTACTGAAGGCAGAAGCTGGTACACAACAGTGCTTCACAACCTTACATCTTAAAAACAAAATGAGGGTCTATAACAATATCAAGTCATCTATATTGTAAAGCAATAGTGGGAATGTAACAAACCTTGCTTTGTATGTCTCCCCCTTCTTTAGCAGCTGTGGCATCAAACTGGTGAGTGGGTGGTGCTTGGTTTTCAAATGCCCAAACGTCTACCCAATGTGTTGGGTAGTCCATAACGAACCAACAAAACTGTGTAGAAATTACAACCCAACAGCTAATAACTCTGTTCCAAACATAAATAAACTTGTGAATTGGGTACTCAGAATACCCAACTCCATGAAAATAACTCAAATAAATTGACAAACAGGCTCAACCTAGTGGTAGGGTTGAAAAAACAACCCAGCATTTCTTTGTGTGTAGTCTCCTGCAGGGTTGCTACAATACTAATATTAATACCTTCCTAATTTTTAGGAAACTTCAGTATTACCTTGTGGCCCAAACCGAAAGATCGTAAGAGCAGATTAACTGGGATAGCGCCACTATTACTACTAAGTGAGGATTTACAGACATTTCCTTTTCATTTATCTTATCTTGTAATTATGAGATCCTGATCTCGTAATTACGAGATAATGTGTTTGATTTATTTTATTATTATTTTTATGCAGTGAATGCAATGCCCTTCTGTACATGATAGCTTAATTTTGTCCTACTTGTTAAAATATTCCTAACAAGTCTGTTTTGGTAAATGAAGCTTAATGCTACAAACAGTACGGACAGATAATATTAGAGGACAGTCAACTAGAGTAGCTAAATCACAATGTGTCTAGATCAGTAACTGCAAACTGCTAGTTGTCAGGTCTGTATGTCTTCAGGACTTAATCAACATCAATATCACAAATAAAATCAATATATTTCCTGAAATAGAAAGATTGAGGAAAAGCACAATTAATCAATGTCTATTCAAGTAACAACTAAATTCATTCAATGTAGGAAATCAACACAATACAACACCCGTTTCAGTACTTTGTGAATTACAATCATAAACCGCAAATTTTACTCTTTGTGTCAATAACAAATTGTTAAACTGATGGCATATTATTTTTAATATGGACACAATGCTCTATGTGTGGATCCACATGCGAGTTAAGATCAGACCTCAAGAAGATTCTCTAATCAGAGAAGTTGTCCAGCTGAAAGGCTCAAGATCTGTCTTTGAAGTTTCTAGCTTAAGCTGCTTCTTAGGAGGAAAAAAGGGAGGCAAAGAAACAACACCAAGACATGGAAAATGATATACTGAGTGACCTGCAGAACAATTCTTTGTATGCAGCCTGTGGGCTGCTGGCAGGCTCAGAAAGAAAAGATAGTGACATCACAGAATGACTCACTGAGCTGAGTCTCTTTTGAGGAGCTGTAAGCGTGGTGAACATGTGTGGGCGGACAGGCTTTTCTTTAACATACACTCCATCGTCTTTTAAATTGACAAGATGTGATCAACTCCTTAGTGATGATACATTTGTTGTTATTGTTACAGTTTTTTAAAAAATTTTTAATGCGATAATTGAAGTTTTACAAAGGAAAATCAGATGAGCCTCTAGCCCTGGAGTTATTACAGAGCCAGAGTTCTGTCTTGGGAAAATAGAAAAAAAGGCAGTACAAGCCAAGTATATAAATATGCATTTCTATTGAAATTATAGTATACCAAAGAGGTAAACGTTAAGGTAAACGTTAAGGGCCCATCCTATTTGTCACTTTTTTCCCTTCCACTTCATCTTACCCTTTTGTCTACCCATTCCCCTTGGCCCTCTGTTTTTAGGGCAAGGGGAATGGGTGGAAATTTGCTCCTAAGAAACGCTACTCGATTTCCGCTGGGTCATCATGCCTTGCCCCATGCTAGCTGTGTCATAGGCTGATGTGACAATAAACAGTATTCCGATAAACAGTACATTGCAGTAGAGCCAGTTTGCTGTGAATTTGTCACCCAAGTCTGACATCAGTGTAGCTATCATTGGCAATCACTAGCTCGTCATAACTAGTGATTTTTAAACACAAACAATTCGAAACATGGCAAATATTTATGTGGAGTAGCAAAGGATTGAATATTTGATTAAAAAAAACACAAGTGTCATTACTATGAAAATCATATTAAAATCATACCCATAGCATTCAAGCGTGGTCCCCGTCTGTCTTTGTTTCAAGGGCTGTGTACCCCTTGCCCCCCTAACCTTATGGAGAATTGAGACACCCTTTTTCTTGACGTGAACATGCAAAACCAAGGGCTAAGGGATAAGACAAGAGCTAAGGGTTACAATTGGGATTAGCCCTAAGTCTAGTAATACTGGTTTTGTAATAAACACCTACAATTATTATGACAAATTCACACTTCATTAAATTTTCAGGACATTGCTTTGCCAAAGTTTAATGATAGTTTTAAGGTTTCAAAAGGAGGCAGCACATCTCATGTTCCAAGTTATGGAGGGCAATAAATCAACATTTCACCAGTTTTATTTGGCTTACATCACAAAAAAACAAATGCTTACGTGTTTTGGCACAGGGCCTTTATTAGAGTGTTTGTTGGACTGATTACACAGGTAACCTAATATATGTTTTCTCATCAGCAGAGTTAAGTTTCTACACAGCTGCAAGTGGTGTCCATTGAGTGAAGCCCCAATCACTTCTCTATCACTTTGTAAGAGCTAATAGCTACTCACAGCCAAGGTTAATATCCACATGACAGTAATGTGGTTGATTAATTAGTGCTCAGCGTTATACATGAACAAGTTCCTGAAGTGAAATATATCCAACACAACTAGTCCTACTTTAAAAAGCATGAAAAGCAAACTGAAATCATCATTGAGTCTATTGGGTGTCTCCTTTTGAGACCTCTAGTTTTCCTTACATTGTATTCCCCCCAGTGTGGTTGCTCTTTGTCCTTTACCCGTATCTCTTTGACATACGTACCTGTGCTATGTATATTGCCAGTGTATTGTTTTACCCATTTGTTGTTTGATATAATCATCTTTGTCTGAACTTTGGTCCTCTCATTTTTGTTTATATTATATGTGATGCATAAAAGTTATTTGTGTTGCAATAGACAAGCTCAGAACGTAACATATTTGAGGCCATTAAGAAGAGAATTTTTCCTCTAAGCAAATGCAATATTTTTTAAATAATGCTCTGGCATAAGTACCTAACAATTCTAAAACCTAATATACCACACATCAAAAAGGAGGTATGTGTTGTAAATTTAAGATGTGATAATTCACTGTTGATGGGTAAAGAAAAAAATGTAAATACTGGGACAATATTTTGGACAACCATTATGTTCTGATCTTAAACCAACATTTACATTTTAGTGCATTTTCTTACTGATAGCTGTTTGTTTACCAATCTGGAATTTATATCAATACTCCTATTTTGCTTTTAAAAGCAAACAACGCAGTCAGCAAGAAAACATACTGTATCTGTTAAATATTTTTTTATGCCTCTAACTGCTGCCAATAGGATTAGTCAGAAGAAGCACTGCAATGCCACAATGCTGAAACAGAATCTCTATTTTACAGAAGATGTCACTGGGTGAAAGTTATAATAAGAAGGCAGGATGAGACACACAAACTAAGCATGTCCAGGGCAAGATCAACAGAAAGACAAGGTACTGACACGTCTATAAAGGACTACAACATCAACAGAAGATGAACCTAACAATAGCTTGAACTAATCATAACAAAAGTGACTTGGGTTGTTATTGTATTGATCTATCACTTATCATAAGGAATAAATCATGGTTAGAGATTTGTTAAATCAGTTTGAATACAGATCATCTGAAGGGTAGTCTACTGCAAGCCCCAGTCACAACATAAAAATCCACAAACAAGAAATTAGTTGAATGAGCAAAGTTGCTAGCATCAGACCCCTTATCAACTATAACATTTATCAGACTCACTCACCTGGTCATCACTGTCAAAAATGCACCTAATATCTTTGCTCCTTACACCCACTGAGGTGAGAGAATGTAAGTGGTTGAGGTTTTATGCAAAAGTGCCTCCTGAAGTGTTTTCCACTCTATTTGACTTCTGCCACATTACCTGAGAAGGCCAAATTGACAACACTGTATTATACTGAAATGCGGCCATGTATTCCACAGCACAGAATGAGAAATAACAACCCACACACTGCTGCATGGCGTGGGAGTTGAGGACATGCATGTGGGAGGAGAGAAGAGGACGGGAGAGAAAAATATTTGCTCTTGTTTCAGATTTTCTCCTCTCATTGTTTCTGTTAAAACATTTACTTTATACTGTTGGTTGCATACATCTGCAGGGATTTTGTTGATGCATTTTTCCTAATTATTTTTCGTTATACAGTGGTCGGCATCCATCATAAATATTAAATTACCATGACAACACACCTTCCACTGCCTATTTGCCTTTACTCGGCTTTGTGGTATCTAAAAGCAATCCCTAAAAATCACACAAGATTATTGGAGTTCCATTTCATTCCATCAGAAATTTCAACAGTTTATTATATCAATAAAAACACATTAAAATAACAGAGCTATTTTCTTTTATGTTGTTACACCCTTGTTTAAATCAAACTTCAAGAAGTGCAGTGGGATCTTACAGATCTGAGCATGATAAACTAGGTTGAAATGGCATACCTTTAGTTCAATGCAAATTTAAAACAAAGAATTTTGGTTGCAGTTTGAGGTTCATTTGATCTCACAAACATATGACCACATGGGTGGCTAAAATGTTTTAACTAAGTGACTTAATAACCTTTGTTCCATTTTCTTTGCTGATTTAATTTAAAAGAACAGGCTGTTCAGAGAACAATGAAATCTACAGCATTCATTCGGTTGAAAAACCTGTGGTTGTACACAAAAGTTGACAACTCATTTTTCATGCAACTCTCAAAAGTATGTGCATTTCTGTTTGTGGTGTTAAACTTTGGAACGGCCTGGATGTCACTTTGAAAATGTCCAGTAACAAAAAAATATTTAACTCGCACTATAGAGAAGTATTAAAAGATTCATATAAGTAAACTAACAAAAATATGGCTTCATACTAAATGTACTTGATTGCATCAAAGTAATATTAATTCTGGATATTATAACACTGATTATTATTAAAGTATGCATATAATTATTTTTAATAACATATGTAGTGTTTAGCATATATCTTTGTGTATAACATGTAGATGTTTATACAGATATTTGTAATTTATACAGTTAGATTTTTTTATTTTACATTCATTATTGGCTCTGATTTGCAAAGAAGGGGCAGGACTAGATAATCTCTTTGCTTCATTCTGTTCCTTCTCAAACTGTTTGTTTTTGACATACAAATGTTTGTGTAAATTTATTTTTGACATGTACAGTTGTTTGGTGTACATGAATATTATTTTGCTCAGTGTTTTTGTTACTAGTTGTTTTTTTTTTTTTTGGTTCTTAAAGTTTGAGATAAATAAAGAAGAAAGAAAGAAAGTAAGGGAAATACAAAGCAGTCAGGAAACACAATAAAGAATACACAATAAATGGAGAGTTTGATTTCTTTTTACTGTTTGCCACAATGACTTTTACCCTCCTCTTGTCCTGTTCCTTGGTATCATCCCCCCCCCCCCCCTCTCTCTCTCTATGAGCTGACCAATGTTGGGGAAGTTACTCCAAAAAAGTAATTCGTTACTTATTACTCATTACTTCTGAAAAATGTAATGAAATTACTTTACTCATTACTTCATTTGAAAAGTAACTTCACTACTTATTACTTTACTTTCCTGTTTTTTAATCTACCGTTCAGATATATGCACAAACTTCATAGCGCCATAACTTGGTGTTTATTGAATAAATGTATACAAAATACATTATACATACATATAACACCATACGAAAGAACAGTGCCTCCTATAACCTGGGAGATTCTATTGTGGACAGTGGAAGCATTTCCTCTACGATGAACCCTGCAGCCAGTCTTGTTATTTCTTGATGTGTTACCTGCTTCTGTGCTCCGATGGTTGAGAAAAGCTTGGCTTGTTTAGGGGGGGTCGGCTGCTGATCAACTCCCTCGGTTTGCCGGAGAGCAGGCTCTTTCGCCACAAGTTTTGTACTGGCATGAACGTTAGTCAAATGTTTGGCGAGGTTGCTCATAGACTTTGCAGAAGTTGAAAGCTGTCTGTCGCCGGGACATATGGTGCATTTTACTCTTATATTTTTGTCCTTACGAGCAACAAATTCAAAATAGTGACTATATCGCCAGTTTCGCCACTTAGCAAAGCCACTCTCACTCTCCGTGTCCATCTCCATTTTCCCTCTTCCCGCGCAGGTGCGCACCACGCAACTCTATCACTATGGCAACGCTCTGGCGTCACACACACAGGCAGGCAGCGCGTCCGCATGCAGGCACCGCTGACGGATCAAAACTATTCACATTGGCAAACAGAGCTTGGGTAACGCAGGAAATCATGTTCCTCTGGTCTAGTAAAGTAGTGTAGTTACTGATATTTTTAATGTAACGCCCTACTTTACTTCGTTACCCCCAAAAAGTAATATTGTTATGTAATTCCGTTACTTTATAACGCGTTACCCCCAACACTGGAGCTGACAAACAAAAGCACTGTGTTTACCTTAAAAGTGACATGTAATCAAGTCATTCAAAAAGCTAGGATGAGAATAAATTGTGAAATTTCTTCTTATCGTCTTTATTTTTTCTTCTTTATGAGATCAAAAATCAGTAATAACTTTATTTTGCTATATTATAATGTTTATCTTTCCTAAGTCAATAGTTCAAGCTGAATGTTTTACTATTAAACAAGTGGATATTTGGTTTTTATAGTCATGAACTAGGGTTTATGTCATGTGGTGGCTGACTTAATTTAGCAGTAGATTAATGTACGTTTGCTGTACACTAAAAGTGTAAGTAAACTCAACAATAAACATGATAATCTTCTAATACAATATAGCAAGGAAAACTTTAAGGGGTGATATGTCACATGCCCAATTTCACCTGAAACCACTACAAACCACAACGATTCTATAAAAATACATGTTCATAAGCCAGTTAGTGATCCTTTTTTGGTTGTATTTTTAAAAAAATCTGTTAAATCTGTTTAATTATGTCACTGTTACTGTATTATGACCTTCATTTTCAGAGGAATTTGTTCTGTAAATTAGCAATTTTCCGAGTACTTTGTCTGGCCTTTCTGCACTAAAAAGTGTTCTCAGTAATGCATGATAAATCCTAATCCTTATTATGTCAATGTGAAAGACAGTCTGTGGGTCAAATCCTATTTTTTACTTGGAGAGTGGTAGGGAAGAGACAGGGCAGTGTATACTCTATTAATATCCAGTGCTGCTGGTAAGAAATGTCATTTCATGAATTACCTTTAGACAAAAGTTTGTGTTGATCTATTGTTCTGATAGATGATCAGCAGTCATTCCATTCTATTACCAGAATTATTTCTGCGGAGGGTTACCAGTCAAACCACATCCAGCAGAAAATATCTCATTTGGTTCAGAGACAATGATAAATCTGTGAGTTACGCAAAATCTTTTGTGAAGCATGCAAGATGCTGTATGACTCAATCTGATTAACTCTGGAATAAGACATCTGAGTGATCAGTATTGCACTCGCAGAATAAGCGTTTTCTGTAAATATTCTCTTATTTGATGCAAGGAAGCTTTCTTTCAATTTTCCATGATTCAAAAAAGAAAAGAGGAAGAGGCAAAAAAAGAGGTGTTTGCCCTACCGTGTAAGACATAAAAATCTTGTGACACAGAAATATCTCTCATCACCATTGGAGATAGAATAAATAAAGAGCTCTGAATATTCACTCTTGTAAGAGTGTATGTGATGAGTAAGAGTGGCCAGGATAAAGGCAAAGACAGGTCACTGTGAGAAAAAAGACTGGCATCTTTATATTAATAGGACTCTCTGTGCACTACAACTGGAAGGCTCTGTGGTGGGCACACATGGGTTCGAATCCATTAACCCCTTATGTGTCACAGACTCAGGTTAAGCAGCAGAAAACAAGGCAGGTGCTCAGCTGCAACCATTTTCACTCCCACAGCGCAAAAATATACATGAGAGGAAAATTAAGGTCTGCACAGTTTAGAATAACAGAGGGCAAGGGGTTTGTTGACATGACTTTCAAAACTGTAACTCAGGCTTTCAGATGCTGACTTTAGTCATATTATAAATTATTGTCTGTGAACAATAAATTCCTTTAAAACATCAGTAAATAGCAACTTTGGATGATGTGTTTAGGTTGATCTTGCCTTATGCTAATGTTTCTGATACCATATTGACTTCTTGGGGTTTGGCAACGTGTTTGAAAGAGCTATTTTGATTATAAAGATACCAAAAGTGGATAATTGTCACAGCGATGAACGGTCTGTGGCGCTAGGACGTACTCCAAAAAACAGTCACTTGATGTTTGAAGGACTTATTCAAAAATAAATAAATAAATAAATGTCCACAAAAGCTTCTTGAAAATTAAAATTGAATTCAAAGATAACGAAAGTTCTGCTTTAACTAAGAAACAAGTCCAATATACGTGTGGTAAAAAACTGTTTAAAACCATCCCCTTCACACTGGCAGACTGACACCACTAGCCGTGACGTGTGACCACAATCACATGACCAAAATAATAACATCAGAAATACCAACCAATAAATCAACTCTGCTTAGATCCAACTAAACAAAAAAGACGTCAATCATAAACAGTTTATAAATATGAAATGGTTACATCTATTAAATTTGTTTTGATAATACTTTAATTATGTCAGTGATGCTTCTTAATGATGTAAGCCTATATTTCTCTACATATTTCTGATTTCTTTGGGTTGTGTTAAATGATAGCAGTGTTGCATATCCACCGTGGTAGCGCTACCAGAGGCTCAGTGGTAGAATTGGTCATCTCCCTATTGGAGGGTTGGGGGTTTGATCCCACGTCCTGTTGTAGTCTAGCGAGAATATGCTGATTTTTGAGGCGATAGTGCAAATGGTGATATAAGCATGAAATTTGGTACAGATATCCTTTATACCACTACTAATCATAATATAACCTCTGGCCACCTGGGCGGAGCCATTTTTCATGATACCTGCAAGCTTTTAGAAATGGCTGTCACCGGGTCAACGTTTTGGACAGTATCACTCTGCTGCAGCTATAAAGCTTACACATACCCTCATTTTAATTTATTATAATGTTTTAGGTATGTATTCCAATTAAACACAAGATATTAGGTTCCAATATGGTGTCAAATTTCCAATATGGCTGCCGATAAATAGCAGAAATATACTGCAGTTCACGGTTAAGCCATAAGAGCATGCAGCACATAGTTGTATTTATTTCCATAGATAGAATCAATTTATGATGACACATAAGTGTTTGCATTTTAGTGACATAGGTACCTTTACCCAGACCAGCACGCCAAGGTAGGACCCACATATGTTTCAAGGTGGGCTTCCTATATGGGAAGTTCGTGGAGTACACTTGGTTCCCACTTGGGCTGTCCATGTGAGTACTGACTGGGCCCTAAGTGGGTAGTTTTTTTGTTTGTGTTTTTTTTTTTGTGCTTTTTTGTGTGTTTTTTTCTCTTTTTTTGTTTTTTGTGTTTTTTCTCCCTTTTTTTGTTTTAGATGCAGGCCTACTATCTGCCTGTGATGAAGGCATGGAGGGTATTTCTGTCTGTGTGTCCATTGCTGTTGTCTAGGCCGAGGGATTATCCTTATATACCACCTATTAAAGACAATTTACTATACTACTCTACACTTTAAAGTATGGGATACAACTGGGCTAAGATAATAACGAGATCACTATCCTACCCCCAGCCTAATCATTCATCCAATGCCATTTAATTTCTGTGTGATCTATACACCTTCCAGAAGACTAAAGCCCCATCTTCCTTGGCTTGGCTCTCCCACACTGGCACATCCTGTCAATTCAGTTGCGGCTGTTTAACTTTAACTTGGGGCAAGCTAAACAGCGTTTAGGAAACTAGACAATTTATTTCGACAAATTTACTAGCTAGCATTGAACCCCATGCTGAGTCTCACAGCTATAGTGTCAACTAGTGTGCCCTGGTAGTGCAATGACACTACACAATATATTATTGATTTGTCATGTTATATGGTGTGGCCATTTTTAAAACAAATATGGCCTTTCATAATAGCTCATGTCTATGACATATAAATAACCCTGATCTATTATGAATAAATATATGACAAACTTCCAAACAGCAGCTATAATGACCAACAAAATACAGAATTCTTCCCATTTCTATTTCTGGGCGGCCATCTTTTAAAATGGTTGAAATCTGCTTAGCCAAAGGTTGATTCTAAAATATGGTCATATTAAGGTCATATGTACCAAATTATATGGTTGTATCACCATTTTGATCATCCTTTCAAAAATCAGCAATTTAGAGTGTGACTAGGCCGCCATATTGGATATTTGCTGCTATATTGGAACCTAATATGTTGTTTTTAATTGGTATAAATATCTAAAACATATTATATTATTTCAAAGGTAGGGTAAATGTAAGATTTATAGCTGCAGCAGAGTGATAGAGTCTAAAACGTTGACCTGGTGGCAGCCAAATGGCGCCACCCAAGTGGCCAGAGGTTATATTATGATTAGTAGTGGTATAAAGGAGCTCTGTACCAAATTTCATGCTTGTATCACCATTTGCACTATTATCACATATTCCTGCTCCACTATCCCTCGGATAATCATGAAAGCGTCCGCTATCCCTTTTATATTAGTGATCCAGCTCCATTTGAGAAATCTCTGTTAAACCTAAAAGAGAGGATTCCAATGTGTCAACAATTACATAATATAATGAAGGGTATGTTCGTGACATGCCTCCCCGCCCCCAACTCCCCGCCCTCTGCAGCCAGATTGAATGTGACGTTTAGAGGCCGTGCATGGGTGGGATCGTCAGATTAGTGAGTCACCCCTCCCTTTCCCTTTCTCTCAGCCCTGACACTGGAGGATAGGCAGCGCGCAGCATCGGTGGAGCTGCTCGTTGGTGTACAGACCGACGGAGAATTTTCCTCGGTGCGTTACTGGACACGGAGGAACTGGGTTACTGACCATGGGGTCACCTCACCACGATCCCCAGCATCCTTGGCGGTGTCAGCACACTTTACTGTCTTGACTGCAGCGCGTGATCACGACGATTAAAACATAACTCAGGTTTTTCGGCGAGTCCCGGTCCGGGAAACTTTGTCTTTCCTTTCTTATTAATTATCCGGAATCGCGGGGAATGGAGGTTCCTAAATTCCTGCTTACGAGAGCAATTCTGCTCTTTATTGGAGGGAATATATTAACCAGGTGAGATATGCCTCTCTATTTACCACTTGCAGGTAGCCTATCTTTGTGTCGCCCTTAGTGCAGAGCGCTCCGGGAAACTCCGCTGCAGGTAGCATATATTGGGCAGTCGAAGACCAGCATGTAGGTACGTTTAACACTATTAGGAAATGATACATTTACGAAAGCTCTGCTGACTATTTCTGGTAAGATTCATCCCTATAATAAAGCATACGAGGTTTATTTCTCCACGGAGACAAATTCAAAGTCATCTTAATGTTTGCAGTTCGGTGAAGCGGATAACGTCACTCTTCTAGGCCCGCTGAACCAGTGCTGAATTGTGATGCTGACATGACTTTGAACAGGCCTTTCTGTGGATAATGACATGCGTATATTACAACAGAGCTGCACATTTGATACATCCGCAGAGAATGATGGTCTGCTTTGAGTAGTTAGCAGAAGGAAAGGCACCAGTAAATTTTAGCCATGATTTCTGTCTTGGCTGTAAGATCTCATGTTGAGTGCTTATTTTTATAGGATTAGTGTCTAACTATGAACAGATGTTCTGCTGTAGAAAATAAGTTACATTATGTCTTTTGCAGGTAAAGAGAAAAATGTGCACTGAAGAAAAGCCCTGATAGTGAATACATATTTATGCTATTTTAACTGTCATCTCATTGAAATTTAGTGGGACTGCTGGTTGTTATTATCCAGATTGATTACCTTCTCCCACATAGATCTCTGAAATACCAACAGCACATGTTTTGCCTTTGTGTTGTGGTTAGCAAAGATGTTTGTCTGCAAATGTAAAATTTACATCCATGTTTTCCATAGAGGTCTACTGTACAATATTCTCGGTGAAGCTGGCAAACCTCCATGCATTTGTTGAGAGGCTTTATAGGCAGCCCATTCTTAAAAACATCTACCACTGAGCTCCCAGAGTTCAAAGCCCATTTACTGGCAAGTGCCTCCTTTGTAAAGGGCAGAGAGGGAAGCTGCTTAAGCTTTCGGTCAAATTTCGGCAAATGGCATCCATAGTCCCTCTTGACATAATACCAGTAGGGGGCGTAAAAGCTTTTGTATTTTCCTCCCTGTCGTCTCTTTTTGCAGTAGTTAGTTCACAATGCAATAGAGAGTGTAGGCTATTTGTGCTATTCATCAGCTCTTATTCTTTCTGTTTGGTACAATTATACATGCACCAACAGATTATGCAAACCATGTTTCTGAATGTGGTATTTTTATAACCTATTTTCTCAAGCTGAGGTTTTACTTATCCTTCTTAAAAAAGTAGTCATGTAATTGATAGTGTAATATATTTACTGATTTCCCATATAATTGTGCCCTACAAGAATCTATTTACAACCCATTAGATGTGGTTTAAAGACAGAGAAGCTCTCCACACAGTCAGTGCTGGAAGCATGAAATCAAGACAGTTGGTGAGGATGGGCATGTAACAGGTTACGTCACTTGCATTATGTAACTTCCCTACATAACTTCCAATTGTATGTAGCCAACTTATTTTAACCCAGTTCAAAATTTCTTGCCCGACTTGCAGCGTGTAATTTCCAACTATAGCATTGCTGTTTCAGTTGCAGACTCACCACTGACCATATGTCAACCTCACATCTTCAGTTGGTGTTGTATCAAATATTGCAGAAAGCAAGTAATCAACATTTAAATATTAGTATACAAAAACAATGATTAAGTATGTGTGATCAACAAATTCTGATGGCCAAAATTCAACTGTGAATGTACAAAGACCCAGTAAACAACATTGAGGACCAAGATTGTTGAAGCTTTAAGGTCATGTATGAGCAATCAAAGAACAAGAACTTTTGGTGTGGTTGATTTGATGGCAATGTAACCCTGTGAAGATATAAAGTAGATTTTTTTGTGGGTTTGACTCCTGGCACCCTGTTTCTTTCCCATCCAGTCCCAATGTTTTAAGTCTCTGTTGAAGCCACTGTAAATATTTACTATTGTAACATCCGACCAGCTTCTTTATCAGGTCTTCCTTGCCCTAGGTCTCATGATCGTAACTTGTTGGTCTTAAATTCCTACAAAAGCTAGTAGTAAGGTAGTAAGCACTGGTCCTCCTCTTTTTCTCTGAGCATACAGGAAAGTCTGTTGAACTACTAGCTGCACAGCAAATTTAGTTAATGAGTCATTGGCAGGTACTTGGGATGTCCCAATCCTGAGCTTGACTATTGCATCAGAGGATTTTTTTATTGATCTGTGATCAACAATTTGAGCTGATCATCTAACCCAGTCATTTATATCAGTTATCACTAAGCACAATTAGTGCAGTGAGTGATTATGCCAGTAACATAAGGTGCTTACAGTATATACCGCCATTATTTATGCCCCAGGTACAACGGTCGGGAGCGGTGATGGGGAGAGAGACAGGGGTGATGTGTAGCTTAGAAGCTGACAGGGCATAACAGCACTGTACACTAGGGCTGCCACAAATGATTAATCTGATAATTGAAGTGACTACGATTATTTTTGCGATTAATCGGATTGTGTATTTTTAATTATTGCATTACTGTTTTTAATCTTATTGGGAACAACCTGGTTAAATGAAGGTTAATATGTATATATTTATATGTGTGTGTGTGTGTGTGTGTGTGTGTTTGTATGTATGTATGTATGTATGTATGTATGTATGTATGTATGTATATATATATATATATATATATATATATATATATATATATATATATATGTGTGTGTGTGTATAAAACATAAAATTGTCAAACTTACTATTAACATTTACATGTAAAGCAAACTATTTTGCTCCCAAATATTGACGGTAATTGTATTAGCATCTAATTAGCCAACTAGCTTAATGAAGCAATGGTCCTTCTCCGGCGTCCTCTTTGTAAGTTTAAAGGTGTGTGGATGGCTTTTTATTGTCCTCGTGAGGAAATTTATTTGCAGTGAGTTGGAAAAAAAAAACATACACAAAGACAACAGCCATACACAATTCATACACCGTCCCACATAAAAACAAACAACCGGGGAAAGACAATATAAAAATAGCAATGTACTGTACTTTTAAAATAAAAAATTAAAAATACATTAAAAAGTATCCAAGTAAATAGTCTAATAGTTTGTATCTGTGCTCAGACCAGTTGAACCAGAATCTAAAAATAAAAGTAAAAGCTGCTCACAGTTATTTAGTTTATTTAATTATGAGATGATACAAATGACTGTCTGGACCTGTTCTTGGTGAGGGCTGGGCACTGGTATCTATGACCTGAGGGGAGCAGCTCAAACTCTCTGAACAAGGGATGTTTTGAGTCTGAAAGTATTTTCTTAGCTTTGTTCAGGGCCAGAGGAAAATAAATATCCTGTAGACTTTCTTAACACTTTACAAAGTAGGCCTCAATTTAATTGTTTTTCATCGTGATGGCGGTTTGTACTTTGGTTCAACAAACGCCATCAGCTCACTGAAGCTGTCCCCTTCAACAAAACTTAATGGGACACGTCTCCAGTCACCGTTTTAGTTATTACTAGCAGGCTATTATTCTCTGCTGTGGTATCATCACACTGGTATCTACTACCAGGGCTAGCAAATGCTGGAATGCAAGACTGCCTATCATATGTTTCAGCATTCTTCTCCCTGAGTTTGGAGCACATGTGATGGAGCATTAAGTTAGCATCTCTATGATATGCAGGTTTAACTCTGTATATCTTGAACAGCACATTATTGCCGTTCTTTTTGGCAAAAATACTTCCACATATCACTTTTCCTGGTCATGGCTGACATGCAGCATGTACCCGTAAGCTAAATGAGTTGTGGTATTCTAGCTAAGAACATTGCATGTGCTAGTAGTGTAATAATACTCGAGTAATGACAGTGACGCGTACTTGATTACTCAAGTATTTGTCCCCACCCCTTATCCAAAGCTTAAACTTAGTTGCACAAACATTTGCACGTAGCCAGATGATTGTCAGTCATCCAAGTGAAATAATGAAGCACAGACTAAAATGTAGTATAGAATTATTTATATGTCACATTTGGATCCTTGGACTCAATTTTCTAATATGAATAATCAATATTTGCAGGATTAAATACATAAAGCACATACCTGTACATACACCGTCATGCTAAGTAAATGTGGCGGCTGCCAGGTTATATACACCATTAATGCAATTAATTTGTTATAGCTAAGATAGGACCACAGAAGTTGCTCTTTGTGTTCCTCAATTCACAATAAGATTGGCTGTGGCTCAGTGGTAGAATTGGTCGTCTCTGAATCAGAAGGTCAGGGGTTCAAAACTAGATCCTGCTGTCCACATGCTCCTATATGGATTAGTTAACACTACGTGATCAACTGTGTAAATACTCAGATGCGTTTTTTTGTTAAGTACGTAGACAAGGCTACTTCAAGTGCCAGTGGAAATGTGGACGGCAAATAAGCTCCATCTAATGGGGTCGATTTAAAACTTACTTTAGCATGATTTATGCGCAGCTCCTCACGATCAATGCAGGCATTCTTCCTGGCTTCTTCGTTCAGAAGATCACACTGCTTTCAAGGAGACATGCTGTGACCTGTCAATCAGAAATCCAACCTCTGATACAGTGAACGCCACAGTAAATGCCGCATCATCAGCCCAGCTCACTCAGTCACTTCAAGCAGTTTTGTGCTTTTATTTGTCCGATAACTTGCTAATTAATCAGCTGTGTGATCACCGACGATAGCTTCGCAAATGCTAATACTTGGTGCACGCGAGCTCCACCACACATTTGTCCTTGCAGTTATTTAGCAAAAAAATGGTGGGTCCCAAAAGACAACAACAGAGTCTCTCCAAGCTATGAAACTTATCTAGCGCCATATCTTACTTAGCAATGTAAACACACTGTTGCCCTCAAAATGGCGGCCGCGTCCCACAATGCATTGCGACATCACATGCCTTTTCGAGTCTTCCTATTTTTATAATATTCCCAATTAGTTTTCCCCTCAGCTCCTCCTCTCCCCTCCATCTCTGCTCCAACAAGCCCCGCCCACAAACAGACGCTCCTGCTTGCTCGTATCATTCCAATTAAATTCAGATGTAATGCAGATAAACACTCCAGATGATTAGAAATGGGGCCCAGTCAGCGTCAAAGTAAAAAGCATTGGTGCTACTGTAGATGCCAACAGACTACCAGCAGCAGGTCCCGTTTGACAAGAAACACTTCTGTTACAGACACTTGGCTTACTTTGTTGAAGGGGTCTACCTGTCCAGCAAAAAGGTTACAGGGTCTGTAAGACCCCGAAGCGTCTCCCATCTTTAATGCTGATGTTGACCTGGCTTTTTTACTCTTGCCCGGTCTACCTCCGTTTTAAGCACCCGTTATTCCCCCAGAGTCTCTGGTATTTACTTTGTTTTATTGCTTGTGTTGACAGTCATGGCAAAAGGAGGATTCAGACAATTTTCTGTACTTTCTGGTTGGTTTCTGCCGTCCAATGTTGTAGCACGCTAACTTTGTTTGGGCATGTGCACGTGATTGGAGGATGTGGAGCATACCTCACATCACGATGGAGCAGCGTCTGCCTCACAAGCAATCAGCACTAAGGACCGTCCACCTGATTGGTTGGGGAAGGTGGAAAATGGTTTTGTTTACAGTCAGAAAGAGCGGGCTGCTCAAAAATTTTAAAATGTGGACTACATAGACATTAAAAAAAACAGCAATATCATTATATTACCAAATGTCATACTAACTAACTAACAGCTATTGACTGATATTAAAGGCTTTTTTGTATACGTACATCACAAAAAAGATGCTTCTTTAACCAAATCATACCTTCCCCATCTTTAAGCTGAAAAGCAATGTTTAAGAGCTTTGTGAATGTAAAAGCGCATTAATAAAAATGCACTGTTGCACAACTCTTGTTAATTTGGTTTCATTTCAAGAGATTATTCAATAAATTATTGAACTTAATACTAATGAGAAGGTTTTCAATATTTATTTTAGTTAAATTGATTGTTATATTAATTGGGCAATAAAAAATAATTGTTAGAATAATTAATAAATTAGTTGATAAATTGGTCGATAGATTAGTTAAGTAATTGAATTAATAATTGTTAGATTAATTGATAGAAAAGAAAATAATAAATAGGTGCAGCCCTAGTCAACACTAATGGGTGTTTTGGATAGCCTCTGCCTGTAGTGAATGAATATGCTGTGAATGTGTGAATGTAGTCCGTTTACCATTACAAATATTATCCCAAAATACTCAACAAAAGGAACATGTATAGGTAGTGCTCTATGTTGCATCTTTTCAAAGAGGCAATACAAAATTACTATGAGGAAAACACTTGGCACATTATGCATAGTTCCAAGGAGAAACACTCTCTTACTGGGCAGTAACCTTGAGCAAACAGGACTCATGTAGTGATTAGCCATCTGCTGCAACTGTGTTGAGCTAGGTAAGCAAGATAGAGAGAAACGGTGTGAAAGAAAGAGAATTATAGATAAATCTTCTAATAAACAATAAGACCTAGAATGTCGAAATGAAAAGCTGTTTAATGTAAGGAGAATAAGCAAAATTTTCATTAAACCAGTTCAAGTCACTAGTTTTGATGTTAGCAATAACAAATACTGTATAATGATGATAATGGAGAGGGCTAATCATATTGAATGAGATCCCAGCTTTAAGACTGATATTGACAGTTGATAATGAAAACTAGAAAATTTCCTCTGGGAAATTTTGAGAGGGCCACGTGTGCTACTGCCAGGGTGTATACATTATGATGAGATTCTTCAGAGATTTCAAACAATTAATACTAGTATATCGATATAAACAAGGAGTACACGTACAATAAACATTCCTTTTTCAAGTATTTATTAAGGATCGACCAATAATCGGCAAGCATTTTTACAAAAATCTGCATTGGCTGTTTTATCCACCAATAGCCGATGAAACATGTTTATTTTAAAGCGCGCTCGTTTGACTCTTACACAGCTGCCTGCTGTGGAGCTCCCTTCATCCTTATCAATGACTCCAACATGTTTGCATTTCAGGATGTTGCGTGTATAATCACTGCAGTTCTCCTGTGCCACTAAATCGCTTTTGCAAAGCTTGCATGTAACGCTTTTTTTACCTTTAAAGCATGAAGTCCCTCCCACACTCAAAAAGAGTTGGGTCAAACCATTTTCACTGCGTCCACCATTTGTATAATTTACTGAATTTCATACTGCATCTTACTCTGTTCAACTCCCTTGCAGGTTGAGATTTTTTTTCTTAACTTTAAGTAACTTCCCATTGACAAAGCTCTGCAGGTGAAGCTAACGGCTGACTCTGCGTCATGGCAAGTGACGCATAAATGCACAACACAAGGAATTGATAATGAAATTTGTTGCAGACACTTTAAATAATCGATTTTTATTGATTTTATCGACTCCTTGTGGCAGCTCTAGTATTCAGTAAATTAAAAATAACACATGGGCAACAGCAATGTATTCCCAACGTGTCTATGCTATTCTGTGTGTGAAACTAGATGCAATGCAACTGTTGCTACAGCAGGGGCTAACTAGCTAGCTCACTTTCTTCTCACAAACTTCCTTAAAAGCATACACAAAGTATCACAGCAACACTCTAGAAACCTTTTACAAGTTAACAAGTGCTTCTGACATATAATTCATGCTTCCATACCAGTACCAGTGCCTGATAACAGGGAGAAATAATCATGAGGGTAAGGGATTATGTTTTCTCTTTTAGAGCTTTACTTGAATGAGAAAGGCACACGGCAATCAGTTTTGCTAACTCCTCAGTAAGAAAAGTTGACGCCATACCTGTCAGATACCTGTCAGAGTCTCCAAACTCCAGAAAAAGTCACTAGATTTGTCACTAGGCGCTTTTTCTGAGAATGAGTTGCTAGCGGGGTCTGAAAAGTTGCTAAATCTAGCGACAAAGTCGTAAGGTTGGCAACACTGACCGCAGTCTCCCTGCTATGCAGGCGTAGGCCAAAAAGCACACAGATACCTGCAACTCAGAAAACTTAATAGATTACCAACACATATAACACATATAACTAGTGCTGGGCGATAGGACGATAGATATCGTGGGCACGATAGAAAATGTCTATCGTGCCATTTCTATTTTTATCGTTTCGAGCGATAGGCTGTATTTTATCCATAGGGCTTGTGCCATCAGATGATTCATAGTAACAACAACAATTATTGCACATTCAGTAAGTGTATTTGGTGTCAAACGGGAAAGAAAACAATATTTTCTTACAAAGAAAAGGATGCGTTGACATGTAGGCTCGCATTTCTCTTTCGATTTTGCGACATGACGCCCCTTTACGTGCCCTCTTCGTGTCCAGCGTCTCCCGCTGTTGCAGGTTGCCTGGGTTACACACGTGAGGGGATCATTGTAAGCAGTGCTTAATTTGTGCCAGAGCAAGCCGGAGCGCGCTCCGGTACCTCTTTTGATTGGATCCGGGACCTATTTCAGCCGCTCCGGCACCTGTTTCATCTGCTCCGGGACCTTCCCTGTAGAGGATGACATTTTCCGGGAATTCCCGTGGGTCACTTGATTCCCGCGGGAATCCCACGGGATGGGAGTCATTTTTTAATTAATCCCAACGGGAAAAGCAACGGGAGTGGGCAGGAGCGGGAACAACATTAATAGATGATCATTTTCAGCCGTGTTAAACAACCAGATGAACAGGTGCGTCCATTTTTGTAGTCATCTCTCAGTGAGAGCGAACACTCTTGACCGCGCTAGCAACACAAAAAAACCACAACAGTGGTTTGACTTCCTGTCAGCTGGGAGCGCGGCTGCGCATTTCTACCCTTCAAGCCAGGAGCGAGGAAACGTAATTTTGTGACATTCTGTAGTTTTTCAATCATTTCTGGAGTCGTGGCGAATCAAATCACCTTACCTGTCTGCCCCTGATAGGCGAATAAAGCGCTCGGATTCATGCTCGGGTCTTGCTACGTGCTTCAAGAGTAAAGTAAACAGCGACAGAGGCAGAGAGCAGCTTTGGAGGAGAAACATCCACCAGTGTGAACAACCTCTTCAAAAGAGCCCTAAAGACCTACCTTTTTAATAAAGCCTTTGGTTAGCTTTCCTCTATGCTTTTACTACCTTGCCTCTTACATTGCAACTCTATATTCTTTATTTTTTTTATTCTTTTATGCTTTTTTTTATGCCAATCTGTGACTATCATTTATTGCTTTTTTTATTGTTCCTGCTCTTTTTTTACTGTGTACTGTAGCACTTTGAGATTTTTTGTAAATGTAAAGTGCATTACAAATTAAATTTATTATTATTATTATTATGGAGCGCTTTGGCTCACACTATTGGCGTTTTCTGTGAGTGTTGCATAACTTTGGGTGAGCACAGACATGAACGCACTTCAGCCACGTTTTTATTTATTCATTTTTCTAGTTTTAAGTGCTGGTCTTGTACTGGCACTGTACTAGGGCAGCTGTATACACTTTAATTTTTCATAGAACTGAAAGCATACCATAGTTATATCATGGTATATCGTTATCGTGATATAAAATGATCCATATCGTGATATACATTTTTTTCCATATCGCCCAGCACTCCATATAACCTAGTATAATGTAAGTAAAGCACTCTTGTCACATACAGTTTGATAGTAATATATGACTGTTTTTCAACTTTTAGAATTATTTGTTTCTACTTAAAAAATATATCATCTTTAGATTTCATCAAATTATGAACTTAACACTTCCTTTTTGTCTATTGAAACATCATGTTAAAATGTCACAGAGGCTTAGTGTTTAAATTCTATAAGTCTTTATCCTTAGATAAACTCATTGCTAGAGATTTGCAGTTTGACCAGGATCAGTGTACAATTACTTTTCCACAAGTGACATGGAAAAATTTATATACAATAGCACACGACCCCGATCAAATCACGTTTTGATATGTAATTTGTCCTACAACTCTTCAAGCTGTAGGACTGGTAGTGAATCAAAATCTGTCCGGAAGAGGACTAAGAAAAAATCCACAGTAGAACAACAGTACCTCAAGGCTTCCTTATCCTTTAGTATAGGGGCCAGTGGCTTGGTGCATTTGCCCCGTGGCTCTAACAAAGTTAAATTGATACAATTAATTGTAGCAGCATGAGTCAGGGAGGTCCATGGCAGTAGCCAATGGATTGAGAAATGAGATGGAGGAGCTTGTCTCATGGGGAGATATATGCTTGATAAATGCAATCAGTGATGCTTGAAATAAAAGTTGCAGGGGTTGAATGCGTTAATATGACATAAATGCATAGAGATAGAGAGACTTAACTCGGGGGAGACAGAAACTTTGTGCACAAGATCCAACAGCAATTTGCCCCATGGCAGCAAAACCGAGGTGTATCTAAGCCTTATCCAGGCTAAAGTATAACTATCAAGCAGTGTTGGTATCATTTAACAAATACCAGTATTTACTGTTGGCTGCCAGACAACTCCATTATTATTTTGGTGTGCATGTAAACAGATGGGAGTTTTTTAGACAGCCACAAAGAAATGCAGGTTTCATGTAGGAGGTGCCTTATTCTTTATTGTTCATGTATCAACAATATTAGTTTCTAGATCAGTGGTATAAGTATTAAGTAAAGCAACACCTCTAGAAGGCCTAATGACATTTACGTATAATGACCCTTGTGATTTTTGCCCTGAACAGTCATTTAGTAAATGAATTCAAGTAAATGATGAAAATAGTGTTTCTGCTAGATGTTCTTCAAAAACAATCATTAATAGGGTAATTGACTATTTAAAATAACATTTTAAGTTATAGCAGTTATAGGCTATCTGTATATCGGTATTCCTATTAGAGCAAGTTTCTTTTTGTTTTCTGCATTGTTCTCTGTCACTTAGGGCCTGTCAATATAGACACCCCCCATTGTGAGATACAAAGCCAAATATCAACTAGACTGTGATGTGATGGTGGAGACAAGTGATGCACAAAAGTGAGCTGGCTGGTAGATCCACAGCCCTGACCTTGCACCCCTTCTGTTAGCCAAAACATGTATCTAAGAAAAAAAAAGAATCTAAGATCCGTCAGGTTTGTACCAGGACTGTTTGACTATCAGACTTTCACGTCATGAAAAAATGTGCACTATTTATGAATCAGCACTATTTATGTTCAGTTTTATCTGCATCACCATCCCTGTGACAGGACTTAAAATTTCAGAAAATTCCCCGTTAGGGCTTCAAGATTTTGGAAAAAACTAACATTGCAATTTTTTTCAACCCTGTGATATACATTCCTATATTAAAAATATAGGAATTTTAGTCTATTTTAGAGTTTCCTGATCATTTACAACCCCCCTGTCTGCCTAAAAGTAGGTGACCAGATGTCCCCGAATTGGGTGACCTGTCCCCAGCAAAAGCTGTCCCTGAAAATGTCCCAGATTTAAGCATTTCATGAATGAGAACAAAAATGCTGCGTGAAGGCTAGAACAACGGTTATTACAGTAGCCAAATGGGTAGGAAGCACAAGTGAGCAGTCCTGAACAACAGTTTTTACGCGGGTTATTACAAGGGGCATGTGCTGCTACTAAATAGTACCGAGGCTTGCCTGGGCCATGAAACACCGCCAGTGGACTACTGAAGACTGGTAGAAGGTGTTATGGACTGATGACTCAAAATTTGAAATCTTTGGTTCATCACGTAGGATTTTTGTAAGCCATCGAGTAGGCATAGTATGGTTCCCCAGTGTGTGACATCAACTGTCAAACATGTAGGAGGACGTGTGATGGTCTTGGGCTGTTACGTAGATTAGTATCATGACGTACATGATGGCGCGTGCATGTGTGTGCACAATAGTGTGTGAACAGAGAGCGCTTGTGTGTAGGTGTGAGTGTGAAATGATAATTGCCATTAAGAACAATTTATGTATAATTAATCTGATATTGTTTACTACAATACAGATTGTAGTTTATTGTTTATTGTTCGTGTTTGTTGAAAAATACATTATAAGAGGACCTTGAAAAGTAATTGCATATTAAATCGCAATTGCATTATTGTGGAAAAAAATTCACAATCAAATTATTTTCCAAAATTGTTCAGCCCTACTGGAATGTACCTTGATTCAACCTGTGGTCCTCTCTGACATGATTTGCCCTGCTGTACAAGCCACGCACTATACTAAGGAATTAGTCATCTGATACTGAAACTTCTTTAGTCTCTGTGGCAGGCGGCAACAAGAAGAAAGATTTGCTACTGCCCACTTTTATCAGCCTGTTAATGACCCCTTCTCTTGTTCTTCCCTGTATGCCTCAGGAAAACCTGATGCTTCAGCAAAATAACACAACATGTAGGTTACTGACAATAACATTAAAGGAAGTTCAAATCTGACCAAGTCTGTCGAACATAGCTGGTTTTAGAGCAGGCGATAAAATAATTTAGTGCTTTAATATTGATAGCAGATTAAATCAGTAATAAGATAAACAGACATCTCTTTCGCTAAATAAACTACTTAACTTATAACATTGTTTTTATCAAACTGAAGGTTTGTGGTGGTAATACAGTTCATCTTTGCTCTGTTGAAGTCATGTGCATTAGTGTTAAGGTTTCAGAGTTGTGCTGTGTATAGTTAATTGGAAATAAAGGGTGGTAACCAGTGTGCATGGTGTGGTGAACTCATAAATTTGTAGACCCAATATTTGAACATGATTCCTTACCGTCCTTAACCATAGCAGCAGAGCAGATTTATACAGCGATAATTCATGATGTATCAAAAATTAATATTTTCCTCCCATAAAATCAGCCAGACTGAAGCAGTCAGCCTTAGTCAGAAGAATAACTCCACTAGCAACTCCACAATACCATCACCTCTAACTGGAGCTTTAGACTGTGTTTAGCCAGTGCACCCAAAGAGTCTGGCAAGGTGAAATGTGTAAAAGAAGTAATTGGCAGTCTGTTTCCTGTGTTGGTGTGAATACATGCATAATATAAGTAAGATAAAGATAGGAATCATTTTTACTGCATGAAGTTTTGAAACTTGGCATTATCTGCTGGCCCCCTCAAGATAGCATCACTCCCTCTTCAAGGAAGATATTTTTCTCAGCCCTTGGTTACATGGCATTACCATATTACTTATTTATGCATGTCATTGTTTCATAGTAATTTTAAAGAGGTAGTATTTTGCAAAAGCCCTAGAACAGACCATAATTGAACAGGTTCCTATGCTGATTTGAAGTAGAGCATGGCTATGAAATATTTTCACCACAGAGATCTTCAGAAGTCAGGGCTTTTTGGGATAGCTGATGTTCTGTCGTGATTTTGTAAAGCCTGTGCTCTCTGTCCATCCTTCAGCATACAGTTGTTTTAGTTATTTTAGACATACTTTCTGACAGCTGTGAAACACCTAAAAAAATCCCTTCACATAACATAAAAAGATGCTGTTGTGACTTATGGACATGAAGTTTCCTGCATTATTTTTTTCAAATGATGTAAGGTTACAGGCATATAAGATACATTTGTCATCGTGAACTCTTTCTCTTGTCCCCTCTCTTTGTCCTCCTAACTCTTTTTCTCTATTTGCTTTTCCCACCTGACTGTAAATTAGAGACCACTTATGATGTGAATAAAGTGGTTTGTAAAGGGAAAAAAAATTATGAAGACAATATATTGATAGATAGTTCATGGGCTTATTTTGGTGACACTAATAAAGTAAGACTGTAGAGAGCAGCCGCTCCCTCAGCCAACACACAGTCTGCAAGCTGGACCCATCACACGCCCCAGCTGTCCTGCAGCCAACACACAGTCCATTTAAGTGTGTGCAAAACATTATGTTTACAGAAAGAGGCCAATCATTTGAGTAAGACTACTTCCTTTTGTCTTCCTTTCACAAGGTCCTTCCTTTCCTTACTGTAAGCTGATAAACAGATGGATGTAAATCCAGGTCTCAGATGTTAAATAGAAATGAAATCCAAAAGGAAATACGTTGACAATGGATGGAGAGGCAAGAATATGCAGAAGTGTTTAGAGAATCCTCACAAAAAGAGGAATGAAATGTTGAACCCTTAACATGTCTTTAAATAGCATACAGCTTTATTTTTTCCTCTTGGAGAACAGCACGTGAACATTTTTTTTTTTTCTGGAGACAAACAGATGCCAAATTAGATCAGACGTCCAGAAATAACCACTTATGTTTTTATATAAGCCTGTGGAGAGTAACATTTTTGATCAATTATCCATTACTTCTAAATAAGTTCAGAATTTAATGCTCATAAATGAAAAATGAGAAAATAAGGCAGGAAATGTATATACATCTATCTCTTTCTCATTTTCACTATTAACATCGTCACTAAAAGATAACATTTAGATGATAATATAGTGCAGAGGCATGTCCTGCTCTAGTAGTTCCTTTCCTTAAAAATTAAAAAGTAATAGACTCATAGTAAACCTTTTAAGCTTATGTAAATCACCACAAACAAGTTCCTGAAAAAATAATGTTACACCACAGTACATTTATAAAACTTCCACATGGTGTCTCATTACTCAAAGAGAGGAGTTCTGCTTATCCTTGATGTGTTTCAGGCTTGGGTTAGAAACTGCATATTAGTGAGGAAGTCCAGGAGTTTGAGTAATTAATTAATTCTCCCAGTGCTCCCATTTTAGTAAGACTACAAATACTTCCTCCACAGTGGAATGAATGCAGAGAGAAAATGATATTCTGGCCATTAGTCATCATTTTTAAACCATTTTTTTCTTGCTGCCAGAATAATCTCTGAGATGTATTTATTTTTCATTTGGAGGACTTTTCCTATTTACTGCATTTTTCACAACTGGTCTATGTCACTGAAGCTTTTCTATAATAACATACAGTAATAGCAACCTATGCTTTTTCAATTTCACCATCAGCTTTTTGACGGTCAGACAAAATTTTGATTTTGTGTATGTTATTTTATGTAATTCATTTCTTTGTTAATACTTGCAGTACTTGTACCTGTTATATAAATCACTGCAGCTTTGGATGTTTTCTAGTGTGACAGAATGAAATGGATATTGATAGATGTAAACCAGCAATGTCAGGGCTGTTTTACATATCAGAACGGTGCAGTGTAGAACCCACTTTGCTTGGGAATACAAATCTGCCACCTGGTGGTGTATAAGCTGAGCTACTCTTAGTTCTGCATTTAGGATTAAGGTGGTGGCTGAGAGCATTCACATTTACTCAGGACCTTTGAATAGCCTTCCTCAGGGTTTTAGGGTCCCGAAATATCTTAACTCAAAAAAGATCCCTGCCCCCCTGAAGGTTTTTTTTTTTTTTTTAATTTTAAGATTGTGTCATCAGAGCAATGACTCTTATTACATTAATTTATGTGTTCTAAATAATCTTACTCCTGACCAACTGTCAGTCTCAGAGGTTAGATTTTGTCATATGTTTGTGACTGTATCAGTTCTGAGCTATGACAAGCTTGCCCACAAATGAATGTTGTAAAATACTGCTTAAGGTTGTGTTTGCTGTTGTCTTCTTTAGGGCCATGCTGAGTGACATTGGGGACTATGTAGGTACGGACATTGAAATATCATGGTTACCTAACCTGGATGATTTAATGAAGGGTTATGCCAGAAATTTTCGCCCTGGGATAGGAGGTGAGTATGAGATCTACAGCTTGTGGTGTTGGGTTGAGATTCATCCCATCACATTTACAGCCATCCTTAGCATTAATCTTTAAAAATAAGTACAGCACAGACACCAGCATTTCATTTTCCAAGTCAATCTTTCTGATTGGTGACTGCTCTCTTTGGATAATATGACAGAAAACTAAATGACCCTTACATAAAAGCAGCAGACTCTTCAGTTAGATGAATTCTTCTTAAGGAACAAAAAAAAGACCTTTGGCCTTGCTGAGAAGATCACACCATATTTCCCCTCATGGAAAGGAAGGAAATGGGTGATGAAAGCTGTAGGTACAAGCCTGAGGAATCTGCTAAGAATGGCTGCAAGATGTGTAGAATCCAATGACCACAAAGATAGATTTCTCAATCTCACAGCTTAACTCAGCTGAGAAAAAGTGATAACAAGAAGCAGGAACATTACTATCATTACATATCACTCTGTGCACTTCAGGTGTACATAAACCTCATATCACAACATCATGTGGTGATAAATGTTCCTATTGATGTTACATTATATTGACCAGTGAGGAATCATTTCTTGTTGTTTGGAGTCATTCCCATCATTCAACTCATGTCATTTAGCATAAGTGTTTGATTTCATTATGTCAGTGCGTTCTGTATCTTGAAAATCAGATACAAGATGGTCAGAATTTTCACAAATGAATCTTTCTTTTTTGTTTTGAATTATAATCCATGTAATCTATGCCAGTGCAAACCTGCAAGAACAGGGTTAACCACTTTTATGGTGTGATTGGACAGACAGTTATTATAAAAGAAGTTTCTTTGGGTGGTGCATATGAAAAGGTAATTGTTAGAATTCTATCAGAACCCACTTGTTTGTGTTTTTGGCTCAAAAAGATCTTAGAATCCCGTAATAAATAATTTGTTTTAGGCCTGCACGATATATCGTTTGAGCATCGTCATCGCGATGTACGTGTGTGCGATAGTCACATCGCAGAGCCTGCAATGTCGGAGGTGAATGAACTCAGTTAATTTCAAGGGTAACTGACTGAGATACACTGCATGTGACTCTGCATGTGCTGTGCAGCGATCCACCAATCACCTTCGTCCCTTACTCAGTTGCCAATCAGACTACTCTGCCAGCTGTCAATCAAAATCAGAGAGGAGGAAACCCACCCATGCACATGGAGTTAGTCGCTGGCTGCTGGTGTTGAGCCGAGAAACGCGTGTCCGCTGAGAATTACTTTCGGAACTTTACTCATGACTGTTAAGCCCAACAAATAAGAACTGTATGGGTTTTAAAATGTATATTTCCGTGGAACACTCTACTATAAGCAGTGCGCGTTTTGCGAGGTGCATGCAATTCTCGGAGGACATGCGTTTCTCGGCACAACACCGCTAACAACAACAACAACGATTGCAAAATGAGCAACGAACAAGAGAAAACCACGGAAGTTGAAGACTTGTTGCCAAAAAGAAAAGGAAAGTCAGTTATCTGGAATTATTTCGGTTAAAAGATGGATGATGTCGACTAAAACACGTGTTCTGTGTTCATCTGTTTCCACAATAACGTCCCAGCACAATAAAAGCTAAAAATATCTCTGAGACAGACAGAAGCCATTCTACTAACATTCACAAAAAGAGGTAAGATCAGAGCAGGTTAACTGTCCTCAAGACCTCAGCGGTGCAGCATAACGTTAAGTGCTATTCAGGTCATCTGGTGAAAATTCCTATATTTTTAATATGGCAATATATATCGCAGGGTTGAAAAAAATCGCAATGTTAGTTTTTTCCAATATCGTGCAGCCTTAATTTGTTTCAAGTTAGCTTATTTTGTAGTGCACCGGCCAAGTACAAATTTTAGCCAGAATTGTTCAGTTGGTGATACAAGCATAAAAACTGGCATGAACATTCTCTGCTGTTCACTTTACTAGAAGTGTCCTAGCCATTTTATATTTCAAGATGGCAGACATTTTTCAAGATGGCCTCCACCTAAGTGGAACAATTAGGTGATGTACTTGTTAAATTGGTGATATAGCCATGAAAATTGGTATGAACACTCTTCATGAGTCGCTTAATGAGAAAATGTCACAAGCTGCTTGAAATGTCCAGATGGCGGCCATTTTAAAGATGACCACCATCGCATTAGAGCAGTCAAATGGTATAAAGTTGGTGATATAAACATGGAAAACAGTAAGACCATTCTCCATGAGAAACTTCACAAGAAAATGCCCCAAGCTGCTTGAAATTTAAAGATGGTGATCATTTAAAAGATGGCCGCCATCTCATTACAGCAGTAATATCATGTAAAGTTGGTGATTCAAACATAAAAACCATAGACTGTATATAGAATGGACAGAGTCTGCCTCCTCGCTAGGTGAAGCCACTCCGACAACAGCACCCTCTGATGGTGGGCTGCAGTACAGGTCATAAATCCCAGCAAAGCTTATGGGACTGTGGACAGACTTTAGAAATTTATTATACAGAACATAAATTTTTCTCCCCCCTGCTTGTGATGTTGACATGTAGTTATTGTAAGACTGGTTTGTGCCCAAGTCCTTTTTTTCTGTACAGCTCTGTTTTTAAAAGTTATTAGGGGGTTCATGTTTTCTATGATTGACACCTGGTACAGCCTATGGGCGTTCAGGGATTGCGTAGCTCACCCAGGGGGGATACGCTGTTTGAGCCGAACGTCATCACAGGGACTCTCGGCGACTGCGCGGCCGAATGCGCGCATCGCTACTGCGCGGCTCTGGTTTCAAGGAAGTGGAGAAAAACCTGGAATTACCGAGAGCTTTTTGGCTTCATATTCGTATACAGGCGGAAGGTGGAACCACGTTGTCCATAGTATATACAGTCTATGATAAAAACATTCTCCATAAGTCACTTTACGGAAAATGCTTGACTGTGTTTTGTCCAACTCCTCGCCCTTGACCTGTCCAATTTGATAAAACCTGCCAGGTATAGCTTTTAGGGTTCACAGAAGTATGCAAGCTCCCTTACCACAACAAGGTAGCAGTCACAAGGGAGTTTTTTTTTCTTTAAACATTTTTAAAACTTTTTTTTGTTTTTTTGTACCTTTTTTTGTAACTTTTTTTTCTTTCTGACAAGGGGAAGTAAACAAGGGAAAGTAGTCCTGGCAAAAAGAACTCAACTCAACTCAACTCAACTTTATTTGTAAAGCACTTTAAAACAACCACAGCCGACCAAAGTGCTGTACATAAATAGACAAAAGAGCACAGACATAAAAAAAAATCAAAGAACAGTTAAAACAGTGGATAAAATAAAAGCAGATATTAAAAAGTAAAATATAGTTTCAATGTTTCTAAAAACTAATTTAAAGACATTGAAACAAATAACTAAAAACAAACCATAAAACACTAAAACAGGAGCCGAGTCTCATGCAGGGTTGAAAGCCAATGAATAAAAATGGGTTTTAAGACGAGTTTTAAAAATGGACAGTGTGGGGGCCTGTCTTATTTGGAGGGGTAGCTCGTTCCATAATTTTGGGGCCGCAACAGAAAAAGATCTCTCCCCTCTGAGCTTAAGTTTGGACCTTGGTACCTCCAGGAGCAACTGAATACACTCATAGCTTCTAACAGGGGCAACTACATAGACGTGTAAGTGAGACCATATTTGAAGCACTTGCATTGTCCAGTACATTCTTTGGCGCGCCCACATTTGGTCAACTCCCAGGAACTCTCTGCAACAAGAGGAAGACGAGTCCAAAAGATTCTCCATTCGTCATCTTCTTTTATCAATACCCAGTCGGATAGGCTTGGTATTTCTGGCTTTTGCTTCAATGCCTGTCCCCACACATATCCAGCCTCATAAGCTGCACATTTGGCGTGCTCTTTCAGTGCTGCTTGAGTTGGTGGGATCAGGTCATATGGTCTTTGCTTTCTTGCAAAAAGATCAAACCTCGCCTCATTGACAGTTGTGACATCACTAGATCTGTCGTGCATCGCCACAACGAATCTCTTGCAGCTTGCAGGTGGCTCTCATCAATAGCAGAGGTGCATTCACTGAGTTTTGCAAAAGTGTTTGAGACTAGACAACTAGACTAGACAGCTAGAGAGAACTGGATTATGATGTTTTAATGTTAACTTTTTACTCAGTTATTATGTGGTTTATATTTTCTAAAGACACATAGTAATTGATAATTGATAAGACACCAAAAAAAACTCAAATAAAACTCACAAGCAAACGCGAAACATTCAGGTGCGCATGCTAAAGAGGTGCGTTGATCTCCAGTTGGAGTGGGGATGCCATGGGATGTATTCCCACTCCAATCGTTCTCTGGTGGGGATACACCCGTGGTATCCCGGCTCCAAGGAGAAAACAACGCTCCTTTTGCATGCGCATGCAAAACATTTGTGTTTTCTTTTTTTTTCTTCTTAATAAGCATATGTTTGAATAAAAAGAAAATCAAGCAGCTTGGGGCATTTTCTTACCAAGTTATTCATAGGGAATGGTCGGTAGCACTTTACAATAACGACCTGTTATAAAGCATTTATTAACATTTATAAGCAGTTTGTAGATGATTAGTAAACATGAACAAACTGTTTATTGACATTTGTAAGTGTATAACTAAACATTTACAAACTGTTTAAACATTATTTATATGTTATTGTCAAGGCATTAGTAAGTAGGAAACTAATCATGAATAAACCATTTATATGCGTTTGTAAATGATTAATGAATCATTTGTAACTAAAATTATACATTATTTATATTCTATTTGTAGATAAGTTACTAATCATTTACAAGCTTACTATATGCCTTGGTAAATGATTATAAAATGTATAATAACATTGTAGAACATTTTAGAATCTTTAAACATTGACATTTGTAAGTGTTTACTAAATAATGTATAACCAACACTAAAAATCATTTATACACTGTTAGTAATTAGTTAACTATTAATGAGTAAGCCATGTGTATATGATTATTAAAACATTTATAACTAAATGTATAACATTTATAAGCAATCTTTAGATAAAGAAATAATCATAGACAAGCTGTTTGTAGAACATTTATAAATCATTTAATAATTATTTATTCTTGATTTTAGCGATCATAAATTAATGTTAAGGAATTCATTTACAAAGGTCTGTTAAGGTGACCTAAATGTTTGTTCATGTTTAATATATGCTTTGCAAAACATTCCTTAAATATCTATAAACCATTAGTAGATGTTATCAAGAGCCCTAATGTAAAGTGAAGACTATTCATTATTTACAACTGTCATTTAAGGTGACCTCAATGTTTGTTCATGTTTAATATATGCTTTACAAAACATTCCTTAAATATCTGTAAACCATTAGTAGATGTTATCAAGAGCCCTAATGTAAAGTGAAGACTGTTCATTATTTACAAGCATTTGTTAATGTCGCCACCACGCTTATTCATATTTAACAGACATTCGTAAATAATGAATTGTCTTCACTTTACATTAGGGCACTTGATAACATATACCAATGATTTATAGATGTATTAGTAATGTTTTATAAAGCATTTGTTAATGTGGACTTTCTACTTACCTGTTGCAAACTTCCTGGCCTTCATGGGTGCTGACACAACACATGACTAGAATGCTCATATAGCAAATGATCTGTAAGACAGTGCTAAGGATTAAGAAATATATAAACCATTTGCATATGTTATGGTGTGCCCTGTCCAACTAGTCCAAGAGGCTGCCTTACAGACAAAGTGTTCTACATTATTTCACGTTTAACACAATGATTAGTGAAAGATTGAAACAATCTTGTACCACAATAAATGTGACAGACGTAAAGGTATAGAGAACAGCATTTAACATTTTATTCCAATATAAATTTACAAAACATTTACCCTAAACAGCTCACGTTGTCATTTAAACAAATAAAAGTATCAAGATAAAATGCTTTAAATATAAAAATAAATTAAAAAATTAATAAAAGAGGGACCAGTTCACTCACACACACACACACACACACACACACACACACACACACACACACACACACACACACACACACACACACACACACACACAAAAGACAAATCTTCAATCAATTACACACCCATGAAGCTCAGAGATCTTTTGTTTTTGTCACATTCCTGAGTCATTTGATGACAGGGTCATCGGTCAGTAGAAAATATTTGAGTGTCCACAGGTGATCAAATTATTGGCTTCGGAATGTGTCAAAAACTAAACAGATATTGAATTAAATCAATTGGGGGAGTTATTGAAAGACTAAGTCATTTTCTGGGGTGAACTACTCCTTTAAAATGACAGTCGAACGGTGCATTTTCTTGTCAAATGTAAACACTAAGAGAACAGGCAATCAGTGCAATGGTCTTACTAATTTTTACGTTATTATCACCAACTTTACACCATTTCACTGCTCTAATGCGATGGTGGCCATCTTTGAAATGGCCACCATTAGGAATTGAGTGACTCATGAAGAGTGTTCAAACCAATTTTCATGCCTATATCACCAGCTTAACAAGGACATCACTTAATTGTTTCATCGAGTTGGCGGCCATCTTGAAAAATGGCAGCCATCTTGAAATTTCAAATGGCTGGGACAATTTCCTTGTAAAATGACCCTTTAATGCTCATGCCAATTTTCATGCTTGTATCACCAACTGAACAATTGTGTCACTTATCTGCTCCACTATTGCATCCCCCCCAAAACACACTATCCAGAGTCGGTTCAATAACATTTTCAACACACTTGTGTATATACATATATATATATAGGTATATATATATATATATATATATATATATATATATATATATATACACACACACATGTAAAGAACATTGTTAAAGTAAAGTAAAAAATGCAACATACTGTTTGTTGAGACACACAGACACACACATTGGGTATTAATGCTTCTTTCAGGAATGTGTCATTTAACTGGGCACCTCCACTGAGGAACCCAATGTAAAACTTGCTTATCGTATAACCAGGTAACAAACCTTTCCCACTCACCTGGGCAGATAATTAACAGCACACTGTTAATCACTTCACAGTGAAATTTCCCATGTATAACCAGCAGAATTTAATTGTTTAGGTAAAGGCATGGTGTTGAATAAGGGAATGCTACTGTATGATTCCTTAATGTTCCATATAAATAGCTCTTCTTTCTGCATAAGCAAGCCTCGCTGTAGTTTTAGCCTCTGGCATTCCATTACTAAGACACACTTCTTGCTAATCATGTGACAAACTGTCTAGAAAAAAAATGTAACACTGTGTGTATGTTAAACTACATAATGCCTAATCCTATGCAGTGTAGGAGCATAAAAATGTGGAAGGATGGCAAGTAGGAAGGAAACAGTTGAGTGTGAAGTGAGAGTGAGAGGGACTAATGGATTCATATTATGCAGTGAAGCCATATGGATGTTTTTCAGTTGTGGAGAGGTTAGGTTTGCCTTTTTTCTCACTTCTTCCCATGTAGGTCCACCTGTGAACGTGGCCATGGCTATTGAAGTGGCCAGCATTGACCACATTTCTGAAGCCAACATGGTTAAGTATATATTTACTTCTGCCTTAAGATTTAACCCCCAAATTCATTGATGTATGATTTTTCTATTTGTATTGTGTTGATGTATCCTTTAGTAGTGAAGATTGTAAATACACATTGAAGCAAGTGTCATTTCGGCTGGGTTGTTCAATATTCTGTTTCTTTATTTATTTTTTTTAATTTTTTTTTTATCTAGTACACTTAGTAAATCTAGGATGTTTTGTACACTTTTTTATGTTTTCAGGGAGAAAAAGAATGTTCATAGAAATACCTTGCAAAAAAACTACAGAAAGATAAATATTTTTAAATGACAAATCTGGTCTTGTGTGTAAGATTCAATTGATATCAAGTAGTTCACTTGAAATCAGTATTAATAACGTCTTTTAGAAATAGCTATTAGTAACAGATTTTGGAATCACCAAATTGCAGAAAATGTAAATTCACATTGCTCATTCTTCTGTTCTGGCGTGTTTGTTATTACTGGCAGGAGTACACTATGACTGTGTTCCTGCGGCAGAGTTGGCATGACGACCGCCTATCCTACAATCACACCAACAAGACGCTGGGTTTGGATAGTCGATTTGTTGACAAGTTGTGGCTCCCTGACACTTTTATTGTCAATGCCAAATCTGCATGGTTCCATGATGTCACTGTGGAGAACAAGTTGATCCGTTTGCAGCCCAATGGAGTCATTCTATACAGCAGCCGGTATGAGTGCAGAGTATTGTCTGCAGTTGTCAGACTCAGACAGTTAGAAATTTCATTACCCCCACAGTTTGTATCGTAGTGCTCTGATGCTGACCTTATATTCTTTACCCACAGTTTCACCAAAGGGCAGAGGACTGTTATTCCCCATATTTTACCCCACTCGAGAAGATTCCTCAAGCCCAAATTTTGTTTGTTTAAAAGTTTAAAACCAGAGATTACCCAAAGAGTCCTGACAACAGTTAGCAAGGCCCGATCCAAGGCAGGAGTAACTTCTTCTGTGAGATGACATGCTACTGGAAAACTGCCAGACATTTTAGAAATTACCCATATAAGTCACTGGCCTTGCAGAGTACTGTGTTTAACAGTAAAATTCTTCCCAGTCCCATTCGAGTTTTCACTGATTAATGATGACTGAGAGGTTACAGTTTTGGTGTACATTATCTTTTAAATCAGTAGGTTTTTCCCCCCTTAGAATCACTTCAACAGTGGCATGTGATATGGACCTGACCAAGTATCCCATGGATGAACAGGAATGTATGTTGGACCTGGAAAGCTGTAAGTTGGGACTCAAACTTTCTTTTTAAGCATGTGGAATGTTGCTGTCTCTGTATGTTCATGCTCAATTATAACAAAATCTAAGGAAATCCCTCTTTTTTTATTTGTATAATTTAACCGATTGTTCTTTAAACCACCAGGCTTTGCTTAGAATTTCACATCAGCAACTAGTAACATGTTCCTCTCTACCACAGAGTTATCCTACAGTGATATCTGGCCAATATGAAAAATTAACATTCACATGACATACAGCATTTGAGAAAACATAAACCTTTTATAAATTAGTGTGACATGGACACACAATTTTACAAGTGTCCTGTATACCTCAGTACTAAGATCTACATGCTTAAAATTATAATATATTTAACGTTTGGATACACTTTTTTCCTAGATGGTTACTCCTCAGAGGACATTGTATACCACTGGTCTGAGAGTCAGAGACACATCCATGGTCTGGACAAACTGGAGCTCTCCCAGTTCACAATCACAGACTATCGGTTTGTCACCGAAATGATGAACTTTAAATCTGGTGAGCATTCTTTAATGTGTGTAAGTTATCACTTGATAAAAAAGTCTTTGGCATATTTTTAAGTGTTTTTTTTATATTATCTATTGTTTAAAGATTTTGGAATTGCTTTGCCCCAACACTGAAGCCTGCAAATTTTTTCTAAAGCCTGGCTTTTTATCGTCAAGCTCTTCTGTGTTTATAGACAGAATGAATTAGATCAGGCTTGATGTTGAGACAGGTAGGAGATTTATGAGATACAGGCGATAGATCTGTAGTAGCTATCTGTGATTTGTAGAGCTGTTCTCTGTCTGTCCAGGGCATAATTGATCAATTCATCAGTCAGACATGCTGTACTGTCACTCTCTTTGAAGAACAACTGGACATTTTATAAAAGATTAGGAGCTTTTCAGCAAAGCAAATTAACTCAGTGTCTGTTTTCTGTTTCCAAGCGGGGAGATTTCCTAGACTCAGTCTTCGCTTCCAGCTGAGACGTAACAGAGGCGTCTACATCATTCAATCATACATGCCTTCAATTTTACTGGTTGCCATGTCATGGGTGTCCTTTTGGATCAGCCAATCAGCAGTCCCTGCTCGTGTATCCTTAGGTTGGTATCTGACTAATATTCAACTTTTAAAATGATATAAAGGTTAATTTCTACTACAAAGTGTAAGTGTAGTGACCTCTTTTTGTTGAACGTCACAAAGAGAAAGATTATTCAGAGTGTAACTGCCACCAATCAAAACTGGAAAATACAGCAGCCAGCATAACTGGTAGCTTTTAGGATTGTGTAGAGGTATGTCTTAAACAATGAACCCTTTTATAATGATCCACTGCTGATTTTAAAATGTATCATCTTATAATCAGTAGAATTGATCAGAAACAAGGGAAAACTGAATCTCACAGTGTTAAAGAGTGGCAAAAAGCTAATACAGTAGGGCCTTATTAACCCTCTGAGCACCTTGGGGACCAAAGGAGACATTTTAATAGCTTGGCTCTCAATATACCAGTGAGTTTATGGCTAACTGCATGAAATTTTGCCAATGTTTATTTTTATTTTCATTTTTATTTTCGTAATTCCAAAATCCTGTCTATTGCAAGTGTATGGAATAGGAGATTTGCATAATAATGACAACAATAATAATGACTCTTATACTTACACACTAAAAACCCCTGGGTTGAAAACAACCCAACTTCGGTTATTTTTAAAGGGACCGACTATGTGTTGGGTTATTTTAGCCCAGAAAGTTGGGCAATTGAAATCAACCCAAGTTTTGGGTTGAATCAATAAATGCATGAAATTTACGGTGAGCTTCGTTTTTTTCAACCTGGACCCTATTTTCCCATCTACTTTTATCCAAATGAGTGGTGGGATTTTCAATTTATGCAATTGCTGAATGCAAAATACGGACGACACAGAACGATTGTCAGTGCGTGAGTTCCTGGCCCATCAATCACACTGATACACAGGATGTGTCACTGTCTACAACAGCTGTTGTTTGCAGTTGCTGCTCCAATGTTACATGTTTCTGATCGAGGCTTTCTGAGGAGCTAAAAAGATCAACAGTCACTAACCATCCACTTCTAGATTCTCCAACTCGTGGTGACGTGCAGCGTCTCACTCAAACCTGCGCTGAGGTGATAAGGTGATGCAATCCATCGAGGTGTTTTGAAGTGGAAAAACAAGAATCAGGGTGCCAATTTGGTTTGACTGTCAAATTGTGCCGGGGTAAAAGAATTTGGTTCTCTAAATGGCAGTCCCTGGCTTGATTTCCACCTAGGCCATGGGTCGGCAACCCATGGCTCTGGAGCCGCATGTGGCTTTTTCTTCCCTAAGCTGCGTCTCCCTGTGGATTTGGAAAAATAAATAATAAATATTTAATATTTATTTTATTTTAGTTGTTTTTTTTGTGATTCTAAATTCAAAGATTTTAATGCTCTTGTAACATTAAATAAACCATGTTACATTTTTTTATCGCTCAAATATGCATTATAACTGCTGGAGACACTGTGCGCTGAGGTTTCAGGAGCGAAAGTCACATTAAGCAAGTAAATTTCATATTTTAATCTGCTATTATTTTGCAAATAAATATCTTACATTGTTCAGTGATATGTGTTTTTTATTCAACACATACGCTTGTTGCGTGATCACCCCCTCTACTTCTCCAAGTGTGGCCTGCATAGCAGGGCTCCAAGGGCGGAGCTTGCAGTTGTAAAGTAGGAAATCTCCCTGCATCTGAGACTACTGTTTGGGTCTGCCACAGAGATTCACAGTGATTTGAATGCAGAAATACTCAGAAATGCAATTTCGCACTTATATTACTTATATGTCCTGTAGAATCAGGAAAATGATATATGAACATGTAGACAACAAGGATAACATGATTTTCATCGAAGTGGGTCTTTAAGGTTATTTCAAACTGTTCAAAATATTTTTGTTTGCCTACAGAAATAACACTTCTTTTTCTCTGCAGCAGTTCAATTATTTAATAAATGCAACTCACTACAGTTTTTCATATACTTTGCATAAAAGTAAAAAAAATGATATATGCGATGTTATCTTCATTTTAGTTGTCAAAGGGATTTTGTGGCTCCCTGTGTTTTCTTTTCTGTAGGAAAATGTTCCAAATGGCTCTTTGAGTGTTTAAGGTTGCCGACCTCTGACCTAGGCTGCACGTCACCACCGCCTACTTTTCCCTGTTTCTGACAGTATCTGTTCTGTTTCCTTGATTGAGGCATAACAAAGTCAGAATAATAATCACAGAGACTAAAGAAGAGGTAAAGATTTAAAAAGCTTACAGTGCATGGAATAATATAGAGAATTATTTTTCATCATATGGTAATGCAAAATGTTAATATGTATGTCCTATAACCTTCACGATGGGGAGGAAGAATAGCCTCAGACATTCATTTCAGTGGACAAATGGTTGATTCTCTCTTTCTCACTCTCATTTAAATGTGGCTTTCTTCTAGAGTCACCCTCATGATTTATTGGAGAAATTTTGTGTTTGAGTAGTCACTGAGCACCAGAGGTGGACAGAGTACTTGACCCCAGTACTTGAGTAAGGGTACAAATACTCCTGGTCAAAATTTACTCTGCTACAAGTAAGAGTAGCCCAGTCAATACGTTACTCGAGTAAGAGTAAAAAACTACTCGCTTTTAAATGTACTGAAGTATTCAAGAGTAAATGCTTTTAAATATTCTTAAAGTAAAAGTAAGAGTAAATTCCTGTTTTTTCACATGAATTACTGTCATTTTACAATTTTATTTATAGTACCTTGTAACTCTTGTTTCAGAGAATTAACTCTTTGAAACCACCTGCACTGATGAGCTTGCCTGTAGAACCATTATGTTATACTGTACAAAGCCTGCACAAACATCTATAAAAATGGAAATAAAATGAATGGGATCATCAAAGAGGACAATGATGTCATTTTCACACATTGTACTTTCTTGTCTGTGTTTGCGTTTTTCTTATTTACTCCAGCAAACTCGAACATAGCCTTCAGATAAGGCCATGGGTTTTCTTCAGGTTCCTCTGCCTCATTCAACTCCGGCTCATCATGTTCAGACTCTGAGCCTGTGGATTCATCGTAGCGTTCTTCTCCTGCCGCCATTGTCACCGCGGTCTTGTTTTGAGCGGATAAATAAGAGAGCGCGTATTTCCGCTTTTACGTACGTCCCAGTGGAGAACGTGGACTTTTCTTCTTTGACGAACACTGCATGTGGCCAATTGTGTTTTACGGAAAGAAATAAAAAACAGGGAACCTAAAAGTAACGAGTACTCATGAGCCTTCTCAAAAATTTACTTGAGTAAGTGTAAAGATCTTTACCTTGGAAATGTATTCGAGTAAGAGTAAAAATCTTTACCTTGGAAATGTATTCGAGTAAGAGTAATAAGTATCAAAGAATTCTAGTATTTGAGTAAAGTACAAATCCTCAGAATCTGTACTTAAGTACAGTACTCAAGTAAATCCGTCCACCACTGCTGAGCACCCATCAAAAACCTCCTAGTTTCTGATCCTTTTTCTTGTCTGTTTTTGTTTTGTCTAAATAAATGACATAAATCTTTTTTTTTTTTTTTTGCAACTTCATCTGTGTGCTCTGTATGTCTGAGCAGCATCAATCAACTTGATGAATTTGTAGTTATTTTGGTCAAATATCACTTCTAAAAGAGAGTTTAGAAAAGCTTTATTTAATTGCAACCTCTGACCCAAGATTGATGAACTTGGTGCAGTATCTGCTGTCTGCCAGACAACTTTCCCTGCAGCTTTAACCTAAAAGTGTCCGTTTTAAAGCAACCCTCAGTATCTTGTTGCCTGTGTGATTATCGACATTTGACCTCAAATTATTTTGTACCAAATGAATTGTTTTGCAAATGTAATGTTCTGAGTAGTTGTTTGTCACTATCCATCTTTCTCTTTCTCAGTCTCTCCTCTGTCCATATCTCTCTTTCTCCATCTCTCTCTTTCTCCATTTTCCTCTATCAGTCTCTTCTCTGACCATCTCTCTCTTTCTCCATCTCTCTCTCTCTCTCTCTCTCTCTCTCTCTCTCTCTCTCTCTCTCTCTCTCTCTCTCTCTCTCTCTCCCCTCTCTAAACCCAGCTCAGTCTGAGCAGATGACTGTCTAACATGAGTCTGGTTCTGCCTGAGGTTTCTGCCCATTAAAGGAAGTCTCCACTGTGCTTTGCTCAATGCTGCAAAGTGTCACACAAGTGGTAGTTTAAGATTGGTTTGGAGTAGGTGATTGGTTCATCAGCAGATCTAGTTTTACAAGATGGTACTCAAAGTTATCCCATCTTGATGATTGATCTTTGTAAATATGATCGACGGGCCAGTCCAGACCTGCTATTCATATAAAGCATCTTGAGATAATGTTAGTTCTGTATTGGTGAGATTGATTAATTGATTGGCAGAGAGTGCACTGCATGTATGGTGCCAATACACAACATATAATCAAATGTTAAAGCCAAAAAGCTGGTTTAAAAAAAAAAAAAAGTTAAATTATGGCTTTATGATCTTAAGTACAAATTATGTCCTTTTTGGTAAATTCCAGTTCTCAAAGTCATAAGTAATAACAAAACAAAAACAAAAAAAAAAACTAGCCCTCAATTATTGGTGCACAGATGTTTTGTGGAATCATGAATCACTTGAGATCTCACTGAAGGTGGATGTGTTTGGATCATAACTTGAGGTATTGGGTATTCCCTTGTTTAAACATAAACCTTTACTTAAATGTTGTTCCTGCTCAGCTTTCCTGTTTAGATTACTGCACTGCCTTTTCACAACGTTTTACATACTTTTAAAAACTTGACTGTTGTAAAACAACAGCCCTGTCTTGTGTTTAACCGAAGCACAATCTGTATTTGTTAATATGGCATTCAATACAGTAAAGTGCTACATCCAGCATGGTTTCGAAGCTGCTGAACCGTAATTTATTCTTTGTTTTGATATTTTTCCTACAGGGATCACAACTGTTCTCACTATGACCACATTGATGGTAAGTGCCCGCTCCTCCCTGCCTAGAGCATCAGCCATCAAGGCACTGGACGTCTACTTCTGGATCTGTTATGTGTTTGTGTTCGCTGCACTCATTGAGTATGCCTTTGCGCACTACAATGCTGACTACAGACTTAAAGAGAAGGCCAAGGTGAAGGCTAACAAGCTCAGCTCTGAGGTGAGAAAATCATTACCACTATGTACTTTCATCAGCAGAATAACATAATCCTACCATGCAGGGGAAGGGGAAATGAAGTAATTATCTTGCCTTGCAGTGATAGACCTGGGCCAGGCATATAACCAAAGTGCTGACATTCCAATGACCTTTGGCAAAGTAACAATTTCTATTCAACTCTTAGTTCAAGTGTACGGTGCTGTATAAAGAACACAACAACACAGAACAAAAAAAAATCTTGACATATCTAAAGGTATCTGGCCTTGAAGACTTTGTAATGCTCTATATTGGGCTTGACAGCAACTTCACATTATCAAGACATCTAATGTGTTAAGTTTGCCAAAATTCAAGGGGCTAAATGTTTTTGTAAATACTACTCAACTTCTCAAGAAGAATATAAGCAGAGATCTGTGGTATCCACGCGTCGACTGTAGAGACCTGGGTAGTTGACTACAGCAATAATAGTCGGGTCACGAAGTGAGATTCTGTGACCATCCTCTGGCAAGGATTTTTTGACGATTTGACCTCTATGGACCCTTTTCTACACAAGTCAACCATAAGGATTCCAAATCTGACACAGTTTTAATTGTAAGACCTCGTTTTGACACCGAAATTCAAGATGGCCGACATCTAGTAGAGTAAAAACTTAGCTTTAGTTTATAAATTTTCAGTCAGTGCGGCTTTTTCTGATTGGTTAAGTAACAAGAAGATGTTCTCTAGGTTGTGCCACTGCCAGATAGCCAGACAGCTGGGGGGGCTGCCCCCTTAGGGACTGCTGGCCTGCCCTGGAGCACACAGCTCTAGACAACAAAGCTCTCAGGGTCATAGGGACATAGGGGCTTTTTTTTGGTATTTTTTTCCTATTGCATATCGGAGGGCATGCTGCATATGTGGAGAGGTAATTGAGTTCGTAACTTCCTTTATAATACCTTGCGTATATCATCACCAACAGTGGAAACATCATATCCGAAACCACGCAAAACACGTATTAGTCTGAATCAGAGTATTCTGTGTTCAAGGTATTATAAAGGAAGTTACGAACTCAACCACATGTCCACATATGCAGCACGCCCTCCGATGTGCAATAGGAAAAAAATACCAAAAAAAGACAAAAAAAAAAAAAAAAAAACGCTCCGGGAACCATCACTTTACCGCGGTGGAGGGGTTTGTGCGTCCCTATGACCCTGAGAGCTTTGTTGTCTGCTGTTAAGAGCTGTTAACCAATCAGAAATAGCCGGACTGACTGAAAATTTATAAACTAAAGCAAAGTTTTTACTCTACTGGATGTCGGCCATCTTGAATTACGGTGTCAAAACAAGGTCTTACAATTAAAATTGTGTCAGATTTGGAATCCCTATGGTTGACTTGTATAGAAAATTGCCTTCATACATGATTCTAGGTCATCCAGATCAAAAGTTTATTTTTAGGCATGGTGCCAGGCACCATTTTGAATTTGGCTGTCTAGCAAAAAAATGCCGGGATTTTTGCGAGGGACCTGGGGGCTAAATCTTTTCTAAAGGGTCCATAGAGGTCAAATCAATCGTCAAAACATCCTTGCCAGAGGATGGTCACAGAATCTCACTTCGTGACCCGACTATAAGATTTTTTTTTTTTGCTAGAATCAGAAGACTTATCAACGGAGATTTGATGTCCATGTCTGAGACATTGTCTGGAACATGGTTAAGTAGATCAAAAGAAGCAGTCTGCAAAAACTGTTTACCCGTAACCTCCTGGAGTACAGAGTGAACCCCCTTCTAGAAAGTCTGGATGCAGTCACATGACCAAAATAAGTGGATAAATGTACTTTTGTGTATTTTACATTTACAACAAAGATTGGAAGTGTCAGGAAACATTCTCTGGGGGCGAAGAGGTGTGTAATATATTTGGTGAAAAATTTTTTAAATTTTTTTCATGTATAGAGATTGAGATTTAGGAAAACAATTGCTGCAGATCTTGACACAGTCTGCAGGATTAAACGTCACACACAGATCACGCTCCAACAATGGTTTCAGGGAGTCATAGCCTGAAGAATCAAAATGAAGTAGTGAGGTACAACTTGCAGAAATCAGTCCTTTGGTAGATTTAGCCAGAATTATTGTGTTTTCCAGCTCTGACAGTCTCATACAGATCTCTTCTGTCCTCAAACGAGACCCTATAAAGCACAGGTATCGAACTCAAGGCCTGGGGACCAAATCTGGCAGCTGAAAAAATTATATCTAACCCACGAGATCTTATCATATTATATTTGCATTATTATTGGCCCACCAGTGTAAGGTCTGCAGATTTTTTTCAGTATAATAATGTAAACTTTAGCTCAATTATTTAAAACTGTAACACCATAAAATCTAATAAAAGTAAAGAGTAAGGAAGATTTAAAAAAGGCCAAGATTTTGGGAAAAAAATAATTTGTTTTTTATTTCATATTATCAATTTTGCATCTCAAGATTTTAAGTCAAACTTATAATTTGACTTTCATTACATGCTTTAACCTTTTCACCTCAGACTTTGGACTAAATATGTCATTTTTTATCTTTAAGATTATGAATTTAAATTTTAAGTCATATTTTGACTATTTCAACTCCTTACTTTGGCCCTTCAGTTTTTAATTTAGACCTTTTTTCTTTTCAAATTTGAATTCAAATATAAATCATATTTTTAACTTTTGATATATTTATGAATTCTAGTAAAATCTTGACATTTTCAACTCATATTTCTGGCTTTTAAATCCTAAATTTTGAATTATCAGACTCATGATTAAAAAATTGATCTCATATTTCGATCTTTCAAACACATAAATTCAACTTTCTCCTCGTATTTTTGCTATCCAAAGGGATTACTTTACAATTTCAAATAAAGTATTGAAATCTTTGACGTAATAGGTTGGAATTTTTATTTTAGTCTTAGATTGACCTCAAAGTTACTTTTGAAAAACATTGGTTAAATGTTGACCCTGTTGGGCCCACAGGTTACACCGAAATCCAGATTACTGCCCCTACTGTGACTGAGCTTGACACCCTGCTATATAGTGACAAATTTGAAGGTACTATAAAAATCTTTTGGGATAATATTAAAATCAGCCCTGATTTGCTCAAATGATTATACAGAGTCGGAGACCAATAGGTCTGTAAAATTTGACAGGCCCTTAGATGTCCACTCCATCAAACCAAGGGAAGAATGGAGAGATAACTGGGGGAATCCTTCTGTATTTCTTTACATCTGGCCAAACCAGTAATGTGTTATAAACTGTTATGTTATTTTTGAGATGATTCAACTGATCTATATAATTGATAAAAGGAAGGAAATTAAGCCTTCTGGGATATCAAAGTAGGGATTTAAGGTTCAACCATAGAGAATCTTTTCTGTTCATGAACCAATTTGACATAGTTTTAAGTTGTGCTGACCAATAATATAGTTTTAGATTGGGCAGGGACAAGCCTCTGAGTAGTGATGGGAATTAAAGCTCTTTTTAGTGAGTCAGATCATTCGGCTTAGCTCACCAAAAAGAGCCGACTCTTTTGGCTCCCAAACAGCTCTTAATTTGACCACTTTAGGCTGTATTGGCTGAGCGAGATCGTGTTGGTTCGTTCCACTTCAGTGGGGCAACATAAACTGTGATTCATAAAATAGCTCTATTGATAGTAAGTAGGAAAAAAAAAATCTACTCATGCCATCCTGTCGATTTTTAATAATCAGTGTTTCGGTGTTGAACTATTTCCTTTCTGTGGCGCAGTGAATCTTGCACACGCGCAATCGAATATGCAGAGGGATGAAGCGATTTTGTCACGTGGACCAATAGGAGCCGAGTCTCGTTGCCATAGTATTAGAAATACACAAACATGGCGACGAGCGCATCTAGCAGCGAGACAAGCGAAGAGGAAGAAAAGAACAGGAAAAAAAACACAGCCTTCAAAAGTGCATTGAAAAGGAACGAAACGATGCTATATGCATCCATCATCTGTCCAGAGTGAAGACGTTCTCGACTTTACAAGGACACGTTGGGAAACTTGCAGAACTAGTATTAGAAAGTGGCTTTCTCTACAGGGTGAGACAAAGGACCTTGCAGAAACTTGTAAACATTGCGTTGATATCGACTTTGACAATATTCCTGATGACGCTGGGTTTCACATGACATGCTACCAGCGATTTATTTGCAAAAGGCGTTTGAGAAACAAGAAGGTGATGCAGCCGCGGGTCAGTCAAACCCTTCAGGCAGCATTGCCGATGCATCCACGTCCACGGCATCTGAAACTCTGCGAAAGTGTTTTATATGTGTTTTATATTTTATAGATGTTTTATACCATATTTTGAATTAATTCAGACCTTTTGTACATTTATTTTTGTCTTGTTACATTTTTTCCATTATTCCAATTTTGGGGTGTGTGGTACCAATTTGATTGACTTTCAGCCATTTATGGCCATGATGTGCTGTTTACATTTTATTGCTTTTATTACACAGTAGGTTGTGTCATTTTTAAGTATGAAACATAAGCTTTTAGCTTAATTTACTGTACATATTTCATTGTGCTGGGTGCAAATCACTTGAGTTGAGACGTTTTCTTCAAGAAATTTGCTACATTTCATAATCTGAATTCACTTATGCGTAAACTAAGGCACCAGTAACTGTTTTAGATGTTAGGTAGATGTATTTATGACATTGGAGAAAGATTTTGTCTTGCCAGAATCAACATAGCAGTTTCTACAAGCAAAAACAGCAGCACCATCTAATTGTTTTTTGGCTTACTCACATATATGTACATTTCTGGCTGGTGACAAAAGTCAGACAGATAGTCTGAGTAGATATTTTAACCCAAAGTCCAGAATGGTACTGTCTATGCAAAAATGCATTGAACAAGTAGCACCAGCGTAGTGGAGCGAAATTCACTTTCTAGGCACTTTTTCCTTTGTCCCAATACAGCCTATAACCTCGAGCGAAGCTTCTTTCGCGGCGTTTCAGATGCCGTGGACATGGATGCATCGGCGATGCTGCCTGAAGGGTTTGACTGACCCGCGGCTGCATCACGTTCTTGTTTCTCAAACGCCTTTTGCAAATAAATCGCTGGTAGCATGTCATGTGAAACCCAGCGTCATCAGTAACATTGTCAAAGTCGATATCAACGCAATGTTTACAAGTTTCTGCAAGGTCCTTTGTCTCACCCTGTAGAGAAAGCCACTTTCTAATACTAGTTCCCAACGTGTCCTTGTAAAGTCGAGAACGTCTTCACTCTGGACAGATGATAGATGCATATAGCATCGTTTCGTTCCTTTTCTATGCACTTTTGAAGGCTGTTTTCTTTTTTTTTCCTGTTCTTTTCTTCCTCTTCGCTTGGCTCACTGCTAGATGCGCTCGTCGCCATGTTTGTGTATTTTTGATACTATGGCAACGAGACTTGGCTCCTATTGGTCCACGTGACAAAAATCGCTTCACCCCTCTGCATATTTGATTGCGCGTGTGCAAGTATCACTGCACCGCAGAAAGGAAATAGTTCAACACCGAAACACTGATTACTAAAAATCGACAGGATGGCATGAGTAGATTTTTTTTTTAGCACTTACTAACAATAGAGCTATTTTATGAATCACAGTTTATGTTGCCCCACTGAAGTGGAACGAGATTCACTTTCTAAGCACTTTTTCCTCTGTCCCAATACAGCCTACTTATACATTTTCTAATTCAGCCAAATTTAGCATTGTTTGGTTTATAATATGTATGTATGTATGTGTACATATACCTCTTAAATAATTCAATACATCCTTTGTACTGAAGTAAAAATGACATTTTCCAATATCAGTAAATTACTGTAGCCAATTGGTTTCATTGCATTTACTGACCCTTTTAACTCTCTGAAACATCTTTAAAAACTTAAGCATAGAAATAAAAAAGGACAGCAATTGAGATTTTCAATATTTATTTAAACACAAATAATCAAATAAATAACACAATAAAAAGAAATAACAGTATTGCAATAAACAAAACAGCCACATTTAAGAGTTTTAGCTATCCATTTGAACTGTCCACCATCAAGAACAACAGCAAAATAAATCAAATATAAAAAGAGAGAAAAAAGGACCACAGATGGGAGCCGGCTCCCATCGATCCGGCTCTTTGAACCGGTTCTTTTGCAACTGACACATCACTACCTCCTAGATTCTTTGGCTGAGTAAAGAAAACTTGACTCTTTGGTGTTTGTTATTCCAAATATTGTGAGAGATGTGCATATTTAGTGATTTAAAAAGGCAGGGGTCAAATAGAACGTGAGATTTTGAAACACATAGTTCAATCAAGGAAGAATATTCAGTTTTTTAGTGTTAATTCTCTCAAGGAGACAAATTAGCAGGGAGGCCCATTTTGTCAGATCCTTCTTAACCTTTTGAATTAGAGGTGAGTAACTAGCTTCAAACAGATGATTTCAATCTGGAGTGACAAAGGTACCTAAATATTTAGAACCCCGCCTGGATATTGTATTGACATATCCTGGGGATATGACTTTCCTAGGTTAATCTAGCGGTGCCCCTGTCAGCAGTCCCTGCTCACTAGAAAGCCATCAAACCGCAGGCCTTTAAAATCGACAGTGGCTACTGGGTCTGAATAAAAGGTTTTATTTATATTAAGGAAATCTAAGCCTAGACCAACTTTTCCTTATATCAGAAACAAAAAAGACCATTCCACTCGGTCAAAGGCCCTTTTTTTCCTAACCGCAATCAGTTTCCAGGTTTGATAAATCACATTGCTCAGTGATTTCATTCCTCTCAGTATTCTGCCCGTTCTGATGATCAAATACATTCTGCATGAACACACTAAATCAATTGCGCCTGCTGTTTTGCTTGTTTGACAAATGCAATCCTCGTTGCAACCGGTTAGTGGATCAACTTTGCGCGTGCTATCAAATTTGCATGTGTTTTTTCACACACAAATCTTTAGTAGATCAGGCTCTGGGTTTTTTGGGGTGTTAAGATACTGAACAACAGTAAGAGCATGGCATGTCATACCTTGATTTTACAAACCCTGCCTCATTTGGGTTTATTGTTTTCAAAAGAATGTTTTCCAATCTCCGAGCCATTACCTTCGCAACAATTTTGTAGTCTTATCTCCAGAAAGAAGGGATACCATCTCTTAAAATGCCATTGATGACAGGCATAAAAAATTTGAAGAAATTCTTAAAAATTCCAATGGAAACCCATCTGGGCCTGGACATGTCCCATTTGGCATAGATTAGATTGCAGCCCAGGCCTTCTCCAACATGAGTGCAGTACCTACGCTGGAGCGATCCATCTCCACAATACTAGGCAATGGAATATTGTTCAAATATGAAGCAATAACAGTGGCATCAACCCTCTCTGCACTAGTCAAAGATTTATAAAGATCCCAGAAGGTGCTATTGATTGTCACTGGATCGCATGTGACATCCCCATTTTGTGTTCTTATAATATTGATTTAGCTATTGTTGCTTTGATTTTTCAGTTGGTGTGCAGGCAATTGACTGGACTTATTACCAAATTCCTACTATTTCTGTTTAAAATAAGGTAATAATTTCTTGACATGACAAGTATGATCCATATTAAGTTCAGTTTTAGCAGCCACTAGTGCCTTTAAGTCTGCTGGTATTGGTGACTGTTTTTCCAGCCTTGTCACTTCTTTTTTAAGGTTTTTTTCTATTTTCTTCTCAGGCTTTTTTTCTGATGAGAGCTATATGAAATAAGGTGTCCACACAAAGTGGCTTTAGCTGCATCCTGAATTGTCATGGAGGACACTGGGGAGCTTGAGCCAAAGTTGTGAGAGGTTGTTCCGCGAAAAAGTGCGAAAAGAATCACTATTCAAAAATGACGTGTTATTCTCCAGGTGGGAATTTTAAGAATGTTAAATACTGGGTCAATGCACAGATGTACCGGAGCATGATCTAATGAAGCGATGGAGTCTATGAAACAAGTCTTAACAGAATGTAAAATGTTTATGGGAATAAAAAAAATAGTCCATATACTGGCTAAAAAGCCCAGGCCATTGCAATGATAGTTAAACATCAAAATCATTTGTGACACAAACTGGGGATAAATCATTATTTGGGGCAGAAATCTTGAAAATGGTTGTATGTTGTATAATGTTACATATGTTTATCCCTAATCAAAACAAATCTCCCTTCTGAATCTTCTTCTACATGTTCCAAGATGAAAGGATAGTTCTTACTAATGAGAATAGCTATGCCTTTCTAATTCTGTGAATGGGAGGAAAAGTAAACAATGCCAACCCATCCATCTTCTGTTTCAGATGTTCTGTATCAGATATCAGATGTTTCCTGAAGTGATGCTATATGTGTTTAAAGCAAAGTTACACACTACTGTTGTCTAGTCTAAGGATTTTTTACAGGAACATAAGTATTTAAGCAATGTGAAAGCAGCAAAAGAAAGAGCATTTTCAAAGTCACATGCTAAAGATTAGATTTACAGATTTACTGCCCCAAAATAATCATAACAATAACTAGAATGACCAAAAAAACAGATAACAAGAAAAACAGCAGTTAAGTCACCACAAGCACTGCCAGCTTAGTCTAAACAATTTATCAGGAATCAAACTAATGTTTAGCTCCATCCCCTGACATGCTTTCTTAGATTGAACAGTGAATTTCTGTAGGCAAACATTTAAAGTCATACAAATCATTCTTTACTTGGAAAACTTCAAACATATGGCCATGAATACTCAGGAGGAGAATCTTCATCCCCCTCTGCCATCACCATCATCATTACCACAAGCAAAAATGATTAGCTACCTCATGTCAAGCGATAGTCTTCTTCTCTGTGTTTATTGATGGATAGCAAAAGAAGGCCCAGTGCATTGCAGCCCCTATATATCCCAGCCAGATATGGGCACAAGTCTCTCTTTACAAGTCCCCATCAGGTCAATTAATAAGAAAATTAAACTGTGTAGTCATAGAATGGAGGGCCTAACTGAATTAAAAATAATGATTACCTAATTTATTTCACATCATATCGAATTGATATTTTGTCACCTCTAAATATATTATATTGAATATGAATATAAGTAAGAAAAAAAGTAGCACAACACGACGACAACATATGAGATAATTTTTCCAACCTTAAATCAATATAAGCTAAGAAAAAGAAGTAATTGTTGACCTCACAGCTGAAAGTGTGCTGCATTGAATTACTAAGAAACCTACAAACAGTGGAAGGGGTGATTGTTCACAAGTCCCTGACAGTCGTGTCCAAGTTGGGTCTGAAGTCAAATTAGTGTCAGACTTGAGATCAAGGGCTCTATTTTCGTGTCCTCCGGTGAGGCGGCGGAGGATGGCCCGTGCAGTTGTATTTTCGTCTGGCGGAGCCCGGCGTACAGTCAGTTTGGTATTTTCGTGGACTGAGGCGCACCGAGATCCGCCAAGCTGGGCGTGGTGGCGTGGCAGGGGGAGGTGTTGACAGAATCAGCGGGCGCAGTGACATTATCATGCTCGCCACCGGCGTATAAAGTGCGCTGAAAGCTCACCGATTCAAACCTGGTCAGCTTTCAGCGCAGGTGGAGCGCAGCTGGTCTAGTGGTATTTTGGTAGACCAGCAGCGTATCAGCATACGTCACTGATGCCTCACTCGCAGGTTTCCACAGTGTCAGGCACATTTCAGTGCAATAAATAATCATCAGCAACTAATAATCTGAGTCAGCACATACATTTAGATCTATATAGATATATTCTGATCTATATCTGATCTGATGAGAGCGTTTGGCACACGTTTGGACACACAACCTGACCGAATCAACACAGCTGAAACTGCATTAAATTAAATTAAATATCTAGTTAATAGACACACATGATGAATCGAACAAGATATGTAATTCGTCTCCCTCCTTTTTTTATTCCTCTTCCTCTTATTTCTCGCACAGCTCGACCTGGACATGTCTCCGTGTCCTCTTCTACCCGTCCTGCTGCAGCTGATTTGTTTCAGCGCTCAGATGAGCTATTTACTTTAAGCCTACATACGGATATTATAATATGCAGTTTTGTGTGTCAAATTCATTTTATATGCCAACATCTATGAAAGAAAGAGCCAGGCCACGGAGCGCGATGCGTCATTTACGCACAGATGGTTCTGATTTTAATGCCATTTTTGGAGTTTATGTTGTGATCTGTGCACACAACCCACCTTTGTCACGTGAGGTTTGAATAAATGCAACTTCATGTGAGTGTCTTTATTTGTGGAAAAGGGTGTTTGTCTTACCAGTGGGTCCAACATTACACACACTAAATCCATCTGTGCTTATATAAGAGCGTGTGGAGGACGCCCAATGCAACGCTTACAGTGACACTTGTTGAGGGGCTGCCTTCTGTCGCCATTGTGTGGCATTACTGTCCTCAGACATCTCTTGATCTCTTTGACTACTTCACGAAAATAGTAATTTGCCTCGCTGGTGGCATATTTAAAGGCAAGGAGAGGAGCTTATATGATCGGTGAAAACAGGTCTTGGCTGTGTTAAACCCATTCCAGGCCCTCTCTTCTCCTTCTTACGACTTACGCCGCTGGGAGGAGCTGAGTTAGGGGGGGGGCGTACTTACGTCGGGCTGCGCCGCTCACCAGAATACCAAATTGTGCTTGGGAACGCCTTGTCGGTGCGGCGGACCTGACTTAAGCCACGCCTGTGGCACGTCTCCGGCGAGGCACGAAAATAGAGCCCAAGTCTCAAACTCAAGTCCCATCTTTTACACCAGCTGATTTCAGAGCAAAAGTAATGTGTGATGAAAACATTTTTTCTTTCAAATGTAGTGGAGTTAATGTAAAAAGCTTCCCCTAAAGTACTACTCAAGTAAATTACACTACTCAAAAAATTTCTTCAGTACAGTACTTGAGTAAATTTACTTAATTACTTTCCACCTCTGTATGGGACAGAATGACTTACTGTGACTCCAACCTGGTCGTTTAGATTTTTAAAGTTTTTATTTTAAAACTGTGCTCTACTAAAGTCACTAATTTTTTTTTTTTTTTTGCTTTTCTCTCTCTATCTTCCTGCAGTCTATTGTAAAGAATGGCAAACAGGCTATGGTTTTGTTTTCCTTGTCTGTTACTGGTATGAACCAGAGTGTGACGATCTCCAACCCTCATGGGCGGGCCCAGCACTCCAGCAGTGAAATTCCTGGAGAAGGTGGTGGTGAAGAGACTGAACCAAGGAGGAGACGGTCCAAGCAGGCAGAAGAGACCAAGGAGGAAAAGAAATGCTGTTCCAAGTGTGTCTGCAAGCCTATTGATGCAGATACAATCGACATCTACGCCAGGGCTGTATTCCCCTTTACTTTTGCTGTGGTGAATGTGATCTACTGGGTGGCCTATACAATGTAAAAGGAGGCAGTGGTGCTGCCATCTAGGCTGTATATAGGACATGCTGAAGCTTTGCAGCTATGATGCTGGTGGACTGATGCAGCTCGAATAAACTTTAGACCTCAGTTAAAGACTAAAATTTAGGGACAGACAAGTATTAAATCTAAAAAAGAAAACTATCAAGGACTGCTACTATGGATATTTGGTAAATGATGAAAGTAATGTAATTAAATGTGTAAAAAAAGGTAATCTGTTTCATTACATATACAGACATGTTATTGTATGAAGGCTGAAGACTGTGTTGCCTCTTACAAATTCACTTATTCGGGACTGATACAGTTCAACTAACAATTTGGATTTCCATCATGTTGTACAAACTCTACAAAAGGCATGATAGCATATTATTCAACCTAAAGTTTTAAATACAAGATGACATATTTGAAAGACAAATAGGTATAGTTTGCTTAACTCTTATAAAGACATAATCTGAATGAACTAAAATTGTCATCATTGTTATCTCAATTCGAAAGCACTGCCCAGACTAGAGAACAACAGGATGAAAAGTACTCCTATTCTGCATGGCCTGTGTCCCAACCTCTTCCTGTTCCATTTCCACCATCCTCTTCCACTCTATCCTTTATCCCCTCACCCTCCTTTGAATTGATTTCTTGATTAGGATAGCCCCTAAATGAAATGTCTTATCTCCTTCTGCCAGTTTTGCCTGTTTCCTCACCATTAAAGAAATTCCTCCGATGTGTGTGAGTGTGTGTATGTGTGTTTCACATTAACTCTCAAAGCAAAGAAATAAGTGCATGTTAAATTTATGATCTTGTCTGTCCTTTGTCAGAATTTGGAATTGTAGTTCAGTAAATTTAGAGATTAGAGATGACCATCACTTCAAAGTCTAACAAAGTTGGACTCAACACACAGCCAATAGCATTACCCTTACCAAAAAAAGTATACTTTGTACACTGATACAAATACAATATCGGTGTACTTATAAGTAAATTTCTTGGGACTAAATTGGTCCAATTTAGTTTATCAAAGTACACTTGAAGCATACTTGAAAGTTAACTTCTTGGTGAACTATTAGATTACTAGTCTTCTAGTCTCCCTTCTCTTCAGTTTATAAAAGTGCACCAAGTACACTCCGAAGCATACCTTTATTTACTTTTTTTCGGGGGGTGGGGTTGCTCTAAATGGGTTGGACAGAGTGGCAATGTGGGAGATAGAGGGGGGAGGGGATGAAATGCAGCACATGGTCAGGATAGGAATCGAACCCGTGACCAGAGCAGGGACAACAGTCCCCAACATAGGGTGTGCCTTATTCCACTTGACTATCTGACCGCTGACTATTAAATTCAGTATTCAGTATTTTTTTAAATACTACATATTTGTATACTTGGCTTGTACTGCTTATCTTTTTTAAGAGTAGACTCTTTAAAAGATATATGAAAATATTCACTGACCAAGACACACATACATACTTGAGTATACTGCGTCTTGATCAAAAGTTTATGTATAAATAAAGTTTAAAAATATTTGGACTTTAGTGTAATTCTTGGTACAAGCCAAATATACCTCTTTACATCTCTGAAAAAAAAAGTAAATTGAAAGCATAATTAGTATAAAAACAGTATACTCGAAGTAAAATTAAACACACTTCTTTTTGGTAAGGGTAGTATGATTAACAGCTCTGAGTACTGCATTTAAGCATTTTTAGAAGTGTGACACTATATAAATGTTACGCTGAATACTCTTAACACTGACAAATTTACAATGAGCTAAGACCTTGTATAATACTTGTAAGATGCACTCTAGATTCCACCAAGGTGTGAAGGACATGCAGTTAATTTAATAAAAAGATACTTTGTTTATTACAAAGTAGTCTTTGTACAGTTTAGCTAATTTAAGTTCAACTGGTTCAGATATGTTGTGCGAATATTATTGTCTTTTTGCGATAGTATTGGCTTTAATTTTTCTTCCTACCATCTGGATAGTGTGTTCATGGGAGATCTCATTAGCTCATCTCAATCAATCATCAATGAAATTTTGTTTATATAGCGCCAAGTCACCCCAGTCATTATCCCGTTTTCCAAAAAAAAAAAAAAAAGAGCAGGTCCATTCTATGCTCATCTGTCCGGAGGTACACTACAGGCCAAACGTTTGGAAGCAAGATCAGATTTGTACAAAAAAGATCATAGTTTCATATATATAATTTGCAACACAATAAACATGACAACTGTGTAAAGAATAACTTATTAGAAGACATTTTGACTATAATTATTAGGTATTTGCGTTATTGTTGCTTAGACTTTGCTTTCTTTAAAGTAACCTCCTCTGGCTTTAACAACAGCTTGGCATATACTAGACATTTGTTCCACAAGTTTTTTAAGGTATGTTCCAGGGACTGCATTCCAAGCTTTCTTAAGTTCATTAAAAAGAGACTTCTGATTCGTGGGATGCATTTTTCTGACCGATCGATCCAATTCATCCCGCACAAGCTCAATTGGAGAAAGGTGTGGAGACTGAGGGGGCCAACCCATTTTTTGAAGAACACCTTCCTCTTCTTTTCTGTCTAGGTAACCCTGACAGAGCTTGGCAGAGTGCTTAGGGTCATTGTCTTGCTGCAAAACAAACTTATGAGCCACAAGTCTGAGTCCAGATGGAACAGCATGGTGCTGGAGGAAGGAGTGGTACTGTCCCTTCTTGATACCCTTTACTTCAAACAAATCTCCTGCTCTATCACTTGCAAAAGTTCCCCATACCATGGAACTACCACCTCCATGCTGAATTGTGGGTGTAACACATGGTGCTTTCAGACGTTCACCAGTTTGTCTGCAGACATGGGGCTCTATTTTCGTGTACGCCGGTGAGGCGGCGGAGGGTGGCAGACCCCGCGCAGTTGTATTTTCTTCTGGCGGAGCCCGGCATACAGCCAGTTTGTTATTTTCGTGGACTGAGGCGCTCCGAGATCCTGGGAAAGCTGGGCGTGGTGGCGTGGCAGGGGGAGGTGTGTTGACAGAATCAGCGAGCGCAGTGACATTATCGTGCTCGCCACCGGCGTAAAAAGTGCGCTTTCAGCGCAGGCGAAACGCAGCTGGTCTAGTGGTATTTTGGTCGACCGGCGGCGTATCAGCATACATCACTGATGCTCACCCGCAGGTTTCCACAGTGTCAGGCACATTTCAGTGCAATAAATAATCATCAACAACTAATAATCTGAGTCAGCACATACATTTAGATCTATATAGACATATTCTGATCTACATCTGATCTGATGAGCGCGTTTGGCACACGTTTGGACACACAACCTGACCGAATCAACACAGCTGAAACCGCATTGAGTTAAATTAAATTAAATTAAATATCTAGTAAATAGACACACAAGAGTAAGTTAACAAGATATGTAATTCGTCTCCCTCCTTTTCTTTCTTCCTCTTCCTCTTATTTCTCGCGCAGCCGGACCTGAACATGTCTCCGTGTCCTCTCCACTTCCTGCTGCAGCTGCTGCTGTGGTGGCAGATGATTTGTTTCAGTGATCAGATGAGTTATTTACTTTAAGCCGAATATGGTAAAGAGCCAGACCATGGAGCGCGATGCGTCATTACGCACAGATGGTTCCGATTTTAATGCCATTTTTGGAATTTATGTTGTGATCTGTGCGCACAAACCACCTTTGTCACGTGAGGTTTGAATATGTGCAACTTTATGTGAGTGTCTTTATTTGTGGAAAGGGATGTTTGTCTTACTAGTGGGTCTAACATTACACACACGAAATCCATCTGTGCTCATATGAGAGTGTGGAGGACGCCCTCTGCAGCAACACTTGTTGTGAAGCTGCCTTCTGTCGCCATCGTGTGGCATTACTGTCTTCAGACATCTCTTGATCTCTTTGACTACTTCACGAAAATAGTAATATGCCTCGCCGATTTAAAGGAGAGGAGCTGATGTTATTGGTCAATACAGGTCTCGGCTGTGTCGAACCCACTCCACGCCCTCTCTCCTCCATCGCTACGACGCCGCTGGGAGGAGCTGAGTTAGGGAGGGGGGATACCTATGCCGGGCTGCGCCTCTTACCAAAATACCAAATTGTGCTTGGGAACGCCTTGTCGGCGCGGCGGACCTGACTTACGCCATGCCTGCGGCACGTCTCCGGCGAGGCACAAAAATAGAGCCCATAGACTGCGTTTTGAACCAAACAGTGCAAACTTAGACCAGCCTTTCTCAAATGTCATTTCACGGTTGTCAGAGATATGGGTTTCGACCTTGTCATGTTGATTTCCTCCCTTATTTTTGGTGCTGTCTTTTGCCAATCTCTCTTACTGGTGACAATGATATGTTTATCTTCTGCTTTTGTAGTAACTCTCTTTCATCCAGGTCTTTTTCTATCATCATAACCTCCAGGTTCCTCTAGTTTCTTCAGAGTGTGGTGGACTTCTTTGTTAAACACCTTTAGGCGTTTTGCAATTTCTCTTTCTGTGTATCCTAAATGTACAAATATGTACTTTTGTTTCTTTACTCAGTTGCTTCTTTGTAGCAATTTTTGCGGTAGTTTGAATGCAGTTGAGATTTATTAGGATTTTTGTATGCAGACTCTCAAAAGCCAAAAAGTTGAAGTGAATAATCCAACTGTGATTTGTTTTTTTGCTTTTGCACTAAAGTTGTGACTCTTGCAAATGTTTTCAACCCTAAAACCAAGCCCTTATTATCTTTTGCTGACATATATTTGGCAATGGTCTGTTAACATCAATGTATATCTAAAGGTAAATGGAGTAAAATGGTGCATTTCCATGAAAGCAACGTCTGATCATGGAGTAAATACATCCCATAATACATACAACTCATGCTGGAGTGTAAAAAAAGCATTGTGAACAAAAACTTGAAGTCACTCCCAACTGTTCGGCCTGTAATGGCCTTGCTTCCAAACTTTTGGCCTGTAGTGTATATCAGTCAATACTCTCGAGGTACTTTAAGTAAGCTAGATTCTCTTCTTGATCTCGGATCCCCACTTGCCAGCAACTGGATTATCTCACTTAAAAACAGTCTCAGACTCAGAAGAAAACCTCTGCACATTGCAGGAGGAATATCTCCTGTAACTTACTGTACAATAATACAAAATCACTTTTCTCTATCTGTATAAAGGAAACTTGATTTAATTCAGCTTTTAAAATGAATTACAGTGCTTTAACATGTACAATTTACCATTACACGTTTTTAGACAACTTCACATGAGTTTCAAACTTTCAAATTGTATATTCCAAAGGTTTGCACTCTGTAAATGATATTAGAATTACAAAGATATTGAATTTCCCTTTGGGGATAAAATAAATAAATATTCTTACTAGCCATAGTAAAACCAGTTTTCTCTGTCAATAGTGTAAAACTCTACCTCTTAATTACTAAAGGGAGAACAAAATGGAGATATCAGTATCAACTTTGCAATGGTCTATATTTGTGGACTATGCACTTTCTCTGGTCTTCTGACCACTCAAAGCACTCTACATCAGATGCCACATTCATCCATTCACAGCACATTCACACACTGCTGGAAGAGGCTGATATAAAGGTATGGTTCATCTGTTTTTTTGACTAATTGTTTTCACACAACACTGGGCACAGCCAGTGGGTATGTGGACAGCTCTGGGATTGGCTCCCTAACCTTAGGATTGGGAGATGACCTACTACCAACTAAGCAACAGCTGCCTGAAGCCACCCATTAGCTGGACCACAAAGTGGAAAAGGTAATGACATATGAAAATTAGCTCAAGATCCTGAGAAAACTACTGAATAGAACTCATTGTCTCAATGAGATTTAAAATAAAAAATCATTTAATCATGTCCTTTTAGAGCTTTCATACTTATATGAATGTTTGTCAAAAAGATTCACAAACTCCTTTGTGTACTTTCATGGACTCTATTTTTGTGCCTGCCGGTGGCATGGCGGACGAGGCACACCCCACGCAGTGGTATTTTTGTCTGGCGGAGCCCGGCGCACAGCCAGTTTGGTATTTTTGTAGACTGAGGTGCACTGAGTGCACTAAGCTGGGCGTGGTGGAGCGGTAGGGGGAGGTGTCAACAGAATCAGCTAGCGCAGTGACATTTTTGTGCTTGCTGGCAGCGTGGAAATTGTGCTGACAGCTCGCCGATTCAAACCTGGTCAGCTTTCAGAACAGGCGGAGCGCAGGCTGAGCGCAGGCTGAGCGCAGCTGGCGGCGTAATGTGCATACTTCACCGATGCCTCAATGGCAGGTTTCCACAGTGTCAGCCACATTTCAGTGCAATAAATAATAAACAGCAGCCAATATTCAGTACAACTATCTGAGTCAGCACATACATTTAGATCTATATCGATATATTCTGATCTATATCCTGTCTGATGAGCGCGTTTGGCATGCATTTGGACACTCAAGCTGACCGAATCAACACAGCTGAAACTGCATTAAATTTAATAGCCAGTAAACAGTCGCACATGATGGAGTTAACAAGATATTTCATTCATCTCCCCTCTATTTCTGTCTTCCTCTTCCTCTTATTTCTCACTCAGCCCGACATGGACATGTCTCCGTGTCCTATTATTATATTAAATATTCTGTTGCCTGAGCCAACTTTATTTTATATGCCAACATCAATGAAAGAAAGAGCCAGGCCACAGAGCTCGATGCGTCATTTACGCACAGATGGCTCCGATTTTAATGCCATTATTGGAATTTATGTTGTGATTTGTGCACACAACCCACCTCTGTTGCATGAGGTTTAAATATATGCAACTTGATGTGATTGTCTTTATTTGTGGAAAAGGGTGTTTGTCTTACCAGTGGGTCCAACCTTACACACACTAAATCCCTCTGTGCTTATTTGAGTGTACAGGATGCATTGTTGCAGCGCTTACAGTGACACTTGTAGTGGGGCGGATAATAGCATATTACAGGAGAATTGTTCACTTGCGGATAAAAGCACCAAAATTGGCACACATACTCCATAGGAGTTGCTCTTTTGATATTTCCGTCTGGCCAAATGAAAATTCAAGATGGCGGCCATTTTTCAAGATGGCCACCATTGAAAATACAGTAATATTGCATTTTGCAATAAAATCCCATAGACTTGTCCTATTTGGATGATCTTGGTGTCAAATCAAACATTTTCCACTATGCAGAATCCAAATTTGGACCCATGGACTTACTAACTGGCTTCCTTGTACCATATTTCAGTCCCAGAATCCTAATGTTCTGGTATTTATGAGGTTTACATTATGTCCGACTTGGGTAAAATGGTTGGTAACATATCAATGTTGTTAGAGGTTTAGTGTGTGTGTGTGTGTGTGTGTGTGTGTGTGTGTGTGCGTGTGTGTGTGTATGCATGTGTGTGTGTGTGTGTGTGTGTGTGAGAGAGAGAGAGAGAGAGAGAGACTGAAAAAAATGTGTCTGAGTGTAAAAAAAATCCAAAAAAGAAAAATGCTTGACCTGCCTGCATTACATCTCACTTAAATATTAGGCAACACTTCTCACTCGCACATACACTTTATTACAACATTACTATTAATCTGGCTGGGGTGGCACCATGCAGTCATGAAGAAGCTGACACCCAGATCTTTGTGCATGCCAGGCATGCCACAGAAGCAGGCAGCAAGGTCATCATGGTCAAAGCCAACGACACAGATGTTGTTGTCATCGCAGTGAGTGTTCTGCAGGCACTTCAGAACCTCGGTCTGCAGCAGTTGTGGGTTGCCTTTGGCCAAAGACAGAACCTAAAGTGGATTCCTGTTCATGACCTGTGTGGCACTCTTGCAGAAAAGAGCAAAGGGATGCTCTTCTTCCATGCATTCACTGGTTGCGATGTTGTTTCAGCATTCCATGGCAAAGGGAATGTTTGTGATGAGGCTTCCAGTGTCTTCAGCAAACTCAGCCATTACCCACCTGTATTGGATGATGAAGACCTGAAAACCCCAGAGAAGTTTGTGGTCATGTTGTACGACAGATCCAGCACAGCTGAAGGTGTCGACGATGCAAGGTTGGACATGTTTGCTCGGAAGCAGAGGCCGTACTAAGCCACTCCTCCGACTCGATCAGCACTTAAGCAATATGTCATGCCTGCATCCTACCAAGCGGGCTGCATCTGGAGTCAGTCAATAGTATGTCAACCAGAAACACATAGTCCTGCCAACTGGGGCTGGTCCAAGAAAGAAGATCTGTGGCAGATTGTTTGGACAGAGCTCCCACCCATTGCAGAGAGTTGCCAGCAGCTGGCCAAGTGTGGATGCAAGTTGGAATGCTGCGGTCGATGCAAATGCTACTGCTTTGGTCTGACCTGCACAGCATTGTGCAGCTGCAGGTGTGAGGTTTAGAAACGCTGTAGTAAAAGCCTACTCATCCAAAAAGCCTACATGTAAAAAAAAAAAAAACAAACAAAAAAAACCCTGCCTCGGTAGGATCACCACCTTATCGTGGTGGGGCACTTTGTGTGTCTCCATGACCCCTAGAGCTATGCCAGCTGGAGTATTGTACTCCTGGCAGGGTCACCCACGCCAAACAGCTCGAAGGATAGAGACCAGACAAAGAGTGAGCCCATGGTGCTACCATGCATTTTAGGTGAAATTCTAAATTATCAGAATATTAGGATTCTGGGACTGATATGTGCAGTGAGGACACACCCTTGCCCACGCCCTTGCCCTCCTTGCACCCCCCCCCCCCCCCCATACACACACACACACACACACACACACGAACTAGACCTCTAACCACACTAAGATATAAGCTACCAACCATTTTACTCGAGTCTCACATGATGTAGACCTAATTAGGATCAGAATATTAGGATTCCAGGACTGAAATATGGTACAAGGAAGCCAGTAAGTAAGTCCATGGGTCCAAATTTGGATTCTGCATAGTGGAAAATGTATGATTTGACACCAAGTTCATCCAAATAGGACAAGTCTTTGGGATTTTATTGCAAAATGCAATATTACTGTATTTTCAATGGTAGCCATCTTGAAAAATGGCCGCCATCTTGAATTTTCATTTGGCCAGACGGAAATATCAAAAGAGCAACTTCTAAGGAGTATGTGTGCCAATTATGGTGCTTTTATCCGCAAGTGAACGATTATTACAGTTATCTGCCCAGCTATTGCTGAGGGGCTGCTTTCTGTCACCATCGTGTGGCATAGCGGTCTTCAGCCATCTCTTGATCTCTTCGACTACTACACGAAAATTGCAATACGCCTCACCGGCGGCGGATTTAAAGGTGAGGAGAGACGCTGATGTGATTGGCGAAAACAGGTCTCAGCTGTGCTAAAACCACTCCACGCCTTCTCTACAACTTACGCCGCTAGGAGGAGCTGAGGCAGGGGGGATACTTACGTCGGGGTGCGCCGCTCACCAAAATACCAAAGTGTGGTTGGGAACAACTTGTTGGTGCGGCGGCCCTGACTTATGCAGCGCCTGCGCCACGCCGCCACCGAGGCACGAAAACAGAGCCCTATATCTCCTCCCTTAAAAATCATTGGCACTAACTACACAGTGTTAATGTGCCATCTAGTGTCCATTTTTGGGATTGTCACATTAAATTCAAGGTCATCTTAATGTGGTTACATAAATCAACACTACATCTGAAAAAATGTTTTTTTTTTAATAGCCAGATTGTATTAATGCTCTCGGAACTTAATAAGCAATACATTTGCTGGCAATGCATTAAGCTTTGGGTCAGGGCTGCACAACAAGAAATCATAAAAAGCAAGGAAAGATTTCATTCAGCTAGGTCTTTGAAGGTTGCTGGACATCATGATAATCCCAAGTAGCTCTTTGTGACCTGTGGACAAGGAAGGACATTTTCAGAAGCAAAATTTCTTGGACAAAACAATATCTTGTAGTTTAATAAACTAGTTAATAGTAAATAGTTAATTCAGCAGAATTAACTAGGACTATAATTCTTATAACCTACAGCTCTCAAATTTTTGAAAAAGGCCTAAGTGCTGACTGCTTTGTTTTGTCATTTTGTCACTATGTGACAGTCTGTTCACAATTTTTTAGTTTAGTGACCATTTATGTCATTGTGACCATGTGTGTGTGTGTGTGTGTGTGTGTGTGTGTGTGTGTGTGTGTGTGTGTGTGTGTGTGTGTGTGCAGTCAGCTGATCAAAATGTGCTAAATTTGAGAGAGGAAGCCAATTTGGATTGGATATACACTCACCGGCCACTTTATTAGGTACACCATGCTACTAACGGGTTGGACCCCCTTTTGCCTTCAGAACTGCCTCAATTCTTCGTGGCATAGATTCAACAAGGTGCTGGAAGCATTCCTCAGAGAGCTTGGTCCATATTGACATGATGGCATCACACAGTTGCCGCAGATTTGTCGGCTGCACATCCATGATGCGAATCTCCCGTTCCACCACATCCCAAAGATGCTCTATTGGACTGAGATCTGGTGACTGTGGAGGCCATTTGAGTACAGTGAACTCATTGTCATGTTCAAGAAACCAGTCTGAGATGATTCCAGCTTTATGACATGGCGCATTATCCTGCTGAAAGTAGCCATCAGAAGTTGGGTACATTGTGGTCATAAAGGGATGGACATGGTCAGCAACAATACTCAGGTAGGCTGTGGCGTTGCAACGATGTTTAATTGGTACCAAGGGGCCCAAAGAGTGCCAAGAAAATATTCCCCACACCATGACACCACCACCACCAGCCTGAACCGTTGATACAAGGCAGGATGGATCCATGCTTTCATGATGTTGACGCCAAATTCTGACCCTACCATCCGAATGTCGCAGCAGAAATCGAGACTCATCAGACCAGGCAACGTTTTTCCAATCTTCTATTGTCCAATTTCGATGAGCTTGTGCAAATTGTAGCCTCAGTTTCCTGTTCTTAGCTGAAAGGAGTGGCACTCGGCGTGGTCCTCTGCTGCTGTAGCCCATCTGCCTCAAAGTTCGACGTACTGTGCGTTCAGAGATGCTCTTCTGCCTACCTTGGTTGTAACGGGTGGTTATTTGAGTCACTGTTGCCTTTCTATCAGCTCGAACCAGTCTGGCCATTCTCCTCTGACCTCTGGCATCAACAAGGCATTTCCGCCCACGGAACTGCCGCTCACTGGATATTTTTTCTTTTTCGGACCATTCTCTGTAAACCCTAGAGATGGTTGTGCGTGAAAATCCCAGTAGATCAGCAGTTTCTGAAATACTCAGACCAGCCCTTCTGGCACCAACAACCATGCCACGTTCAAAGTCACTCAAATCACCTTTCTTCCCCATACTGATGCTCGGTTTGAACTGCAGGAGATTGTCTTGACCATGTCTACATGCCTAAATGCACTAAGTTGCCGCCATGTGATTGGCTGATTAGAAATTAAGTGTTAACGAGCAGTTGGACAGGTGTACCTAATAAAGTGGCCGGTGAGTGTATATCAGCTGAATATAGGGGAAACTGCAGTGGGTTGTGTAAGTCTGATGTATTTTTATTTGACTGAATGCAAAGAAGGCCAGTTGTTTGTTTAATGCCTTCATTTTTATTTATTTTGTTTATTTAGTTTATGTAGAGACCGGTGTATTTGAAGCTAGCTGGACTAGGTGCAAAGTAGCATTGGCCTGTAGTTTGTGTGGAGACCAGTGTTTTTGAAGTCTGCAGAGAGCCTGGCCCGGGCTGTGATGTGTTTACTGTTTTGTTTTTTTACGCTGAATGCCTGATAAGGAGGAGGTCTGGATAATTGTTAGACATTGTTGAACTGTTAGTTTTAAGTCATTCTTTTATGAACTCTGAAAGGTGGTAGCCGACGGACAAGTGTCGTAGAATCTCTTCATACATTTAGGTTAAGAAATATAGTGGGGTTCCGTGTATATGTAATTTTTTGTTTTCATTTCAAATTCGTGTAAGTCTATTTTTCACTTTTTCACTTGTGAACACCTTCACATATTCACACTACTGCATGGCATGAAGAAAGTAGGTAATTATAATGAAAACACCATGTGCTCCTCAGCATAATTGCTATACTGTAGACTAGCTAGTTTAGAAGATGACCTCGGTGCAAAAATGCAGGAATGAACTACACGAAGACAGAACCAAGCTGGCAGCCTCTCGCAGGATTTTATTCTGGTCACAGCATCAAACACAGCTCATGAACAATCGAACAGACAGACCCCCGAACAGAAAAACCACAGATCTCTTATAGTAATCCAATGACGTCACTGATCTCAACTTTTGCCAAATGTGTGTGCGAGGTCACTGTATGAAGGTCACTTTCCCTGCCAATATCTCTGACGCACATCCGTATCCATCTTCTTCTGCCAAATTTCCTTTTATTGTAATGCAGTTCACCATGACCTGATGAAGTTTATCCCAATCTGACCTCTCCAACCATATCCTGCTTTCTTGCCTCATAGTAACCTCCAAAACATCCAAACATATCTGTTATTTTCCCCCACATATCCCCCCTTTGAATCTTTTCAAGATTAAACCAGTTCAATGACGCCGTTGGAGATTCACACTTATCTTGTCTTAGCCTTAGTTACGTTACATGAATGAGTTATGACAACGTTATGTGATATGATACTACTAGATTGATTACAGATGCATATGTATGTTTTCAAACCAATCCAACTCATGCTTGTGATCACGAATGTTACATTTTCATAAACACAACACTTAAATCACTTGTGACTTGTTTCACATCTGGCAGGGGCGAAAACCTGCTGGCTGCTTTGAGCAGGAAATTCCCCTGCGGCCCCTCCCGCTGGCGACCTTCACCGTGAACCTTCTAAATCTAACAGCTTTTCACTGACCCACTCTACATGACAATCAACCACATGTTTTATTTTGCTCAAAAAATGATTAACCATTTCCTTTACCTGTTTCCATATACCTGGAATGAGTATGTGTAAATGATGTGAGTATGCAGAATACACATGGATAACAACAGAATATGTGTGTATTGATATGATAGTCCATTTGCTCCGCCGTCCCATTTGCTTTTCCTTTTGCTTGCTTGCTGCTGCTGCACCTCTGCTTCTTGTTTACCTTACACTTGACTCTGTTCGTCCTCATCAGAGTCACCCACACAGGCAGGGTTTGGGTATAAGTCCGGATAGTCCCCGTTTCCTGCCCTGCTGTCGTCCAAGCAGAGTTGTGCCATTTGGGACGGCGTCAGCAAGTTCAACATTTGAGCTCTTTGGAGACCAGCCACCACAGTCATCTGTCTTTCCTGAGCCCGCAGACACTGCCTCCTCAGGATGGGGATGATGCAACATGTCAAAAAGGAAATTAAAATTAGGACTGCTAGTGCACTGAGTCCTATCTTAGCCCAAACGGCTCCCCATTTTCCTAAAATTTGGTCAAACCAATCCCATGACAGTCCCCCCTTGCCCGCACTCTCCCTGAGCTCAACTCTGAGTTCTGTAAGCTTCCCCATTGCCACAGAAAATATACCATCAGGGGCTGTGTTATTTGGAATAAAGGTACAACAATGTTTCCCGAACATGTGACACACTCCTCCCCTATCCGCCGTCAGCCAATTCAAAGCCTGTCTATTTTGTTGGGCCATTATACTTGCTGCGTGTAATTGAATACCGAGAGCGCTCAGGATTTCAGATGTCGCATTAACAAACCTCTGTTGGTTGTAATAAATGTAATTTATCCATTGGACATTTTTATTAGTGGTGATCCAGGGGAGAATCGACTCTAGACCTGCTCTGATCTCATCCTGAGCTTTAAACTCCTCTGGAATTCCTATTGGCACTCCTATACTATTGATGTACACCTGTTCGTCAATCTGCCTTTTGTGGCGGTTTAATTTGGCTGTTTCTCCCTGGATTTTAAGGATCTCCTCGACGCCGTCATACAACACGACAACTGACACTTTCATTCGCACTAATGTACAGAGTCCGATCCATTTTAGTGGAAGTGTGTTTCGCACAATGTTGTCTCCACACATCCAGTAACTGTCAGCTACTGCAACAGTTTGACTTGCGAAAAAATGCATACTCGGTCTGGTCATAGTTATGTTTTCACATGTTTGATCTAACGTTTGCTCTGGATTTTCAAACCAAACAGGTCTAGTTATAAACGGTTCGCTCATCTTAGCTTCAGGAAACCATGACAATACCTACGTAATTTTACAATTAACAGTTGTGTTTCCCACCTGGACTCCTCCCCCTGGTTTATTCATAAACCCTCCACTGGCGAAACACTCGTAATTATCCTTTTGGCTACTTTGTAGTTTGTAGGGGGCTCATCTTGTGACGTTGTGGTGGCGAATTCTTCACATGTCTGGCGAAATTTACAGTCTACGCACGTTTCTAAATACCCATGATGAGATCCCGACCCATACAGAAGCCTACACCGAACACCACACATTGGAAGCCCGTAGAGTGATGGCAACTGCGGCTTGGGAGTGAACTCACCGCTTCTACACTTTTGCTGTTGAACTTTAGCGCATTCTTCGTGCGTATATTTCTCTGGTACTACTGTGGGAAGTGCCGTTGGGGCTTCAGCACACATGATGCACTCACTAGGGGTCATCTGTTTTACGGTATACATAGCCCATTGGTACCACCCATTCACACTGGCCTCTTCCCAAAGTTTATCTGAGTACGATCTTACACATCTCTGCATGGGCCTGTCAAAACTTACCACTTCACCTGGACTATCATCGCTAATTAATGGCGCTTCTGCACTGCCGTAATCATCGTACTCGTCGTACAGTGTATCTGGGGTCGTTTCACTTGGTGTTGTCGGTGTGCTTGGCATGTTTGCTAATGTGCTTGGCATGTTTGCTAATGTGAACACCTCACTCAATTTAGCCTCTGTTGTAGTTACTATGACTGGGTTGTGATTTCCTACCGGAGTTGGTGCGACTGAATTTACAGTTCTCGGATTTTCGCGCGGCCGAGCGGCGAACTTCTGTTGGAATTACTGTATTTGAATGGCGATTCTCTACCGGAGCCGGAGTCGTTGAATGGGAACCTTCGGTCAGTGTTGGTGTAGTCGAATGGGGAACTTTTGTCGGTTCTAGGGTGGTAGACACTTCCTGACCTGCCGTTGTGGTGGTCGGCTCAACCCTTTCTACCTGCCCCCTGATAGGAACTCGCCACGGATGTGCACGTTTTGCTGCTCTTCCCCCACTAGCTGTACTCGTAAGTTCGAGGATGTAGGTTTCGTTTGGATTAAACTTGTTTTCATCGAGCTCAGCTAACCATTGGCCTGCCTCTTCGAATACTGTTAACCCACACTCAGCTCCACCCCACACCGTCACATTGTCACTATACTGATGGGTCCAACCGCAAAGTACATTTGTTGTCATTTCGGTCTCAACTTCCTCAACTTCCAGCACCCGCACATCTCGCCTATATAGACTGTTTGATACTGTCTGTGGCGGAATGTGTAGTCTTATTTTCCCATTAATCATTTCGCTTTTAAGTGGTGCTGCATGTAAAACTCCTGGATCGGGTGTTTCCTCTCTGTCTAGTGTCAGTGATGCTTGGACCTCTTTGCTCTCACCATTCCCACGCAGGCGCACGACAGCATAATAAGTCTTACCTGGACTGAAATGAGTTGCTAACCTGACGATAATCTCAAGTTTCCCTTTCACCTTCAGAGTGATTTGACAGGCGTCCTGCCCCCATGCTTGTTCCTCACTGCCTTTCCTCACTCCACACAATTGGGTTCGCACATACTCTCGTGACACGACCATTACCCCGTATGTTTTGCTTCTGTTTTGCATGCTATCGGGTATGTCCATGCTAGCACGCCACCGCCACATTTTGTGTATAGCTCTTTTACCCCGTGTTCGTCCATACACCACTTGGTACGGAATGTTTATGTGTTTGAGCTCAGCTGAGAGTGCTGGCTCAGAGTTTAGCACGTCATGGATTGGTGTCTGTGTGGTTGCATCATACTCATCTGATTCAGATGCTCTGTCTCCTCTGTCGTGCGGGTTGGTCTCTGGCGTGGCTCTGGTCCCCGGGGTGCTCTGTGTTCCCCTTTGAGTCTCTAGCTCCACTGCTTCTACAGGCATCCATAGAAGAGAGTTCATTACCACCAGCACACACCACAATGTCATGTTTTTCGTCTTTGTTTTTCAACTCAATACCGCCCTTGGTTTTGCCTGGAACCTTCGTGCAGTGTGACAGGTGATACCACGTCCCGCTCCCTTCGACCTGGACTGCTGTGGGAGTAGCTCGCACCACCGTGTACGGTCCTTCCCGTCGTGGTTCGTGCCACTTCCTGCGGAAGACCTTGACCTACACTTGGTCACCTGGCACCACTGGTTTCGCAACCAGCTCGTCTTTAACTGGCTCTCTCCTTTTTTTCCGCGATAACAATGTCTCCCACTTCTTCTTCTCACAGCTGTACTGGCACCAGTTTGACCTTCACCCTCATTGTTGTCATCAGTCTCTCTCTCAGTCTCTCTCCACACATTGACCCTTGTTTTTTCCTGGGCAGTCAGCGGTAGATGACGCCCTCTTCTTGCACTGAAGTAGAGTTCACCAGGACCAAAGTGTTCAGGTCTTCTCCTCGTTCTTTTTGCCACCCTCCTCAAAGGACGGTGATGTACACCTGGTGCTCTGGCTCGACTGGCCTCCACCTCTTGACTGGGATCAGATTTTGGCACTCCTCCTGCTAATCGATAGCTCTTTGCATCGTAGTTAGCTGCCTCATATATTTAATTCACTAATATTCAGCTGCTCAAGCGAAAAAATTAATTATTTAGCCGCAGTACAGCATAGCTTTGTAAGTTAGCAATTCATGCAGTGAAAGATTTATCCCAGTGCTTTTGATTGTGAAAGCTCATAAGCGCAAGTAGCAAAGCATCTTCCTATAAGTTAGTGTTAGTGCAAATTCTCTGATCTGATATTTACTTGAGAGATTAACTTTCTTCCCCAAAATGATGTACCAAATCATGCAGTGACAGATTTATTTTGACTCCAAGATCTTTTGATGGTGTTGCTTCTATCCATCGACTGAACCCGTCATCATTACAAACATGTAACATATCCCTTGGCAGTTTTAATCATGTCCACATTGTCTATGAATAGATTTCTAAAAGCGTCTCTCTGGAACTGGAAAAGTGTCCCGCTACTGTTTTATTGTTCTCTTCAATTCATCTAAAAAAAACACATATCACAATGACCCAAAAGTTTATCAACTATTGTCAGCATATTCTAAAAATGTCGTTTTAATTGTCTCATCATCTCCCCCCTTGCACAGTGTGAATCACTGTGAAAGTCAGATCCTAAGTTCGTTTGTTAATACTACTGGTACAAAAACTAGTTATTTGACTCTAAACCATTTTCTGTGGCCTTATTGACCTTTGATAGCTTCTTATTACTTTTACATTAGGTGGCACATCTGTGAGGAGTGTATGCGGATTCAGCACAGCTGCATTTAGATTTATCAGTATTAAACTAACAGAACAGGGATGTTACAATGTTAATGTCACGATATTTACTTTAAAACTATAAACCATAACTGTCTACTTACACACCTCGCGGTGAGCACCAAATTTGAATGTTACTTCTACATAGGGCTCTTTGGTCTATAAGGTCAACAGAGTTAAAATTAAAACTAACAATTAACTTTTTCCATCATCCACAAAAATCACACTGTAGTAAGCCACCACTTTCACATTGTCTGGGCTGGGGCCCCCCACCACAGATCCAGCCAGAATTCCACTCTCTCCCCCTGCCGGGATATATCATCTCTATGGAGCAGGGTTCTGTCTGAGGATAAACATTCACAACAGGTGATTAAACAGGTTACTGTCACAGGTTTTACCGCAGTTAGCGTCTGCATGGTCTGCATCACTGGGTCTCTTTTGCAGTGTCCCCCTTAGAGGTGGCTGTTTCAACTTCCGCTGAATGTTCTTTTCCTGTTCTTTCGGTCTCCGCTCTTCATCTGGCTGCACCCTCCACATCACATCACAATATGCATTGAACTCACTCCCATCAGTCATGGGATTCGTCATCCAACCTTTTTTTCCTTGTGCAGAAACTCCTCCATCGTCTTAGTTCCCAGCAGCTTAGCCAAGAGTGATTTCATGTCTGGTGTAGTCAACATTTTCCTACATTTCATCCTCACAAACTCGTATCCATCTCCCTGCCCCCTGTTCAGTTTGTGGTAGTCTGGCAATCAGCCCAACAAGGTGTGTGGTTTTCCACGGCACATAGCTAGCCTGTGTGCCATTTATTAAGATTGAAAACATACTATCAGTGCATTTCCAAGCGAACATAATCTAGGCCAGGGGTGTCAAACTCAACCACAGCAAGGGCCATAATCTGGATTTAGGTCTAACCTCAGGGTCAAACAGGATCAAAATTTCACTAAAACTGTCAATTTCCTTTTCAAAACATATGGGAAAAAACAGCAATGATTTTAAATCATTTGGAAATTCAAAAGAGATAAAATAATAATAATAATAAATAAATAATAAGTTTAAAGGCAACCTAAGATAGAAAAATTTTAGTTTTTATTCTATTCTTATTTATTAGTTCAAAAGATCAGAGCATGATTTAAAAAGAGAAAAGTAATGCATTTAAAGAGCAAATACACAAGAAGAACGTTGAAATCAGGTTCAAAAAGGTCCCAGTATGACTTAAAATCTAAAATTGGACTCTAAAGTATAAAAATGACAAAAATCTAAGTGCTGAGTTGAACATGTCTGGTACTTTTAGTTCCATATCTCTTGTTTTTGCGTGTTTTACTTTTATCTTTGTGTTTATGGTCTTAGATTCGCTGCTCCAAATCCTCACACACAGCCACATCAGATGTGCCTCCCCTAGGTCATAAAAATTCAAACCCCTTGACTCAATGTCCCCATTTCTTTGTAAGTTTTTGGATATCATTTAAGTGTTCAGTATATTTACACCCTACCAATGCAATTGGAGTTAAACTAATCTTCCCTTTCTGGTCATGGTTTTTGTAAAATTTATTATTCAAATGAGCACACACATTAAAACTTGATCCCCAGCAGTTTTGTAAAATTCCCAAAAAATACACAGTATAAAACTTTTGCCTTAACTGCAGTTCTATAGCAATAGTCAGTATTGATATTAACAGCTTCAATAATATTTAAAAAACACAGTATTTTGGCAAAAACAGCAGATGTATAGAAGCAATTCTTAGATTTGAAGTTTTAGAAGTTTTGCACTTGTGGTACCTCATTTCTTTTTCCCCTTTTTGTATCTTTTATACTTTTACAAACATTATTTCAGCAACTTTAACACAGAAAATTTGTTAAGGAGCATAAGACGTGTTCACAACAAAAAACCATCATAATATCTAAGCATAAGCTAAAACCTTCATATCAGGAGTGTTCATCATGGTACTGGGAACAGAAACTCTTTCCCAGGAGTATTTAACCTTCTATGTCTCAACTGATAACATGACCGCAATGAGCACAGTATTCACATAAACAACTATGAAATAAACACAAGTGAGGAAAACACAGCAATCTTTGACTAACATAACACACACACAGATGCAGAGTCTGGCTGTGAACACTGCCAGAGAACTTAGTTGACACAGAACAAAACAGACACACACAAACATCCAATCAACCCACACACTTCACTTTTTCATCACACAATGGTATACCCTTTCACACGTGTTTGAAGTCAAAGTCAGTCACTGGAGTCAGTCAGCAGTCTTCTATTTTAATATGCCACTTTCGTTCTCCTTTTGGCTTTTTCTTAAGCCTCAGCGGAACTCTGCATGACAAATCCTCCTTTCTAGCGGAGTTTTCCAGAAAGAAAATCCACGTATGTATTACGAGATGAATCTGCTCGTCCATCGGCTGCCACCTTTCAGAGCTCATGAAAGATGGTCTTAAACTCACAGTTCAACAATGGACAGACACACTCGTGTCTGCCGCTCCCCTTGTTATCCCAAAAATTACCCAGGACCTTTTTATCTCCAGGCATTCAGCCTAAAAAAAAACACATCACAACCCGGGCCCGGCTGTCTCCCCAAGCTACTGGCCAGTGCTTTTCTGCACCCAGCCTATAGCTTCACATATGACAATCTCACACTTATAGCAGCGTGAGGCGGTCTCACACTTTGAAGGAGACGAAGTGCTCTTCACCCAGTCTACTATCTTCACATAGTCTCACGTATGTAGCAGCGTGAGGCGGTCTGACACAACCAACTGCAGTTTCTCTTAATTCAGCTGATATATATCCAATTTAAGTTGGCTTCCTCTCCCAAATTTAGCACACTTTGATCAGCTGACTGCATGCATGCAGTTTTCTCAGACTGTCTTCATTCCCACTGTCTCCTCTTATTTCTATTCTAGGTTCTTTGATTCGAAGAGGACAGAGAGCAGTAGTCCGCACCACCTCACAGGGAAAAGAACTCTCAACCAAATTTTAGGAAATCTCCTACCTTTTTCTTTTTGTGGCCACAGAGTGTCCTTATCCCATGTGAAGTTCGCAGAACCATGGTCCCTTGTCCCCCGAAACGAATTCTGTCACAGGTTTACCCAATGTTTATATATTTGTAAAATAATGCTATGAGTGTTTTAAAATGCACAAAATGTTTATATATTTGTACTGCAGGTACGATAGCTTTAATATTCAGCTTGCCGAGGGAAAGGAAGAAAAAAAAAACAAAAGTGGCTTGCCAGGTCTCAGAACTTTTAGAGGAGAGAAGGGCGGGGGAGCTCTCACGAAGGTGGGGGCTCCTCACCGAGTGAGGGCTGTATGTTTTGTATCCCAAAAAATGTGGGGGGGCTCCTCACTGAATGAGAGTAGTAGTGGGGGAGAGAGAGAGCTTTGTTTTTGGCTCACGCAAAGGTGGGGGCTCGTTCGGGGCTGAGTGAGAGCGGAATTGACCTCACTTCCCCTTTTACTTCCTACTTCTCTCAGTCTCAGTCTGACTCTCGGACTGTCAACTTCTCCTGCTCTCTGTCTGTGCCACACCCTACCACACAACTTTTACCCCTGCCTCAGCTTACACACTCTAACTGCGTCTTTGCTCAACCTTTCTCAGACTACTGTACCAACACCAAATTCTGCTTCACCAACAACCTTACGCACACAATCCAAAAAGTCCAACCCCACCAACAGTCTGTTTTGTGTCACAATTCTCCCAACTTTAGGCACCATATACAGAGCCGTGACAACGCAGTTAATCTTAGCTTGCTTATAGGATTCCTGCAACCACCTTGTTAAACATTTTCCATTATTTACATATTAGTTTGCAGCCGATTATGTTCAGCTTGTGCAATGCAGGATATATGCATGTCAATGTATTTGCAATCAAACATATATCTCAATGTGTTATGGGCTTTCTCCACCATGCACACACACAACACACACACACCCTCAGCCACACACTTAACAGTGGAGTGCGAGGAGAGGGAGAGAAAGGAAAAGAGTGATCACGCTCACACGGACCGGTCCTCACACACACACTTTTTGGGTGTTTCTATTTTATTCGTCAAATATACTTTTGTTTAGTCTTTTTGGTGATTTTTTGAAGGTATTCTATTTAGTTGGCTGACTCATAAAGATAACACGTTGACCATCCGTGCTTTTCGTGGTGTCAATTTGGAAGGAAATTGTGGATCAAACAACTCCTACCTTATAAATTTTCAATACCTCCAATGTCCAATGTTCCGTATGATTAACCTCTGTCCTCAGATTGCAGTTTTTTGTTTGTTTTTCTTTATTTCCCGTTACTTATTATGAGAAATGCGTTCGTTTCATCTATAAGTTTTTTGTGGATATACGTTAAAATGTGCCCATAATTAGCGACAGACCTGATTTTTAGAGGGATTTCCCAGCAAGTGTGATTGAACTTTCGTGTACAGTCCAGTCAACCACATCTAAATCTGTTCCATAATTCCTAGTGGATTTCTCCACGTTATTTATATTAGATAAGTCTGCAACCTGCAGGGTTTCTGCCTTTCGAGCTCAGTAAAAGGTCAGCCCCAGATTACAGAACTTAACATGGGGTGGTCTGTCCAGGTTCCTCGCCTTTTCAGACCTCCCCGGGCTCCGCAGAGCAGTATCTCTGAGGTCTGTCCAACCTCATCAGGTTAATCTTTTTTACACATCTGCCAGGGCTTGGCTGCCGGCTTCTCAACTCGCGCGCCCGTGAACTCTATACCCCTAGAACTGAAAGTCCTGGCATCTTGTTCACCCACAACAACAGATCTGCTCTGCTGATCACTGTTCTCGGGATCTGTTAGCGATACTCCTCAGCCCCCCTAAGCATTAAGCTCGAGACCTTTTCGCATTTACGCCTTAACTACCCCCATAAGACTCTATCTTGTTGCTCGGGGTCTGGAGCGAATCCACTCTGCCTCCCTAAGCCTTAATCTCGGGGCCTGTTCGCTTTACTCCTACTATCCCCATAAGACACAGTCAACAGACACTTGGCCAAGATTCCCAGCTGCTTTGACGCCAATAGTTAATTTGTCTGTCTCACAATTTTCCACATACTTTGGAGCAGCCTTCATGTATACATGAATAACACGTGAGAGACTCCGCCTGACTCTGCTTCCTTTGATTCTAGGCTCTTTCTTTTGCGAGGGCCCAAACACACGATGGCCTCACCACACAGTGAAATCACACATCTAATAGAGAAATAAACTTCTCCTACCTTTTGTGTGCCGGCACGTGGATTTCACTCGCGCGGGGAGGCCACCGCCCCAGGCCTCGGCAAAATCTTGGCTGTGGCTCGCCAATATTTAGAAGATGACCTCGGTGCAAAAATGCAGGAATGAACTACATGAAGACAGAATCAAGCTGGCAGCCTCTCGCGGGATTTTATTCTGGTCACAACATCAAACACAGCTCATGAATAATCGAACAGACAGACCCCCGAACAGAAAAACCACAGATCTCTTATAGTAATCCAATGACGTCACTGATCTCAACTTTTGCCAAATGTGTGTGCGAGGTCACTGTATGAAGGTCACGTTCCCGTGGGAAAGTCCCCTACGTGACTTTCCCTGCCAATATCTCTGACGCACATCCGTATCCATCTTCCTCTGCCAAATTTCCTTTTATTGTAATACAGTTCACCATGACCTGATGAAGTTTATCCCAATCTGACCTCTCCAACCATATCCTGCTTTCTTGCCTCATAGTAACCTCCAAAACATCCAAACATATCTGTTATTTTCCCCCACACTAGTGCTAGCATACACTGGCATACACAATGCTAGTTCATACTAATGGGATGTATTACTTAGGCCACTTATCCCATATGACTGTCCATATTCATAAAACACTTTAGGACCCTTCTTGACATTTTTTTCTTTGTTTGCTTACCTTCAGAATATCAGTATCACAAGTGAGAAATCAATGTAGCCCATGCACATGGACAACTGTATGACAATGAACTAGCAAGCTACCAAGTATAAACAATTAAGACACACCTGCTAGCCTTCCCTCTAAAAAAAAAAACAGGAGTGGAGTTTTTACTCTCATATATGTCTGTAGTTCCCCACATATTTCCTGTCTTTTCTCATTTGAGTGAAAAATATAATACCAAAAATATTTAAAACATAAATATTTGAATTCCAATTGATTCCTCACACAGTATTGACATAATCTAGCACAAAAACAAAAATTACAGAGCAATTGTGGGAAAACCAAGACATTATTCAAAAAACATAATTCCGATTTTGGCCATTTTGGAAATGGGCAAAAAATATATTTTTCTTCAATCTGGTTTCTTGACACTCGAACCAAAATGGTTCTATAGACCATAATCTACAAATTGGAAGTGAAAAATAAACTTTTACACAAATTTGAAATGACTGAGTGTCCAGGCACCCCACTAATATAGAGTAATTATCTTTTAGTAAGGAGCTACAAATAATCTAGGTTGGCCTGCTCATGCAGCCTCATGACCCTGAGGTTGTAAGCAAGGCTGTCTTGCAGGAGCCAAAACTATTTGTCTAGTCTAAACAAAGTGTTGAGGGTCCGACATGTCATCATGGGTAGCCTTCCGGAGAATCGATATGACATACCCATGATGAGGGAATACACACACACACACACACACACACACACACACACACACACACACACACACACACACACACCTAACAGTATTAAAGGAGTAGAATAAAAAGCTAAGGAGGCTTGTCATCTGTACTGATTTCTACATCTGTACAATAAAAGGTGCCCAGGCTGTTCTTCAGATCTCGTGTCTCCTGTGCATTGTTTTACTGAGTTTATGCCGGATTTTCCACAACATAATGGCGAGCCTTAGCCAGAATTCATATCGGGGGACAAGGGGCTGTGACTCTGCGAACTTCACATGGGATAAGGACACTCTGTGGCCACTAAAAGAAAAAGGTAGGAGATTTCCTAAAATTTGGTTGAGAGTTCTTTTCCCTGTGAGGTGGTGCAGACTACTGTTCTCTGTCCTCTTCGAATCAAAGAACCTAGAATTGAAATAAGAGGAGACAGTGGAAATGAAGACAGTCTGAGAAAACTGTATGCATGCAGTCAGCTGATCAAAGTGTGCTAAATTTGGGGAAGGAAACCTCCCTAACAAAGGAAGACAATTAAAATTGGATATATATCAGCTGAATATAGGGGAAACTGCAGTTGGTTGTGTGAGACCACCTCACGCTGTTATATGTGTGAGACCGTTATATGTGAAGCTAGTAGAGTGGGTGCAGAGAGGCACAAGGCCAGTAGTTAAGTGGAACTAGCTAGACTGGATGTGGAGCAGCACAAGGCCAGTAGATGTGTGGAACTAGTTAGACTGGGTGCGGAGCAGCACAAGGCCAGTAGTTTGTGGAACTAGGTAGACTGGGTGCGAAGTGGCACAAGGCCAGTAGTTGTGTGGAGCTAGTTAGACTGGGTGCTAGGCGGCACAAGGCCAGTAGTTGTGTGGAACTAGTAGACTGGGTGCTAAGCGGCATTAGGCCAGCAGATGTGTGGAGCTAATAGACTGGGTGCTAAGCGGCATAGGCCAGTAGTTTAGGGAGAGACCGGTGTATTAGAAGTTTTCCAGACTGGGTGCAAAGGAGCATAGGCCAGTAGTTGGGTGGACACCGGTCTGCAGACAGCCTGGTCGGGTTGTGATGTGTTTTTAGGCTGAATGCCTGGTGATAAGAGGATCTGGATAATTGTTGAGATAACAAGGGAAGCGGCAGGCATGAGTGTCTCTGTCCATTGTTAAACAGTGAGTTTTAGGTCATTCTTTTATGAGCTTTGAAAGGTGGTAGCCGACGGTCGAGCAGATTCATCTAGTAATACATCCGTGAATTTTCTATCTGGAAAACTCCACTAGAAAGGAGGATTTGTCATGCAGAGTTCCGCTGAGGCTTAAGAAAAAGCCAAAAGGAGAACGAAAGTGGCATACTTCCTCAGAAATTCTGATCCAGACTCTAGAGGGCCAAATAAGTATAATGAGGGAATAGTACATATTTGAAATGTACATATATATATATCTCTTTTACATATGAAAGACCTCACAAAATCAGTGTTATAATTGGACTTAAATTATAGATGCAGATTGGCTTGAAGAGCAGGAGATAGAAAAAGAGGTCAATAAGGATAGGCTGAAAAGCCTATTCAGGGATCCCAATTGAACAAGCACATCCCATATCTCCTGACCAATTGTAGAAAAATCACACAAATTGGAAAAATCAAAACAAGAATCAGAAATAAAAACTGAGGACTGACCCTCAACACAGGAATTGTAGGAATGTTAAAAAAGTACAAAACACTTAAAATCAATCTAAAGTAAGTAAAGAAGGTGAAGACTGCTGACTGACCCCAGTGACTGACTTTGACTTTAAACACGTGTGAAAGGGTATACCATTGTGTGATGAAAAAGTGAAATGTGTGGGTTGATTGGATGTTTGTGTGTGTCTGCTTTGCTCTGTGTCAACTAAGTTATCTGGTAGTGTTCACAGCCAGACTCTGCATCTCTGTGTGTATTATGTTATTCAAAGACTGCTGTGTTTTCCTCACTTGTGTTTATGTCATAGTTGTTTATGTGAATACTGTGCTCACTGCAGACATGCTATCAGTAGAGACATAGAAGGTTAAATACTCCTGGGAAAGAGGTTCTGTTCCTAGTATCATGATGAACACTCCTGATATGAAGGTTTTAGCTTATGCTTGAATATTATGATGGTTTTTTGTTGTTAACACATGTCTTATGCTCCTTAACAAATTTTCTGTGTTAAAGCTGCTGAAATAATGTTTGTGAAAGTATAAAAGATACAAAAAGGGGAAAAAGAAATGAGGTACCACGAGTGCAAAACTTCTAAAACTTCAAATCTAAGGGTTGCTTCTATACATCTGCTGTTTCTGCCAAAATACTGTTTTTTTTTTTTTAAATATTGTTGAAGCTGTTAATACCAATAATGACTATTGCTGTGAGACTTCAGTTAATGCAAAAGCTTTATACTGTGTATTTTTTGAGAATCTTACAAAACCGCTGGGGATCAAGTTTCAATTAGTGTGTTAATTTGAAGAAGTGTTGAAGTGTTGAATGGTGACGCAAGTTAAGATTGAAGTAGGGTGTGGCAGTGTGCTGTTTGAGTAGTGAATGTGTAAAAGACTGGCAGTGAGAGTATTGTGGCTTTGATTGTGACATAGTTTGAAGTAAGGCAAGGCTGGGAAAAAATGGTGCGACATACAGAGAAAGATCCTAACTCTGTGTCGGGTCTGTTTTATTCTTTTTTCCCTTTTATTTGTGGCAATGGGTGACTATGTGTTCTGGATTAGAGAGGTATGAAAAGGGTAACTGAAAGTTGTTAAAGTTGTGAAAAGGGACTGAGAAGGGTGTGAATATATTAACACGAAATTAAGAATTAAAATCAATAATAATGATAATAATAATTGTTTTCTTTCCAAAAATAAAAACATAGCAAGAAGTAAAACAAATACGTTTACAGGAACACTGCTGATCTAAGTTTTTAGAACAAAGCAAGAACAAAGCTTGATGCCAAGGGCAGGGCCAACATTTATAAGACCCAGGTCAGGAGCATCATGGAGTACTGCTGCCTGGCCTGGATGAACGCCTCTCTGACCACTCTTAGGCAGCTAGACCTCATCCAGAAGAAGGCTCTAAAAATCATGGGGGTGGATGAGGACCTTGCCCTTCAGCAGTACGCCATCAGCAAGCTGGGTCACCGGCGAACAGTTGCAGCAACAACCGTTCTTTATAAAATGCACACCCCCAACTGTCCAGTGGACCTCAAAGCTCTGCTACCCCAAGCCCACACCGTGGGAAGAATCACCCGGAGAGTACTGCCAAGTCACGCCCTGAAAGTCCCCAAGTTAAAAACCAATTGCCTTGACAGGAGCTTTCTCCACTCTGCTATAAAAACTTGGAATAGCCTTCCCCCTGCAGTTGTTGGAGATATTACATCTACTGGTGTTCACGCCTTCAAGAAGAGGCTGAACAAATACCTCCTCAGTATATGACTGTTATCCCCATAGACTGTATATAAGATGGACGCCGTCTGTCTCCTCGCCGGGTGAAGCCACTCTGAGAACAGCACCCCCTAGAGCCTGGCTGCAGTACAAGTCATAAACCCCACTTCTGCCAGCAAAGTGAATGGAGCGGCGGACGGCCTTTAGAAATTAATTACACAGAAAATATACTTTTCTCACCCCCGACTGCGATGTTGACGTAGTTATTATTAGACTGGTTTGTGTTCAGGTCTTTTTTTCTCTCTGCAGCTCCATTTTAAAAAGTTATAAGGAGTTATAAAAACAGGAAATTGCGTCATTCTCTACACTTTGCACTTGCTGCTTGTGCGTCGCTCTTTTTTGTCCATCGTCAAGACCGATCGGGTTTGCCAGCGGAGAAGAGAATTACATTTTTCCATCGTTTTTCTCTTTTATTGCATTGGAAAAACGAGTTGTTCTGCAGTAAACTGTGTTAACCGACATGTGAAATCGGGAACTTTGCAGTTGTTTCGGTAAGTTATGTTTTTTTATGAAGTCATCAGCTTGCTAGCTACATAACATTAAACGGTCTGGTTTAATTTAGCTAATGGGGTTTACTTACAGATACCAAGCGGTAAGTTCTGTGCCGCTAATAAGCGTTTTTATTAGAAGTTAAACAATGAGGAAACCCCTTAAAATCCGCCTTCTTTTTATAACAATATTATGACTACGTGACTTTGAATTTGAATTAAAAACCGTACCGATCACACAGATTCATACTAGCAACCAAATACTACCACAGAGTATCAGGGCATGAAATGAAAACTCGAGGCATGAAGTCATAATGTTAAAGGAATTAATTCGCATTTAAGTCATTCCCCTAATACTGCATCACTTTATGAGAACAAGGCCATGTAAATGAATATAATGAGAGTCATGATGTTATGAGTCGAAGTTTTGGTAATGGATCAACCAGTTTTACTCGGGTATGTTACAACGAGAGCAGCCTGCGCTAAATTCAGGTATGGTTTAATTAAAATGCATCTTTCGGATGCACCGTCCTAGCTTTCTGGCAGAGGATTGACCGCCGGTTCAGTCTCCTCCATACAGCGGCAGTAGTATTACAGCTTCTGGTGACGTAACGATATTTGTCTAAGATAAAGCTCTGAAACTGTCTTTAATGGGACAAAACGTCGATAAAACGAGACCCTATAAGTGTATAGAAGGACATGCTCAAAAGATTACTTATACAAGTTGCATAACTGTTATTTATTTTATGTTATCAAATAACATACATAAGTCATAAGTATACTTCTGTGGAATGACAATTATCATTTACAGCAGCATGGTAGATCATGTCTTACTTAAGTTTTCAAGATAGATAGATAGATAGCCCTGTTACTTATGAGATTGAGATAAAACTATGAGTAATGTAATTAGTTATGGAAAGACAGCTGCATATGACATACTTAATCAATCACAATGACATTAAAATTTTTGTTACATGCAAAGAAATCCCTCAATTTTGATAGGATGTTCATAAGACATATCACTCACAAGATGAAATGATTTAGATTATTTATACAGTTTGTATATTCATTCACTTGAGGTATTTTTTGTGATTGTCTTTGAATTGAGTTTTGGCTTCAGCCTGTTATGCAACAAAGCAAGAATTAAACTGAACGCAAAACATTAACTTTGTGTTGTTTACAAACTTGACAAATGGCAGTAAGCAATGTTATTGTATTTTTGTAAAGTTTCCCTTTAGGTGACAAAGCGAGGCTGAAGCAGTGGCTGGTGAACACAAGACGGCAGGACTGGAAACCAACAGGATCATCACGTCTTTGCAGTGCTCATTTTGAAGAGCATGCCTTTACTGTGGACTCAAAGGTTAAATTATTTCTTTTTTAATGGACAGCAATTTTTATGATGTTCACATTTGCAACAATTTATTGTTAAATTGACTAACACTTTGAATCATAAAATGGCGGTTATTTAAACATTCCCAAGAGCTGAACACTACAACTATCGTGGTTCCATTTTAAATTACTGCTGTTTTTATGTTTTCTAAAATTAGGTATTTGCATGTAGTTGTGGTGTCTGCTACCATCTACTGGTCATTATTAGTTAGTGTCATCAGTCATTTTCAGTTTAAGTTGGCGCAGCCTGGAGTAAAAAAAACCAGGAATTATGTTGCAAAAAAAATTTGAGTGATACCACATGAACAACTTCTTATGCTTAGACCAAATGTGCCCTGTTAGATAAAGGTAACAGCACTAGCCAAGTAGTAGTCTCTAAGAATGCTAACTAAATTAAACCTTTTAAATAATTGGACAAGTATATCAAAACCTCTTAAGTTTTCATGCTGAGCTACCTGGTTTGAGACATAAGTGTCTTAATGAATTTAAGTACTGGTATTCACAATTTAATTGATGAATTTCTTTGTGTTTTTCAGACTTCATCACCAACCACTGATGATATGGTGGATTCATCTGCTGCAGCCTGTTTCCTTTCCACCCAATGCAACTCCCAAAGTACTAGATTATATCTTTTTAAGTTCCTGGTAAAATAACAAACACACAGGTTTTCTGCAAAGGAGTTAAGTATTTATAAATCACAAATAAATACTAAAATGCTAGTGTCCTCTCACAAGTGTCCATGTCATGCTATCTGATTTACATTAATTACATGCTGTTCACTACACATACTGTCAGTTTGTTTTTTCAGTTTTACCACACTTTGTCCACTTCATGGTGAGGACTCGCACACAGAAAGATGGAAAAGACAAATGTCTTGAAAAGTTGGATCCATTTTATTGCTAGGAATAAAATGGATCCAACTTTTTTTGACATTTGTCTTTTCCATCTTTCTGTGTGTGAGTCCTTTACAGCCTTTTTGAATTGTCTTATCTGACCATTGCACCAGAAGCAAGAATACTAGGACTGATGTTAAGCTCTTTTCTTGTTAATCACTTGATGATGAGTACATAAGAAATGCATTGACTTTGTTGTGGTATGTTTTTTTCTTTTGATAGCTTTACATGAAAAATAAAATTTTGAGACAAATACTCTGGAATAATAAAGCATATACTGTGTTTTTTCATCTGTGCTGTAAATCAGAAAACTTTATCATGGTACAACAAATCACAGAAAAGCATGTGAAGTTTCAACATTAATTAAATTTTTCTAACAATAAAAAACATCCCCGGCTACATTCGTCGTGGGGAAAACGCCTTGAGGAAGACCATCGGGTGGAATGGCTGGGGTACGGCAGAAAGTTTGTAGGACAGAGAGAGAGAGGGAGAGAGAGAAGGAGGAAGAGCTGTGACAGAATTGAACAGTGTGATGGTTACCTTTTGTAAAACAAAATTCACAAAATTGTGCTTGAGTAAACAAACAAAATGTGCACATCAATCACAAATACAGCAGATGAATCCTGACCATTTTTTGCTGCCTATTGTAGGTGAAATCCCAAATCTAGCACCACCCTACTAGATTTGGTCTTTCAAACACAAGGCAATATTATTTTAAAAAATGTCATTACCCAAAGTGGTGAAATGAACTCCATCGTTTAAAAAAAGGCCAGGATCTCTGTGCTTTATTTGAGGATGATGCACAATGCTTCCGCCAACAGATGAAACAAAAGTAGCCATCACACTGTTCACATAGCGCCCGGCTTTGTCCATTTTCTTGGGGCTGTATCTCCATCGGCTCCTCTGGGTGATGGCAGAGAAGATGATCCTCATGGTGGGGAACTGCCGATGGAGATCCTGGAGGTCCTGCTTGATTCCCGCCACAAGCTTGATGGTCTTGGTGACCCCCAGGTCATTCCCACCACAATGGATCAAAAGGACGTCTGGCACAGCTCTTCCCCGACAGCACTGATGAAAAAAAGAGGAAGTTCCTCCAAACCATGCCACCCCAGCCAAACCACAGGACACGGGCATCCAGACCAAGGTCGGTCCCGATGGTCTGCCTCGCTCTCGTTTCCCCACGACGAATGTAGCTGTACCCGATGATGAATATATGTGGTTCTGTAAATGTATTGAACAATAAAAGAAAAAAAAGTCTTTTTCCTACAAAACCTTGCATGGCTTGTGATTCAGCATGATTCCACATCATGCTGAATCACGTGCTGTTTAATATTTTTTACAGTAGATATAATTTGGAATTGAAAACTTGAGCTTGCTCTTGTTACATCACAAAAAAAACTATATAACATTACCTAATAAAAGTCTCACTAAAATCATATCCAGCTAAATCAGCATCCATCTCAATGAATTTTATCCTTACTTCTGGTCACAGTGGCTGATGTTGTGCTCATCTTTGAAGCTTCTTCTCTCTGTCTAAAAAAAGGAGAACAACATAAATATTTGCTGTTCATTCAGAATTTTGTTCATTTTTAATCACAGGACAATAGCATACATCTTAACAACTGATAAACTAAAAATATCACGTATTTTGCTGTTTAATTTACAAAGGCTAGTGTTAAATTGCAATGCTACTTTAGCTTACATTTACACCGTTTCTTTCAACAAAGAGAGATGCCTTACTTGCCAATCAAGTAATAGATGATATCTTTATTCGTATTAGTTATGATGGTATTTTATGTTCTTAAAAGTTAGTACGCTCACAAATTTCACATTATATCAGGAGAAGTGGAACTTACTTATTCTTGGTCGCGACGAGCGGGGAAGCTATTAGCGTTACCGATGAACGGCTGGAAGGACATCCGGGGGGGGGGCACTTTTTGAGCGGAGCGTCATCGCGCCGAGTCTCCCGCCCAGCCAAAATCGTCTGCGTACAACGCTACTGCGCAGCTCTGGTTGCAAGGAAGCGGAGAAAAACCCGGAATTACCGAGAGCTTTTTGGCTTCAAATCCGTATACAGGCGGAAGGCGGAACCACGGCGTCCATCTTATATACAGTCTATGGTTATCCCTCACAAAGCTTCATGGACTTTTACCCATAAATATAAACATAAACATTCTGTTTTTATTTACCCCAGTCTGAGTAGCTGCAGATCATTGATAGGCTCTTTGAATTTCTCTCAAAGCCTGTATCTGCTTAAGCCAAATTTAAAAAAAAAAAAAAAAAAAGCAATTCAATAGAAATAATAAATTCTATAAAAACCATGACCAGAAAGGGAAGATTAGTAAGTAAGTAAGTAAGTAAGTAAACTTTATTTATACAGCGCCTTTCGCAGACCAAGGTCACAAAGCGCTTTACAGTAAAAGCAAAAAGCAATAACAATACACAGTTAATAAATACATACAAAGCTAAAATTTTAAAAGGCTAAAATCAACACTATAGCAACCATAGCAGCCCCAAGACAGTTAGGGAAAAGCCTGAACAAATAAAAAAGTCTTTAGTTCTCTTTTGAAGGAGTCAACAGACTCCATCGAACGCAGAGCAGGCGGAAGATTGTTCCAGAGCTTGGGAGCAACAGCCTGGAAGGATCGGTCTCCTCTGGTCCGGAAATGTGTATGAGGCACCATCAGAAGATTCTGACCCACCGACCTCAGAACCCGGGCTGGGGTGTAAGGCTGGATCAGGTCATTGATATAAGATGGAGCCTGACCATGCAAGGCTCTGAAAGTTAAAACCAGAATTTTAAAATTTATCCTAAAAGAAACAGGCAGCCAATGAAGGGTTTTAAGAATGGGGGATATGTGTGACCTCCTATTTGAGCGGGTCAGAATTCTCGCTGCAGAGTTCTGAATTAACTGCAGGCGAGACAGCTCCTTTTTGTTCATACAAGAAAACAAACTGTTACAGTAGTCTAAACGTGAAGACACAAATGCATGAATGATCAGCTCCAAATCGTTATGTGACACCATTTTTCTAAGTTTGGAGATGTTCCTAAGTTGAAAAAAGCAATTTTTGGTCAGCTGATTACAGTGTTGCATTAATGACATGTCTTTGTCGAAAATAACACCCAGGTTTCTCAGGCTCGGTTTAACAGACCGGCCCAAGTCGCCTAAGAACTGACTAATCCCTGGAATGGAGTCATCAGGGGCAATAATCAGAGTTTCTGTTTTGTCCACATTTAGCTGCAAGGTGTTATCACTTAGCCATTTTTTAATCTCTGCCAGACAGTGGACTAAGGAATTTAGCTTATGGAGCTCAGTAGGTTTGAATGAACAGTACAACTGAATATCGTCAGCAAAAATGTGGTAGGAAACATCAGAATAACTGCGGATGATTTTTCCCAAGGGGATCAAATATAAAAGAAAAAGAACAGGACCCAAAACTGAGCCTTGGGGGACTCCACACAGCAGATCTGCTGACTCGGAACTAATTTGGTTTGCTGTGACAGTAAAACTACGCCCAGAGAGGTATGACGAGAACCAATGTAGAACTGACCCTGACAGTCCTATTTCATCTCTCAATCTTCTCAGCAGGATCTGGTGGTCGACGGTGCCAAAGGCTGAGGACAGATCTAAGAGAACTAGAACAGTGTATTTTCCTGAGTCAGCAGACATCATGATGTCACTGGACACTTTCAGCAAGGCTGTCTCCGTAGAGTGATGTTTACGAAAGCCAGACTGAAACGTCTCATGGATGTTACATTGATCCAGGAAAAATGACAGCTGTTCAGCGACCACTTTCTCTAGGATCTTTGACAAGAATGGCAGCTTAGAAATAGGCCTGAAATTACTTAGGACAGTCGGGTCTAAGCCTGTCTTTTTAAGTAAAGGCTCCACTATGGCATGCTTAAAGCTATTGGGAAACACACCCGTAGAGAGAGAAAGGTTAACCATTTTGGTCACCCAGGGGCCAATAACATCAAGCACTTTCACAAAAAGCCTATACGGAAGGGCATCAGATGAGCAAGAGGAGGGTTTCATCTTGGTCACCAGTGCCGAGATATCAGCAAGAGCCACAGGCCTAAATGAGGACCACAAGCTGGAGGCAGGCTCAGTGACAGCAGGGGTTTCACACAAAAAAGAAGAAGGGGGGGGGGGGGGGATTTTCTCCTTGATTAACTTAATTTTATCAATGAAGAATCTCAAGAAAGCATTGCTGTCAGCTTCACAAAAAACAGGGGTAACTGGGGCAGCAGGACGTACAAGTGAATTGATCGTGTCAAACAACACTTTGGGGTTTTTCTTATTTACTGTTACCAGTTGACGGAAGTACTCAGATCTAGCATTTCCCACCATCTCATTATAAGATGTAGGGGAATCTCTTTATACATTTAGGTTAAGAAATGTAGAGTAATGATCTTTTAGTAAGAAGCCACAACTAATCTAGGTTGGCCTGATCCTGCAGCCCCACGACCATGAGATTGTAAGCAAGGCTGTCTTGCAGTAGCCCAAACTATCTGTCTGTTGGAACACGTAATCTCTGCCTGGGTCAAGACGAACCTAAACCAAGTGTCGTGGGGCAGACATGACATCAGGAGAGGCCTTCTGGAGAATACACATACACACACACACACACATCCACACACACACACACACACACACACACACACACACACACACACACACACACACACACACACACACACACACACACACTCACACAGGATAAAAGGGAGTAGAAGAAAAGCTAGGGGTGCTTCCTTCGGTCTTGGTCGAGACATAATTGGCGAGCTAACACAGGATTCGTGTCTGAGAAACAGGAGCCGTGGCTCTGCGACCTCTCGAGGGGGAGACGCTTGGGGCCCCAAAAAAGAGAATAAGGTAGGAGATCTCCTAAAAAAAATTTTGTCTGAGTGCTTTGCCCTGCGAGATAGCGCAGACCTACGCTCACTGTTCCCTTCGAATCAAAGAACCTAGAATAGAAAAAGAGGAGACTGTGGGAATGAAGACAGTCTGGGTAAACTGCATGCATGCAGTCAGCTGATCAAAGTCTGCTAAATTTGTGAGGAAGCCAGTTGAAATTGAATATATATCAGCTGATTTAAGAGAAACTGCAGTTGACTGTGTGAAATTGCCTCACGCTGTTGCATGTGTGAGATGCCATATGTAGAGCTGTAGGCTGCTACATATGAGGGATGCCATATGCAGAGCTATAGGTTGCTGCATGTGAGGAATGCCATATGTAGAGCTATAGGCTGCTGCATATGAGGGATGCCATATGTAGAGCTATAGGCTGCTGCATGTGATGAATGCCATATGTAGAGCTATAGGCTGCTGCATGTGATGAATGCCATACGAGGAGCTATAGGCTGCTGCATGTGATGAATGCCATACGAGGAGCTATAGGCTGCTGTATGTGATGAATGCCGTATGTGGAGCTATAGGCTGCTGCATGTGATGAATGCCATATGTGGAGCTATAGGCTGCTGCATGTGATGAATGCCATATGTAGAGCTATAGGCTGCTGCATGTGAGGAATGCCATATGTAGAGCTATAGGCTACTGCATATGAGGAATGCCACATGTAGAGCTATAGGCTGCTGCATATGAGGGATGCCACATGTAGAGCTATAGGCTGCTGCATATGAGGGATGCCACATGTAGAGCTATAGGCTGCTGCATATGAGGAATGCCACATGTAGAGCTATAGGCTGCTGCATATGAGGAATGCCACATGTAGAGCTATAGGCTGCTGCATATGAGGGATGCCACATGTAGAGCTATAGGCTGCTGCATGTGATGAATGCCATATGTAGAGCTATAGGCTGCTGCATATGAGGAATGCCACATGTAGAGCTATAGGCTGCTGCATGTGAGGAATGCCATATGTAGAGCTATAGGCTGCTGCATGTGTGAGATGCCATATGTAGAAGCCATAGGCTGTTCTATGTGTGAGAAGCTATAGGCCGGGTGCAGAAGCACTTCGTCTTCCTGAAAGGGTGAGACCGCCTCACGCTGCTATAAGTGTGAGATTGTCATATATGAAGCTATAGACTGGGTGCAGAAGCACTTCGTCTTCCTTAAAGGGTGAGACCGCCTCACGCTGCTATAAGTGTGAGATTGTCACATGTGAAGCTATCGGCTGGGTGCAGAAGCACTTCGTCTTCTTTAAAGGGTGAGATCGCCTAATGCTGCTATAAGTGTGAGACGGACATATTTTCTTTAAACTGAATGCCTGGAGATAAAAGGGCCTGGGTAATTGTTGGGATAACAAGGGGAGCGGCAGGCACAAATGTGTCTGTCCATTGTTGAACTGTGAGCTTTAGGTTCTTTTTTATGAGCTCAAGTGGCAGTCGCCGACAGACGAGCAGAAATCCTCACGAAAGGTCGAAAGGCCCCATGAAATCAGTGTCCTAATTGGATTTAAATTACAGATACAGATCGGCTCGATGAGCAGGAAATAGAAATAGAGGTCAATAAGGATAGGCTGAAAAGCCTATTCAGGGATCCCAACTGTACAAGCACGTCCCATATCTCCTGACCAATTGTAGAAGAATCACACAAATTGAAAAAAACACACAAATTGGAAAATTGAAGAAATGAAAACAAGAATTAAAATAAAAGACTGAAGACCGACCCGAAAGACTGACTTCTGACCAAGACTATCACATGTGTGAAAGGGTTAACCATTGAATGATGAGAGAATGAAGTGATTGAGCTGAGTATTGCAAGTGTATGTGTGTAAAAATCTGCAGTGAGTGAAGCGGCTGAGCTAAGCGCTGTGAGTGCGTGTGTTAGATTTGTATCAATGCTTTCAGCTGCGCTTACAAACTGACTTTGTATGGGATTACATGTATATGTTTGATAATAACTAACTCCTTGCCTTCATTTTTCCTGTGTCAATGTGATTCAAGCAATGGTTGTAAAAGGGTGATATGAAAGAGAGACAATTAGTGCTGCAAGTGTTAAACTGTTAGAAAGATCAAATTTCCAAGGGTTGCTTCTGCACATCTGCTGTATCTGCTGAACCGGTCAAAATACTGTGGGTTTTCATACTGTTGAAGCTGTCAATACCAATACCGATTTTTGCTGTGTGACTCCAGTGAACATTGAAGCTGTTGATCTGTGTAATTTTTGAGAAGTCTACAGAATTGTTTTTTTTTTTTTTTTGAGTGTGTTCACTTAAAGAGGGTTCTTTAGTGCTGCATTTTGAATGGTGATGCAAGTCATGACTAAAGTAGAATGCGGTATTGCACTGTCTGAGTAATGAAAGTGTAAAAAACTAACAGTGAGAGCATTGGCGCTTTGACTGTGACATAGTCCGAAGCAAGGCAAGGCTTGGGAAAACGGTGTGACTTACAGGGAGAGACAAGATCTGCTCTGGTAAACAGCTAGAAAGAATTTGAGCTAGCCAGAAGTGCTAAGGAGGAAGGAGGGTGGAGTTTTGTAGAACTCCCAACCCCTTTTCCTTTCTCTCTCTCTTTGCTCGTGTAGTGCCTTGCTTAACCCCCCTCCCATGTGAAATCCTGACTTTTTGTCGGGTCTGTTTGATTTTTTTTTTTCTTTTTCTGCAGCAGGGGCTGGCTGTGTGCTTTAAATTTGACAGCAGACAGAGATTATAGAAAATATTGAGAAGTGAAGCGGCAATTGTACTGTCTCCTGTAGATTAAAACAAAGTTTCAAATTAATAAATTAAATACATAAATAAAAATAAATTTAGTTAAATAAATTTTTGGTTTTTTCCCAGTATTAGTAGGGCAATAATTAGACAAGAGACTTAAAATAGAGTGATAATCAGAAAAAAAAATAAAAATAGAAATAAAATAAATAAATAAATAAAACGATTGGCCGAAACAATTAAAACTAAAACAGAAAATGAGTACAACTCCGGTTGCACTAGTGGGGTGTAAATACCCTGCGCACCTGAAAGACATCCAGAAATTAACAAAGAAATGGGAAAAACGAACCAAGGGATTGGAATCTGCATGGCCAAGAGAAGGCACATTTGATGTGACTGTGTGTGAGGATTTGGAGAGGCGAATAAAAGATCATAAGACCAAAGATAAAAGTAAAAAACGCCAAGGAAAGAGAGAATTGGAGCTAAAAGTATTAAACATGTTTAAAAGCGAGGGACAACACTACCTAAACAATCTAAAAATTGGAATGGCAGAGCTGAAAAACACCAAGGAGAAGGAAAAGTCACAACTCTGGAAGGAGACCAAAACGGAAAAAGAGATACCAAAATCTAAACAGACACCAGAACCTGTAGGTATATACCCTTCTCTGGTGGGAAAAATCAACATAAATGGCGATTTTGAAGTTGATAGAGGGGAAGCCTCACTCCAAAATAACTCAGGAGTGGGAGGGGGAGAAAACTGCCCAACTCTAGGAAACAAAGCTAGTGGGGACAATATTGGACCACCAATCCCACAACATTGCAGCACAACAAAGAAACAGGCACAGAATAAGCCGTCCATAATTGATTGTTTTGCAGAACGCAATGAGACTCTGAGAACTGGTGCAGGTGGACTATCATATTGGCATAACCCTGAAAACAGAAGCATAGAGTTGCGACGTGAACTCTGTCGCTCAGCAATACAAGAAATGGAAAGAGAGGTAGATGCATGTGATGAATTAATCCGAATGAAACTGGGAGATCGGAGAGACACAACAAGCAACTCAGATAGTGGGGGAGGACAGACACTAATCAGCACAGCTAAAACACAGAGTTCACGAACATCAAATGATCCCACACATGCACAAAAATATGATCTTAGATACAGGCCCGGGATACACCCGCCAGAAAAATATACTGATGGCTTATTTCCAATCCTAATAAAGGGCACGCAGGCCACTTATGTGCCGTGGCAGACCACTGACCTTACTGGGCTGATTGCCAGGTTGCGGCAACTAGACCAGGGGGCAGGAAGGTGGATCAGAACATTTGAAGACGAGACTGTGGGGAAAATGTTGGCTTTGGGAGACATGAAAGCACTTTTTGCACAATTGCTGGGAATTAAGACAATAAAGGAGATTCTCCAAAGGGCTGGACAGGGTTGGATGGCAGATCCCATGGCAGATGGGACTGAGTTCAACCCCTACCGTGCAGTGTTGTGGAAAACATTACGGAGTGAGTTTCCTAGCAAAATAGATGCAAAAGTGTTAACGGGGGAACCACTGACAGACACAGAGAACCCTGCTGCATATATCGCCAAACAGCTAAAAATGTGGAAGCAAGAAACAGAGGAGGACACTGAAAGCAATCCAGTACTAATGACCTTGTTCAGAAATTCTGTTATTGAGGCTCTTCCCGCCAAGGTTCAAGACAGACTGGAGGAGGTTGTGGGTCTGACATCTATGCATTATACACAGTTTCGTGATCATGTGGTGCATGCTATCGAGAAGCATAGAAAAGATGAGAGCAAATTAACGGAGCAAGAAAGAAACACACAGAGAAAACTGGTGCAGCTACAGCTGGGGGAACTACAAAATAAAGACAAAACTCAAGCTGCTGTGGTGACACCAGCAGTACAGGCTGCGCAAATAACAACTGAAGCACAGCCAGTCTCAGCCCAGCGGGCACCTGCCCCGCCAGCTCCGGCTCCAGTTGTTCATGTATATCCTCCATCGAGACGTGTTTTCCCTCCGAGGAGACAGTACCAGACAGACAGGCGTAACCTGCCCAATGGCTGCTGGACATGTGGACAAGACGGACATAGATCGAGGGAATGCCCCAGATATCAGGGTGGTCCAAACGGGAGATGCGGCAGGGGGCCCCAGCCCAGGCAACGTGATGGTGGCCCGGCGAATTCAGACAGAGAGCCTGTAGCTGACTAGGGATGCCCAGAGAGTCCTACAGAGGGAGGTGGCTCCGAAACGGAGTTTCCAATGGTAGCCATGGGAGAAAACGAACCGATAGTGACAGTTGAATTAGAAGATAGACCAATCCCCATGCTAGTCGACACTGGAGCCACATACACATGCGTCAATTCAGAACATGCCACACACCTCCCCAGGTCTAACAAATTTGTGAAGACAGTAGGATTCTCGGGTAAACGACAGCTAATTCCACAAACGGCTCCAGTGCGGCTATCAGTTGAAAACAAAGAAGTTAAAGTGCCGATTTTGGTTTCTGAAGAAACCCCTGTGAATTTGTTAGGCCGAGATGTCTTGTGCAAACTAAATGTCCAAATTTGGTGTTCACCACAAGGAATCTATATTGACAGCTCAGGGTTAGGGCTCCAAATGAACATTCAGGCAGACTATGCAAAAATATATTGGTTGGGTGACATCGCTGACCCAGTGTCCAAAGCATTTGACACATGGGAAAAGTACATCAGAGTCCAAATTCCAAAAGCTGAAGCGCCAATGTCTGAGTATCATTGCACTATGTTTTTTGACCCCTCCTGCAGCAGTGTGTTTGAGGAAAAGTGGGACGAAGGTAACAGAGGCGCGACTCCCACTCTGAAAACACAGTACATAGTGATAGGCCAACAAGGAGCAGCGATGAATGTAGAATCAAATCCATTCATCAGAAAGTGGTACAATGTGCCAGAGTCAGTACCACACATAACACTGCTGGTAAACGAGTGTTTTGAATCAAAAGACCTTGGGCCAATGATGTGTGCTGCAACAAAAACAATGTGGGAGGGAACAGATAACCCAATGATTTTTTCCTCAGAGAAGGGTGACATGATTAAGATCCTGTGTGAAACAGAAATGCAGTCAAGGCCACAAGTGGTGACTGTTCCGATTAAGGAGGCAGCACAAAGTATGATTAAAATTGAAAATGATGAAGATGCGCTGAAAGAAGACATGATTTCAAAGGTTTCTCCAGAGCTCTGGATTGTTAAAAGCAGGAGTACTGATTGAGACAGAGTGTCTGCAACACTCCTATTTTGCCAGTCTTGAAAGCAGATAAATCTAAATATCGGCTGGTGCATGATTTAAGAGTTGTGAATGAGATTGTGGAGGATTGGCCAGCAGAGGTGCCAAATCCCCATACACTTCTCACAAATGTGCCTCCAGATGCAAAATATTTCACAGTCATTGATTTGTGTTCTGCTTTCTTCAGTGTCCCTCTAGCGGAGGAATCTCGCTATTTGTTTGCTTTTAAATACAGGGGGAAACAGTACACTTACACAAGACTGCCACAGGGCATGAAGCTGAGCCCACATTTGTTTAACAAGGTTCTAAGACAGGATCTTGAAGACTTGATGTTGAAAAGCATATTGTTGCAGTATGTTGATGATTTACTGATCTGTGCACCGACATTGGAGGAGTGTCACCAAGAATCAGTGAAAGTGCTACAACGCCTAGCAGAGAGGGGGCATAAAGTCTCCCAGGCGAAGCTACAGTACTGCAAGCCCCAGGTAGAGTACTTGGGGAGAACAATCTCTCAGGGAGCGATTGCAATGTTACCTTCTCAGTTGGAGGGTGTGAGCAGAGCTCCACGCCCACGAACAGTGGGACAAATGATGACATTTTTGGGCATGACAGGGTTCAATTCAGAATGGATTGAAGGTTATGCTGAAAAGACTGCCCCACTGAGAGATCTCATGAAAGAGGCAGGTGATCAATCATTGAAGACGCAACTGGTTTGGACGGTTGCTGCTAAGGAAGCATTTGAGACATTGAAACAGGAAATGCAGAGTGCGCCTTGTCTTGCGACTCCAGACTATAGCAAACCGTTTCTGTTGTATGTGTCAAATCGACAAAACATGTATGCATCAGCTGTCCTGATGCAGGAGACTTGCAGTGGTCGTCAAAAGCAGCCAATAGCATACTATAGCTCGAAGCTTGATAATGTGGCCCAAGGGTGGCCTCCATGTTATCAAGGGCTAGCTGCAGTACAGTATGCTTATGAGAAAGCGTCCATTGTAACTATGGGATATCCAGTGACCATTTTGACTCATCATAAAATCACTGAGTTGATCAACAAAGGAAAGTTTGTGGTAACTCAAGCCAGATGTTTGCAGTATATGCCACTTTTGACATATCCTGATGTCACAATAAAGAAATGTACCTCATTGAATCCAGCAGATGTTATTCCTTTTGACTTTCAGGGGGAGCCACATGAGTGCATGGCTGAAACAGTGAGGTACACAAAGTTGAGACCTGATTTGGAGTCTACGCCACTCACAGAAGCAGAGGTGACGTATTTTGTTGATGGGTCATGTTATCGCGATCATTTAGGGAACCACGCCGGGTTTGCAGTGGTTAAACAGGAAAAGGATGAGTTTGTGACAGTGAGTGCAGAGAGCTGCACTCAACCATGTTCTGCACAGCTAGCAGAGCTTATAGCTCTGACAGAAGCGTGCAAGCTTGCATCAGGAAAAGTTGCAAATATTTTCACAGATTCTGCTTATGCGCATGGAGTGTGCCATTTATTTGGAGCAGTCTGGAAGCAAAGAGGCTTCAAGAGAGCGGATGGCAGTCCGGTGCAGCATCGTGAACAGATTGTTGCATTGATCGCAGCAATGATGTTGCCATCAAAACTTGCCATTGTGAAATGTCAAGCCCACAGAAAAGGGAGTAGTGACATTATAAAGGGAAATAATGCAGCTGATGAGGCTGCAAAGAATGCCTCTAAAAGTCAGGTGTCTGTATTGGCACCGATGTTGTCACTTGAACCTGCTGCAACTCCAGAGGACATTATTTTGATGCAGCAAAATGCAAATGTGAATGAGCACAACATTTGGCGTCAAAGAGGCGCCAGCATTGACAAAGATGGGCTATGGAGGTCACATGAAGGGCTGATTGTGGCACCGGTAGCTCTGTTAACGAGTTTGATTTCTGACCTGCACAGTGTGAATCACTATGCAAGGGGGGAGATAATGAGACAGCTGAGACAGCAGGGTTATTGGTCACCATACATGCAGGCAATGGTTGATGAAATGTTGAGCCATTGTGATGTGTGTCTTCAAAACAATGTAAAAAGACCTATGAAACCACCAACAGGACACATTCCAGTTCCCGAGGGACCATTCAGACATTTAGTCATAGATTATGTGGATATGATTAAAACAGTCCAGGGGAAACGATATATGTTGGTGGTGATCGACAGGTTCAGCCGATGGGTAGAAGCAACACCTTCCAAAGATCTCGGCGCCGAGACTGTAATTAAATTTCTTGTCAGAGAGATTATTCCACGTTTTGGCATTCCATCAGAGATTAGTTCAGACAATGGCTCTGCATTTGTGCAGAAGGTTGCCAAGGGCATATTGCAGCAGCTACGAATCAAGCAACGACTAGGCAGTGTGTATCACCCACAGAGCCAGGGCATGGGAGAGAAAGTGAATCTAACAATCAAAAATCGAATCAGCAAAATCTGCGCTAGCACTAACTATAAATGGGTAGACGCTTTGCCGCTTGCGCTTATGGGCTATCGCATGCAAAGGCACAGAGTGATTAATCTGTCGCCACATGAGATGCTAACTGGTAGACCTATGCCTCATCCAGCATGCAGAGGACCTTACAAGGGCCCCACACTTGAGCAGTTGCAGAATGAACTAAAGGAGTAAATGAGACAACTGACTGCGATACATAGGTCCATATATCTGCAGGAGAAGAGCCGTGAACCTGATCCAAACCAAGAGGTGGAGAGGCCAGTGGAGCCAGGGGACCAGGTCTACATCAAAGTCTTTCGAAGAAAGTGGCACGAACCTCGGAGAGAAGGCCCGTACACTGTGGTCCGGGCTACACCTACTTCGGTGCAAGTAGAGGGCAGCACGACGTGGTATCATCTGAGTCACTGCACGAAACTGCCAAAGAGACCGAAGGGAAGTACAATTCTTGACGAGAAAGACTCCAAAAATGAATGTGCTACTAATCTTGAAAGTAACTGTTTTCCTGATGTGGTTGCTAAAGGGCAACGTAGGCGTGGAAAGGGAAAGAGAGAAAGCGATGACAGAGGGGGCGCAGACGAAGGTCACACAGGTGCCGATACTACTGTCCGAAGAAGGAGCCCGAACGAACGTGAGTATGATGCAACCCCGAACACAATCCACACCACTCCAGTGTTAGACCCCATGCCAACATTCTCTGAAAAACAACACACAAAAGGCCACAGTCATACACAAAAACAGACAAAAATTGAAAGGGACAGACATAGATTGTGGGTCAGGGAAATAAAGAAGCGGCCGTCCCGGAAGGGAAAGGTAGCAGTACCAGCCAGGGTTTGAAACAATCCTAAGGTAAAGATAACAGCATCAGCACCCAGGACAGGACCAGCAAAGCAGCCAGGTGTGACACCTGCTAGAACAGGTCCAGTGACCACAATAGGTGAGGAGGTAAAAAAGACACGGGCCACAACTCAAACTATGTTAACCACACATGGTAGGAAGATAGGAGAAGATGACAGCACAGTTCAGGATGACTATGATAATTATGATAATGCAGGAAACACTGATGAGCAGCCAGGAATGGATGTGCTTAAGGGAAAACCTTGGGGAAACACACAGCCAATCTTAAGAAGCATTCAGAGTTATCCGGATGAAAGGTGGGAGATGGCCAGGTATAATGGGTGGTATGAATGGGCATTGTTTACAGCTAAAGGGGTAGTTCCTGAAGAATGTATTTTATGCACTGAATCTCCACTGTCAGTTCCGACCGTAGTTCCTGAGAAGTACACATTTAGAGAATGTGCACAATACCAAAGTCAGAAATGTAAAGAGGGAAAGTTCGAAGTGAATAGCGACGTGCTAGAAAGTTCGCCTTTATATCAGAAGTAATAATAATAATAATAATAATTTTATTTATATAGCACCTTTAAAAACAGAAGTTTACAAAGTGCTTAGACAACAGTTGTAAGCACAGAACATCAGCACATTGAAAATAAAAACACATAAAAACAAAAGCTCAGTTAAAAAACAGGCATCTGAATTGTAGGCCTGTTTCACTTTTCGTAAGAAACCCAGGCAATACAAGAACCCTACAAAATAAATGGGACCATGAGGACCAAAATAAAAGCAAAAAAAAGAAATAGGAAAGAAAACAGGCTAGTAAGTATAAAAGAGGATATTAATAATAATAATAAAATCATAATAAAATAAAATGATGGTAATATAAATGATAAAGTGGAATTAAATATATATATATAAAATAAAGGAAAATGAAAACATTAAAATCAATAAAAAGATTATAAGTAAAACAAAGGCTAAAAAGGCAGTAAGTCTAAATAAGAAAGAGGTGAAAGAGGTAAAAGAAAAAGGAGAAAAATAAAAACGGTAAAAGGCAATAAAAGATGAAAGATGGCATCACATAAAGGCAAGTCTGTAAAAGTGAGTTTTTAAAATTGACTTAAAAGAAGCGACTGTCTCTGCACGCCTTATCTCCTCTGGCAGGTCGTTCCAAAGTCGAGGAGCTCTGATGGAGAAAGCTCTATCACCTTTAGTCTTGAGCCTCGACTTTGGAAAGCCAGTGAAGGGAGGCTAAAATTGGGGTGATGTGATGCCGTCGACTAAAACCAGTTAAAAGTCTAGCTGCTGCATTCTGAACTAGTTGGAGGCGAGAGAGTGATTTCTTGTTTAGACCAGGGAGGAGAGAGTTACAATAGTCCAGTCTTGAGAAAATGAAGGCGTGGATTATCTTTTCGAGATCTGGTGGGGTGAGTATTTGTTTAATCTTTGAAATGGAGCGCAGGTGAAGGAAACAGGACTGGACAATCTTGTTGATATGGGTGGAGAAGGTGAGGTCTGAATCAAAGGTTACTCCCAGATTTCTGGCTGTTGGTTTGATGATTACTGAGTTTGGACCGAGACAAGACTGAATGAGGGGGGAGTTTTGTATGTTACAGAGAATTATTTCAGATTTTGAATAATTTAGCTGAAGGAAATTTTGTGCCATCCAACAGTTAATGTCACTTAGACAGTCCATGACAGCAGCTAGGCCTCTTGGGTCCTCAGGTCTCAAAGGAAGGTATATCTGTGTGTCGTCTGCATAGCAGTGAAAGGAGACTTTGTGGCGCTGAATTAATTGGCCAAGGGGCAGCATGTATATAGAAAATAAAATTGGGCCTAAAACTGAACCTTGCGGAACACCACAGGCGATAGCAGAAGTAGAGGAGGTGTGATTGCCTATGGTGACCGCAAAGGTTCGTTCTAAAAGATACGACTGAAACCAGCCAAGTGCAGTGCCCCTGACACCCACCCAGTTTTTAAGACGTTCAATTAAAATAGTATGATCAACTGTATCAAAAGCTGCACTGAGATCTAAAAGAATTAAAATTGAGCCCTCCCCTCTATCTGCTGCTAAAAGAAGGTCATTGGTCACACGGAGGAGGGCAGTCTCAGTGCTGTGACCTGCTCTAAAACCAGACTGAAATTTCTCAAAGAGGTTGTTTTCGGACATAAAACCTAAAAGCTGTTCAGAAACCACCTTCTCTAAAAGTTTGGATAAAAATGGAAGTTTTGAAATTGGTCTAAAATTGTTAAAATCAGAGGGGTCAAGGTTTGGCTTCTTTAAAAGGGGTTGGACCACAGCGTGTTTAAAAGCAGAGGGAAATACTCCCTCCACTAGAGAGCTATTAATGATGGATAAAATGCTAGGCCCAACCACGTTAAAAACCTCTTTGAGAAATCTGGTGGGGATAGAATCAAGACTGCACGTAGCTGGTTTCATTTTGGCTAAAATATCAGATAAAAATTTTAAGGACACCGGCTCAAAACTACTAAAAAAGTGCTTAACTTCCCGACTTAAGAGTACAGGGAGACTGGGAGGGGTGATTTGATGCCTGATGTCCATAACCTTGTTAATAAAATGAATTAAAAACTTCTCACAGGTTTCTTGAGAAGCATCAGTAAAATAAGAGGGGGAAGGGTTTGAAAGAGACTCTAAAACCTTGAATAAAATTCTGGGGTTTGAATAATTAGCTAAAATCAAATTTGAGTAAAATGCTGCCCTTGCATCCTTAACTGCCTTCTGGTAGTTTTTCAAGGAGTCTCTCCAAATTTCGAGGAAAACCACCAACCCAGTTTTCTTCCATTTGCGTTCTTTTTGTCTACATATTCTCTTTAGTTCATGGGTGGACTCTGTGAGCCAGGGTTGGGGTTCTCTGTTAGATCTTTTCTTTTTCAGAGGAGCTACAGAGTCCAGGATGGTTCCACACATACTGTTAAAAAGAGAGACAAGCTCTTCAGTGTTAAAAACTGGATTAAAATCTGGGTTGAGGGCAGTTAAAGATGCAGAGATAAAAAGCTCCGAAAACTTGCTAGCAGACGATGCATTAAAAACCCTTCTAAGAACAGGAGTGTGATCGGTAAAAGAGGGCTGGGATAAAACCATGGAGAATAAAACCAGTTTGTGATCTGACACACAGATATCCTTAGTTAAAAACTCCCCAGGACTAAGTCCAGTAAATAAAACCAAATCTAAGCAGTGTCCCTTTACATGAGTGGGTTCCTGTATTGCCTGGGTAAGATTAAAGGAGTCCAGAGTTTCAATAAAATCAACAGTTAAGGGTTGAGAGGGACAACAGGCATGTACATTAAAATCACCCAAAATAAGAACTTTGTCATATTTACAAATAAAAAGGGATAGAAACTCTGAAAACTCCTGAATAAAAACAGCATTGTGTTTGGGTGGTCGATAAATGATTATGATTAAAACTTTCTTTCTTTCAATTTAACAATAAAAGCAAGGTGCTCAAATGAACTGAAAGTGCTGAAGGTGATGGGGGTGCATTTAAAATCCTTCTTGTATATGACAGCCACCCCCCCTCCCCGGCCTGACTGCCGGGGCTGATGGAGGTGAGTAAAATCAGGGGGGGTGGCTTCTATAAGAGAAATACAATTGTCCGGAGTCAGCCAAGTTTCAGTCAGAATAAAAAAGTCCAGACTGTTTTGTGAAATAAAATCATGGCATAAAAATATTTTGTTGTTGAGGGATATGATGTTTAAAAGTCCAAAGTTTGCAGGTTTGCTGTTAAAAGCAGGGCGGGGTAGCCGAGGAAGCAGGGGGATGTGGACGAGATTGGTGGGGGGACAAAGTCTGGCTGGAGGACGGGGAGGACGTGAGGATGTGATGCGGACTGGAATCACGGATTTACTGATAGTACTAGTGGGGGGGGCAGAGGAAGGTGGGGGTTGGCAGGTGAATGAGCGGGGATTGTGGGACTGTTTTGAGATGACCAGAGGTTATTGTGAGGAGGAGGGGGGGTGGAAGTTGTTCCAATATCCTATTTGTGGTATTGTGTGTAGGCTCATATATGGGTCCAGACGTAGTCATGATTATCTAGATAAATGTCCAACTTGCAAGCTTGATTCTAAATGTGCAGAATTCCAGCTGTCAACTGATCAAATTGAGCCACCAATGGCATACAAGGTAGACTACACACAGAGTTATGAGTGTTTTGCTAGTGGGGGATTCTTAAATGACTCCGGAGGTATAGAAGTGGGGAACACTACTGTACATTGCAATGTTACTTGGGTGCTATCTTGGTTTCCACACGCAAAAAGAACTCCAATTTTTGTACATGAACCAGTGTGGTTCGAAAACCCAGGTCCACGTCAGACTTAACTATGACGACTCCAAATTTACACTTATTTTGTGAACAGTCTAATGGGATTGCAGATAGTTACTGGATTTGTGGGGATGACGTGTTACGAAATGTCCTTCCATACAAGTGGATAGGGTTATGTGCCTTAGTGAGGTTACGAATATCAGTAGTAATGACATATGAGGGTGTAAGCCAGGCCCTTAACATCAAAGACATTACAGAGGGAGCGTCAAGGGTTAAGCGTCAGTTCACACCTTTTGAAACAATCAAATTGGATGCGATAGGTCTGCCGACAGGCATACCAGATGAATTCAAGACCCAAAATGAAGTAAGAGCTGGGTTGGAGTCCATTCTTCCTTGGATAACAATTAAAAAAATGTAAAGTGGATAAATTACCTATATTACACACAGCAGAGATTTGTAAATTACTCAACTGAAATGTTCAAGGCATTTGGTGAACAACTTCATGCCACAAGCACAATGACATTACAGAACAGACAAGTTTTAGACTGGATGTTAGCAGAAAAAGGTGGGGTGTGTGCGAGATTTGGAAAATATTGTTGTACCTATATCCCTAACAACACAGCTCCTGAGGGAGCTTTCTCTAAGGCCATGGAAAACCTGGAGGGACTGAGAGCAGAACTTCAGAAGAATGCTGGTAAAGGGGGATACCTGTCATTGGACTGGTTGGACCAAATTTTAGGAAAATGGGGAGCCGTTTTGGCCAAAGCAGCCATGAGTGCTGCGATAGTTCTAATTCTGATTTTCTTTCTCACATGTTGCATCGTACACATCCTTCGGAGACAATGTGGGAGGCGGACAGAGAAGCAAATGGGACTCATGGCAAGCTTAGCTCTGGCCCACGAGATGCATAGAATGCCCCCGAAACAGCTGGCACAGCGTGTGTTGTATGAAGGAGGGACTGAGGGACCTGTACGGTTCCTGGACTTTGAAGAAGAAGAGCAATGGATTTTCAGCAACACAAACATCATATCCAGTGAGCCGGGGTGTTGAACTGAGCATGGTTCATTCGCAGAGTTAAAGGACTACACTAATCACACACTGATCAAGGGGTTAATCAAATATTAATCAAGGGGTTTGTTGCAGGTTGCTACACTGTAATGTAATGTTATATCAGAAATTGACTGTTTTTCTATGCAAATGAAATTATATCAGCGCATCCAGGAAATGGATGGTCGCCAGGGCGCGGGGCCGTAAGATTCTTTCCCTGCTAAAACAACCGAGCAGGGTTTTCAGTCTTACGTGCTGATATAATTTGAAATGATCCTATAGAGTGATGATGAAGAAAGCACCAACATGAGCTATCATGCTATCCAATGAACATTGATTACTGCAGTTTTGAGAATTGATATCACAATTTTATATATTTTATATAAATTTTGCATAATTGAGGGAGTTATATCACGATTTGATAAGGTTACATAACTCATATAACTGGTTAATGCATTCTGATGTTTGTTTCATGTCATGTATTATTGAGTATTAGATGCAGCAAATCACACTCGTAGCATTTAGAATTTAGTGAACATGGTTTATTTTAATCACTTAAGGATGTTTAGTGTTTTGATTTGATGATCAGGTTTTTATGAAAGTAAGAACTTTCAAAGGGGGGACTGTGTAGGGGAATCTCTTTATACATTTAGGTTAAGAAATGTAGAGTAATGATCTTTTAGTAAGAAGCCACAACTAATCTAGGTTGGCCTGATCCTGCAGCCCCACGACCATGAGATTGTAAGCAAGGCTGTCTTGCAGTAGCCCAAACTATCTGTCTGTTGGAACACGTAATCTCTGCCTGGGTCAAGACGAACCTAATCCAAGTGTCGTGGGGCAGACATGACATCAGGAGAGGCCTTCTGGAGAATACACATACACACACACACACACACACACACACACACACACACACACACACACACACACACACACACACACACACACACACACACACACACACACACACACAGGATAAAAGGGAGTAGAAGAAAAGCTAGGGGTGCTTCCTTCGGTCTTGGTCGAGACGCTGTTTGTCATCTGTACTGATTTCTACATCTGTACTATTAAAGACGCCCAGGTTGTTCTTCAGATCTCATCCTGTCTCCTGTGCATTGTTTTACTAAGTTTATGTTGGACTTTCTACAACAAAGAGGACACAAGATCCCTAAGATAAAGTCTGTGCACCTCAAGGTGAGTGGATTTCCACAGCTAGTTTATCTCCAATTGCATTGGTAGGGTGTAAATATCCTGAACACTTAAATGATATCCAAAAATTTACAAAGAAATGGGGACATTGAGTCAAGGGGTTAGAATTTTTATGACCTAGAGGAGGCACATCTGATGTGACTGTGTGTGAGGATTTGGAGCAGCGAATTTAAGACCATTAACACAAAGATAAAAGTAAAACACGCAAAAACAAGAGATTTGGAACTAAAAGTACTGGACATGTTCAAAAGTTAAGGCCAACACTATTTTATGAATAAATTAAAGATTGGGTTTGCAGAGCTAGAAAGCAATAAGGAGAAGGTGGAGAAAAGAAAGTCACAAACATGGAAAATAGGTAAAACAAAAAAGAGATTCTGCAGCCAAATCTAGTATCTAGTATGCGTAAGTTTAAATCTAGTCTTGTGCAATCACAATGACAGACTGTTGCAGGGGAAACTGCGTGCATGGAGCCAATTAATTTATTTTATGTAGGTGCAATCCAGTGGGACAAAAGTGCACTTGGCGGCAGCTGAAAATTAAATATAAAAACATTGTGCAAACAGGTGCGACATCTGCATTTTCTCATTTTGATCATGTTTTACATTGTCAAGTAAGTATTAAGTGGCAGTTTGATCCCTTACAAAATGCTCTTTTCACACTCAAAAATGAATTTTACTCTCTTATGATGTTCTGTTAAATGATTAGGAATATTAAACTAACTCTCAGTATGTATATGTATATATTAAACTAACACACAGTACACTCAATATTAGACTTTCACTCAGCAAACAGAAAGAGGGCAGATGCCAGAAAAACGGGTGGTGACCCCACCTTTAACGGAGGCAGAGGAGCTTGATTGCTTGATTTTATTGTTATTGTTGCTTTTTTTGTTATCGTTGTGCACTTTGAGATTTGTTTTCAAATGTAAAGTGCGTTACAAATAAAATATGTTATCATTATTATTATTATTATTATTAATTGTATGTGTATTTATTTGTAGCGATTTGAATTCAGAATAAATGTCCAAAATTAATCAAATTAAATTATGACATTTATGCACTCGTTGAAGGGGCACCACCCACCTTTCTGGTGGGAAAAGGACGAAACAAAGTTCAATTGAGTAATCAAACGTTGAATCAGTCTTACACAGATTTAAATCAGTCTCTCATCTGAGGCCGGAATTCTTCATTCAGGGACTCTACTTTCTGGAAAGACCACTAAGAGACGACAACTTAAAATTAAATGGACAATTTATTAACAAGCTATATGATAACAAAACTTGAATAAATGATGATCAAATAGTGAGAAAATCAAAGAACATCTAATGAATAAACGAAGGAATGGTTTGAACTGAACCTAAGACTGGAGGTTAATGATAGTGAGTGAATAAGAGAAAATTTAACCTACGTTAACGGGGTTACGAGGGTAAATTTTAAAAGGAATTTGGAGAACTAAACTATAACTAGGAAAGTAAGCTACTGAACGCTTGACGGCATCACCCAGTTGATACAGCAGTTTCGAGGAGTTTGCCTACTTTGGATGTCGGTTCTTAGTGGCACTCTTGGAATGGATCAGCTGAAGTTCTGTGGCTACCGGACCGGATGCTGAAGGTTCGGCGGGGGAGTTCTCCGCTGTGAATGGTCTCAGGCTTCAGGACCGTGTCAGTGCCGTTAGATACTTCAGTTCTCTTGGCCTCTTGGAACCAGGTGGCAAACGCAGCTCAGCAGATGATGCTGGTCGGTCCTCCGGGCGTTCAGGACTAGCTTGTTGCAGATTAATTTGCGCCAATAACTTAAGAAAATAATTTCGCTGGCCAGCCGATATTATCTTCAGGAGTCACTTTAGCGAACTAAAATAAAATAAAAGGCTTAGACTGAGGTTCTCTATGCGCGCAGCTAATTACTGATGCTTTAAAGAAACTTGGGTATGGTTTCATCCAAGTTTCTGGAAAAGTCTGAGCTTAAGGCAAATAAAAAAAATGCAAAAAATTGCAAAACGATGGACAAGACAAAAGAACAACTCAAACACGCAAAACGCAGAAGACAAGAAGCTGAAGACGGAAAAGACTAGAGGAAAAAGCAAAGGGCAGCAAAAGCTCAACTCTTTTAAGCAGTTCACGTGGGGTGTGAACCAAAAGGGGGGGGGACACTTATACGATCGTTGTTCCCCAATGCAGCCCGTCGACTGGCAGCGAATTAACTTAACCTGATATTAAAAGCGAGCTAGATCTAATTTACTCACTCACTATGATTAAACTGTTTATAACATCACATACGATCACATTTCACTTCATTGTTTCTTATGAGCAGATGCATTAAAGCATGACATTGAACAAAAGTAAACTTTTGATCAGCCGTTTTCTTGATAATAACAGAGGATTAACGACTTTTTGAAAGTTAGAGAGGGACAGAAAACCAAATTATCTATTCGAACAGAAACACCATCCAGCATAAGAAGCACATACGTGATGATACTTGACAACAATATAACCTTGTCAATCAAGCTTCATAAACGATTAACATATATATTTGGGTGAGGTACATAAAAACATAGTATTGATACATTCAAAAACTCTTAACTTGAGTCTAAAAGAGTTTCCTGTTACTACTTCTAAAACTGCTAGCCTATCTTGGGAATACCATTTACTAAGCTACGAAGTGTATAAAACAAAAGGAAGAAATGCACATAATTAAATTCACTGAATACACATTTGGTTCTGACCAAACCATATTCAGGCAACACCACTAGGAGGAGCTCTTGGTCCATGGAAAACCTGGAATAAATTTGTGAAGTTAACAGTTTGGCTTGTAGATATGCTAGAAACCTGGGAAAAAGATCATTTCATTGATGATGTGGTGCACAGATAGAAAATCCTGGTGAAGTGTCCATTAAACCTGAAGTTAAACCATTTTCAGTCATCCTCTTCCTCCTGCACCTTAAAGAGAGCCATGGAAAAGCACAGTCATTCAGAGGATTTATGGTAGGGGTCTGTTCCACGGATTGGCGCCAAAATGCAGCCTTGGAGAATGTTCTCATGCTCTTTTTGGGTCACTCCTTAAGCTGAGGTGTCAACTATGACCTTCTCCAGCCAAGGTGAGAGGCTCCATGTTTATTCGGTCTGGGGGTCATGTCGTTGATAAGCAACTTGTCTCCTTGAGGCGTGAAGATTCACTATCAACCTTTTGGGAGAGGTCCCCCTTTGGTTCTGTCCTTGATCGTAAACGGCCATAAGTTAAGTGTGAAACGTTACCCCCATTTCCTCCCCTAATCAGGGAAGCCTGCATTCCTTTGAGGGGTGAATTAAAGGTGGACAGAGCAGAAAGCAGTCGTCTTGTTACATATTCAACATGTTTAGTTTCATAGATTATCAATACAAATGTTTCTGTTTATTTTCTGTTTTAAACCAGCTACATTCTCCTACTCCAAATCAATGTCTGTTCATCCACGGTGTAACTAGTGCAGCTCAGCAGTGTCCTACTGTGGGTGATCCTACAAGTCCTGCAGTCCTGTGACGCAAGCTGCAGCAGATGTCATCACATTCAGATCATCAGTTCATCTTTACTGCAGGTTTAAACTTTCTCTGAGGTAATGGTGTATTTCCTTGCCCCATAACATTAACCATGTTTGACCAACAAACAAAAGCACAGTATTCCTGTTAGCACGGGGTTTTTGTATTGATTACAGATTTAAAGTAAAGGGGATTTTTTTTTTCAGGCCTCTCCTCCTCCTGCCTCTGACTCCAGTGATGCTGTCAACTAAAACACTGATAACTGCACACAGCGATTCTACAACCACAGGTCAAAGGTCAAAACATTACCTCACTTTAAACCTTCACTCTGAACTGTACCGGGCTCTGCTTTTGGTTTTGGACAAAAGTGCCCAAACAGAACACTGACTGATTGTCTTCAGGACAGGACAACTATTACTCTTATATTGTTTGAATCCTGTTTTCTACATTGTGTGATCAGTTGTATCTGTTGATATTTTAAGTTTCCTTTGTGTTTCTTTGACTTTATTTTATTTTATTTTAGTGTTTTCTTTACCTTTTACTGTGTATCTGTCCTCATATCGAAAGATGACTGACAACGATGAAGGGAAAAAATACCAGTTATTCAGTTGTTGCAGGCAGCTGAATTTCTCATGTTTTAATATGCTTACCATATCCCTCCAATTTACCTACAAGAGAGGACATGTTTTTTGAAAAAAAAAATGTACTTTGGGTTTCAGCTGGTAGGTACACTAAAGGTTTTTCATGTGTGCTAATGTTTTGGACAGCAGTGATCCAAGCATTACAGTGTTTGTCTTCACAATGCTCAACATACAGGGCTTGGTGCACACAAAGTGTGTGACATGATTTCATAAAAGATCACGTTTTTATGCCGAGCCATAAAATGTAATTCTCCAAAGTAGATGATTCATTGAGCAGAAACTATCAACGTGAAGACAACCCAGCATAAGCATTCACTAAGACCGAGTTGTAAGAATGTTTGGATAAGAAAATACTTGAAACAAATATGGCATTATAGTATTTTTTATAGTATGTATTGGTCCACCTTACCACCCAAAAGGCTTTTCACAGTAGTTAGACCAGGGCTAATACTGTCATCACCTCTTTCTAGTGGACTGACAATCTGGTCAGCATTTTAAAGTTATTAACCTTTCATCTAACTTTGCCTGTATATTTCCACAAGCCTGGATTACTTTGCATTTTTTGCATTTGCAATTCTTACCTTACCCTTCACATATTTTGAATTTTAATTCAAATGTGATTTTAATTTTTTATTTTAACGTCTGTAAATTACTTCTTTACTACACAGTACAGCAAACTGCTGAGTTATTTTTGCATACTATTCCTAATGTTCTATTCTATACTTTTTGTGCTTCACGTTTATGTTGTTATACTGCTGGCCGATTGTAGTAACTATTTTTTTATAACTCCCAATTCACCATTTTCATATTTTTTTAATGTATAAGTATAATAAAGGTTTTTACCATGTGCAAACTTAGCCTTACACTAATCTAAACCAATAAAAACACATAAGTAATGGGGTGTTAGCCTCAGTGTAACCACCATGTAAAGAGCCTTTAATGATTGGGCTAAACAATATTAGAAACAACTGAAAATGTGAAACCTTTGTCCATCAACAATCACAGCAACTCAAATCTTAAAACCTCAAACTTAAGAGACAAATTGGTTACCCATGTAAAGATTCATACTTTGAGTTAAGGCACTATGGAATGTTGTTTCCTTATCTGTTTATGTTTTGATGGTTTTATTTAATGTTTTTCATTGCACACAAAATGTTAAAGGATTGACAATAATATTTTTCTTTCTTTTGCTTTGCTGGTTTTGCTCATGTGAAAACTCAGTTTGAATTTTCAAGTTGATGCAAATTTTTAAATTAAATATATTTGTCATGTGTTCATGTCTCGTTTACATTTATTTCTACTTCTTTCAACATGACGGCCTTTTCAGCCAGCTTTAACAAAATGTACCATATTTTCTGCAATTTTCAAGTTTAGTTCTTAAACAATTTAAACATTTATACAACTTCTACTTAACCTCTCCAAGTGTTTTTACATTTATAAAACTTTTTTGTTCTTCTTTTTCATTATTTTCTAAATTTCTGTTACAATTTAAACATTCTCCTTCTTACACTTCACCTCTTCAACAGTTCATTCTCCCTTTTTATTTATTTATTTAGCAGTTTAGCGTTGTTTTTTTTCTAGCTTTCAGCACTCAGCATTTCCACGCATTTTCTGCAAGTAAATGCAATTTTTCTAGTTATTATTATTCTTCCGTACCTTTTTTGGCCCTTTTCAACTCCTTCCCACTTTGTGCTATTTTAACCATTCAAACTTTATACTAATGCACTCCTCCAGGACATTATTGCTATTATTTTTCACCTTTCTACCATTTATACTTTTTGCAATATTTCACTTTTTTTGCAAAATTTGTAGCATTAGAAATTCCGCTTACAGCTATAACACCTTCTCACCCTTATAACTTCTGCATACTTTCACCTAAAGACCTGCTTTAAAATGTCCAGCAACTTGTCTGCTACAAATGTTGTATTCACTCCTTTTTACTATCTCCTACCGTTTTTGCACAATTTAGCTTGGAGCAACATGAGGTTTTCTGCCCTTTTCAGCCTTTCCAATGAGTGTGTATTGGAAACGCTAGAGCGGGTGACGTCATCACTAGAGTGGGGAGAGCATTTTGGATTCACTAAACCAAGCATGATTATTTTGCTCCCACGGCCGCAATTTTCACTCAACAGCCATAAAAAAATACATCAAAATGGAGGTACACTTGTCCTGCTTCTCACAAAATAGGTCTGAAGTCATCAAATTGTACAGCTTACCCAGGAGGTGAGTACATTCCATAGGAGTGCAGAGTTTCTGCCCATTAACTCCCATGTTAAAATTTGGCCAAGAAACCCTAACAGTCACTACAGCGAAGCCGTTTCTTAACTTGCCATTGTGGCCACATTTTTTACACTATGGACATAAAAAATACATCATTGTGGTCATGAGAGTCTCAGGACTCCTAAGATTCTAAGATTATTTTTGGGATATGACTCACGGAAATTGAACTAGGGGGAAAAGTTCAGACGGTTTCTCACTGCTTTCACGCAGTCGGCACTTCTCATGGGCTGTGTGCTTTGATCTGTCTTTTAATATTTTTCAATATTTACTTTGTTGTTATAGTTCTTGTCTTTAACTCTTTTAACATACTAACTACTTCTTATTCTTTTACTTCTGCTTTTCTTTATTTTCTACATTTATTCAATTACTTTAACTTCAGCTGTTTCATACTTTCTACATTCGTATGTAGGGCAGTAACTGAAGCACGACAATAGATGGTGCTGTTCTGCATTCTCAAGTTACTATGGTTGGATGCTGCAGACTGCAGAAATCTGTTTTACTATTTGTACATTTAATGGGAACATTGTTACACATTATTTTAAGGTATTTGTTTTTCAAATTCAATTATCCTTGTAATCAGTTCTGTTTATTCACATCAATCATATAATTTTAAACTTAGGCTATTAGACAATTTGTACATTCATCCAACTAATTTACCTTTAGCTATACTATAATTCTTCCATTCATATAATTTCTTCCTCTTCTACTCCAGCTTTTTAACTGTTTTTCCATTCATACCTTGCTCCATTTTTTATTAGCAGTTTAGCATTGCTTTTTCGGCTTTCAGCACTCAGCATTTCCACGCATTTTCTGCAAGGAAATGCAATTTTTCTAGTCTTATTCTATTGTTTCTTTATATTTTGGCTGTTACTGTGCAGAGGAAAGAAGAAAAACCTTTGGGTTTAATCAGAACTTCTGACTGACCAACTGTCACACACAGTATCAAATCCAGCCGCAGAAATATGTGGGACTGAATCAACTCTACCACTTTATATTTCCACTGGGTGGCGCTGCATCATAGTTCAAAAAATGTAGTCCAATCAATGTGTAAATTTATAACCATGTTTCCATGAACAAAACAAACCTGCTCAGACTGTTTGATTCCAGAGTATGAGGGAAATATCAAATAACCATAGTCCAGGTCCTGAGCTGATCTCAGAGCAGGTCAGACTGCAGTCCCCAGAGTCCTCTCAGCCTGCTGTGATTGGTCAGTCAGTCTCTCAGTAACATGGCCCAGTCAGACACCCACGTCGCCTCCCCCTCTCTGATCATCGGCAAACAGGTTATCCTGTTTTTAATCTGTCTCACAGATGTTACTACCACCTGAGGATAGAAAAAAAGACAAACTGTTTCTACTCTGAGACTCACTACATCAGCTGGACTGAAGAACATCCAGTTTAAAGACCAGCAGGTTTCAGTCCTGCTCATATGAGAAGTGATGGTGTAAAGCAGCACGTTTCTTCTCAGCTCTCATCTTAATATATTGAACAGTTGCAGCTTGAAGGGAAAGAGAGAGTCCCTGAAGGCATCACTGTGTTTCCACTGTTGTTACATGTGTTCTGTTTATGAATATAAAAGCAGCAGTTTCTTGTTTTATTTGACCTTTGACCTCTCACCAGCTCAACATCAGAGTCTCACAGGTTTGCTGATTAAGTCGTCTGTGTGTGTTAGTTTTGTGAACCTGTTCATGTCTGTGAATCAGATCGATCATCAGATAGTTGAGCTGAAATCATTTTAACTCCACATCAGAGCCACAAATATCCTGTCAATTCTTGTGAGTAACGTTTACTTTGTATGAATCAGATTGGTCTTGCTGCCCTCTGTCTGCTCCAGTGTCTCCATTGCCTGCAACAACAGACTCCATGTTGTATGAACAGCTGACAATAATTAAACTCATCAAAATAAAGAAATGTTTATATTATTGTTATAACAAGCTTTATGTTCCTTACCACTTACAATAGTGTGTGCACTGTTGCTTTATAGGTATTGTAGGTAAGTATCCCAGGATGTACAAAAAGTGATGGCTAGATGTGGGAGCTGCAATAAAAGCTGATCTACAATCTCCAACACCGACTTCTTTGTTCAGAGTAGGGATGGTCCGTTCCGATCCAGGCCAAAATTACTGGATCGGATATCAGATTTTTGTTAATAAACTTGTCCAATCTGATTCATAAACCCAAAATATCGACATAGCGACATACTGTTAACACAGATGAGTCGTTGCCATGATTGCCATTTGTTTTAATCACGTGACCAGAGCATGAAGGGAATGCTGCAGAGACATGTCTGTCGTGCGAAATTACTTCATGCTAACGGAGGAGATTAGTAAAACCGCTGAGTGTAGCATTTGTAAAACTAGTGTCTCAAGGGGTGGCGGCAAAACCCGTCATTTCAATACGACCAACTCAATAAAACATATCTGGAAGTATCACGCAAAGGAGTACAAGGAGTTTTTAGAGTCAA